TAATTTGTGGCCAAGTCGATTCTGAAAAAGAGCTGTGGGCCTTACCTGGTAAAATAATAAAGTCGTTTAGTTTGTGACTGTGGATGATTGTTGGGGAAGTTTACTGCAGCGATGAGCCTCGATATGAGTTAAACTCATCCATAGTCACACAATTGTACTCGTGCACTATTACTCTTTGGTTCTTTCAGTAGTCACGTAGGTAGAAAAATTAAACAAAAAAAGATCACGTTTCGATCGCAACACAAGCGGTCGAAACGTCGTGACATTATTTTGTTTTATTTTTCTACCTACGTAACTTTACCGAAAGAACCAAAAAGTATGGATCCCTGCAGTCACGAAAGCTTCAAATCAAGATCGTGCACTATTGTTGAGGTAATGGGTAATTAAATAAAAATCTAATTATTGCTATAATTTATATACAGTATATATAAAACAATTCTTACCTTTATATTAGATGCATCGCCACACGAGTAATAGCGGGCTCACGCTGCTACGATGATCGTGAATGGGCATTGAACCTACATTGCTTCGGTTTTCAGGGACTCGGAGATATACTCCACTGATGATCTCTAAACGTTGTGAAAGCAGTTCACGTTCGCATATCGTTAGAGGGCAGCAGCGCTTCTGTCGTGGCCCAGGCTCGAGGCCGCAGGGCCGCGCAGTGGCTGCGCCCGTCCCCTGCTGGTCCTCAGTGGCATCGCGGTGACTCCCAGCGGTGACTCTCAGCGGTGACTTCCCATCGGTGACTCCCATCGGTGACTCCCAGCGGTGACTCCCAGCGGTGACTCTCAGCGGTGACTTCCCATCGGTGACTCCCATCGGTGACTCCCAGCGGTGGCTCTCAGCGGTGACTCCCATCGGTGACTCTCAGCGGTGACTTTCCATCGGTGACTCCCATCGGTGACTCTCATCGGTGACTCCCATCGGTGACTCTCATTGCTGACTCCCAGCGGTGACTCTCAGCGGTGACTCTCAGCGGTGACTTCCCATCGGTGACTCTCAGCGGTGACTTCCCATCGGTGACTCCCAGCGGTGGCTCCTAGTGTAACAAAGATGGGGCCCTCATTTTTTTTATTCACTAAGCGAGATAATTCAAATTAACTGTTCGCCTCCGTGTGACCTTGAGATAAGCGTGGCTTAAAATAACACTGGCACAAACAAAAATGGAAACACAATGGATATAATTCCAGAGAACGTTCTCATCAAGAAGATGTATTTTAATTCCACTCAACAATGCATATAACAATTCAAACATTTTCAAAGAGCACCATAGCAACTGGAACATTCCAAAAATCTGTCTCATTGGCTGAACAATCTGACGAAACATCCAAAATGTAACTGGAGCGTAGGGATGTTTTATGTTATTGCTGTATGGTTTCACCACCTGCAGATGTTATTCGTTAAAACAGCTCGTGCGGACCCCAGTTCCTACGAACCCCCGCTTCCTGTGTTAACCAGTCAGCAGAAGCAGTTGCCTGCCATCTAATTTGGCCACTTTGTTCGTGGCAATCTGTGGAAATTCGGTTCTGCCAAAGCAAAGCATCAATCCCATCATCTTCATAATATGGATTGGATTTGTATAATATTGTCTGTGACCATCTAACCATTCTAAAGTATATATCTCTAAACACATGGTTAAAAAAACTCAAGAGCATTTTTTTTAATGACCAGTTCTCAATTTCACTTGTGGTCCCGAGCCAGTAGAAGAAATTCCACAATCATGTGCCTGAGCCTAGTTTATCCATAGGACAACTGCCCTAAAAATAATTGGCTTATACCCATCCCCGAGGGAGGATTACGTTGATGATGACTGGGAGAACTTATGGTCTTGCTAATGGGAGCCTTGTTACATCCTGACCGTAAAGCTGGAAAACTTGGTTAAATAAAAAATTGCTTGACAAGTGACATGTAACACCCAAATTATATAAAATAAAGTTATAACTGTAAGTACACTATAATTTGCAACTAAGTTTTCTTAAACATATTATGTCCGTATAATATGTTTAAAAGTGTTTTAAATATTGGTATTCCCCACTCCCGTTCCCAAAGTCCGGAGTTGAGAATCTCCAGCAGCCTTTTGGATTTGTCGATCCCATAGTCTAAACACATTCTACACAACAGTGGAAGAGTCTGAGCAGAACGGACATATGATGTAAATGAGGCTTCACACGACGAGTGTCACGGCGCTTGGTAAGGCTCATACACAACAGGCTGACACAGCAAATCCTCCGTGCGGCTCACTTAAGGCAGCTGTAGCAAATGTAACGAAGGGTAATTTTCAAATCACACACAGATCACGAACCGGGCTACCTCTCTTTCCTCTGACTCACAAGTTGATGCTAAAGTCGCTTCAGAACAAGCAGAGTGAGCGAGGCAGAACTGCACCTGGGTCTCCCCGTGACCTCCTGCCAGCAAGCCTTCAATACTTCACATGGCCTCAAGGTGCACCAAGTCTGGCACAAGCACCATGGTGACATCCCTGCCATTAAGTAGTGAATGGCAGCTGTCGTTACATATCCATGACAGAAGTAAAATTTTGCTCTCTAGTTTATCAACTTTTATTTTCGCAAGTTCACCGATTAAATCTCTATAATGGCACCATCAACTGGATCTTACAGACAGCAGGCCCACAATCGCACCGTTAAATGACCAAAAATGTACCACTGCCAACTTGCAGCTTCCTTCAAAGGGCCCGTCACACATGCAGATTGCGATGAATTCAGCTGTGCACATGGGTGATTGAGTTGCCCCGTGACACAAGACTGGGAGTGATCTCCGAATCCTAAACATAAAAGACGTACAGTACAGCACACAGCACAGCACGTACACACAACAGTACAACATATACATTTTAGTTTATTATTATCACTATGCTTGTTTACACAAGAAATCCTGAGTCTCATGGCTCGGGATAGGAGGGTCCCACCAAGTATTCATAGTAGCGGGAAATGATTACGATGTATAATCCAACTTAGTAGATTTGCAAGTAAATATTTTTTTTAGTAAACTTGGACCATAACGCCGGCACTCAATAGCCTACTCTTGGACTAACGTCACAGGATCTCGAACGTTCACTGTGAAGCAGACGGTGCGCAGGAGTATTATGGTTAATACACTACGCAGTAATAATCAGGGCGGCCACTGGATTCAAATTGTAAACCTCTGCAACCAGCGGTGAAGGTGCTACCTCTGGGCCGTGTCACCACCCAAGAGTAATTTAACATTTTAATAAAAAACCTGCAGAGCTAATTTCAACTACTACTGGAGTGGAGGCACGGGGTGGAAAGGTGGGAGGGGTCCGTTGGTAACTCCACTCACCTCGTAATTCCAATCGCCACGTTTCGCCACAAATCCCTGCACCCTTTGACCCCTCGTCCCTTCTCAAAGGGCCTTCGTGAATTGAACACGAAGAATGGAATAAGTTACTGCCGCATAGAACAACAACTTGCTGCACCTCGACTATGATAACATAAACACGCATACACACAATTATTGCTTTTACATGAAGTTAGGCTCTTTAAACGTGCTCACAATGTAATCCTATGCAAGCATACAGTGAGGGAAAAAAGTATTTGATCCCCTGCTGATTTTGTACATTTGCCCACTGACAAAGAAATTATCAGTCTATAATTTTAATGGTAGGTTTATTTGAACAGTGAGAGACAGAATAATAACAACAAAATCCAGAAAAACGCATGTCAAAAATGTTATAAATTGATTGGCATTTTAATGAAAGATTTCTGGCTCCCAGGTGTCTTTTATACAGGTAACGAGCTGAGATTAGGAACACACTCTTAAAGGGAGTGCTCCTAATCTCAGCTTGTTACCTGTATAAAAGACACCTGTCCACAGAAGCAATCAATCAGATTCAAAACTCTCCACCATGGCCAAGACCAAAGAGCTCTCCAAGGGTGTCAGGGACAAGATTGTAAACCTACACAAGGCTGGAATGGGCTACAAGACCATTGCCAAGCAGCTTGGTGAGAAGGTGACAACAGTTGGTGCGATTATTCGCAAATGGAAGAAGCACAAAATAACTGTCAATCTCCCTCGGCCTGGGGCTCCATGCAAGATCTCACCTCGTGGAGTTGCAATGATCATGAGGACGGTGAGGAATCAGCCCAGAACTACACGAGAGGATCTTGTCAATGATCTCAAGGCAGCTCGGACCACAGTCACCAAGAAAACAATTGGTAACACACTACGCCGTGAAGGACTGAAATCCTGCAGCGCCCGCAAGGTCCCCCTGCTCAAGAAAGCACATATACATGCCCGTCTGAAGTTTACTAATTAACATCTGAATGATTCAGAGGACAACTGGGTGAAAGTGTTGTGGTCAGATGAGACCAAAATGGAGATCTTTGGCATCAACTCAACTCGCCGTGTTTGGAGGAGGAGGAATTCTGCCTATGACCCCAAGAACACCATCCCCACCATCAAACATGGAGGTGGAAACATTATGCTTTGGGGGTGTTTTTCTGCTAAGGGAACAGGACTTCACCGTATCAAAGGGACGATGGACGGGGCCATGTACCGTCAAATCTTGGGTGAGAACCTCCTTCCCTCAGCCAGGGCATTGAAAATGGGTCGTGGATAGGTATTCCAGCATGAAAATGACCCAAAACACACGGCCAAGGCAACAAAGGAGTGGCTCAAGAAGAAGCACATTAAGGTCCTGGAGTGGCCTAGCCAGTCTCCAGACCTTAATCCCATAGAAAATCTGTGGAGGGAGCTGAAGGTTCGAGTTGCCAAACGTCAGCCTCGAAACCTTAATGACTTGGAGAAAATCTGCAAAGAGGAGTGGGACAAAATCCCTCCTGAGATGTGTGCAAATCTGGTGGCCAACTAAAAGTCTGACCTCTGTGATTGCCAACAAGGGTTTTGCCACCAAGTACTAAGTCATGTTTTGCAGAGGGGTCAAAAACTTATTTCCCTCATTAAAATGCAAATCAATTTATAACATTTTTTACATGCGTTTTTCTGGATTTTTTTGTTGTTATTCTGTCTCTCACTGTTCAAATAAACCTACCTTTAAAATTATAGACTAATCATTTCTTTGTCAGTGGGCAAACGTACAAAATCAGCAGGGGATCAAATACTTTTTTCCCTCACTGTATAAACAAAAGTGAATACGAGCAAATATCTTAGAAACCCAAAGTGTAGCTGCTAGGACTACCTTACAATATGTTAATAAGCACCGATTTAAAAATATTCATGGAAAATCTGTACAGTCAACTATGGTGATGTGCTCACAACTCATGTAGCATTTTGCTTGATTCAGCCTTAGATAAACTAATGCAAAATACGACAGTCAGCAATTAGAGGCACTGCAGCCAAGTCCCAGCAGTTGATGGACTTAAGAGCCAGATTCACTGATCAGCAGTTATTAATTTGTGTAAGAATAAAAAAAAACAATCCTCCAGTGTCTCCCATTAACACAAACATAGGGCAGGTCCAGGTGTTAGTTGTTTGATGTTTTACCACGATGTGAATGTGGCCCATGGCTTTACCTGTAATGAGAAATGAGCCCCACATTAGTCCCTGGTAGGCATGCAGTTCATTCATCCCATAGCTCACGCCAATACCCAGGTGATTCTGTGCGAAACTATGGGAGTGCGCCAGCTGCTATGAAGTGGATGCTCAAAGGCCCGAGGATAGTTTTTCACGAGAGCAGATGATTGAATTTCAAATGTGACTTGAAAATACGCATACAACTAAGAAGCCCTTTCATTTAGGCTGGAGGATTATCTCGGTCCCCTCCAGAGGAAGACATGGCTACGGGCTTAGTCACCCTAAAAGCACTTGGATCCGGACAGGTATCAGTACGCGTAGTTGAGCAGGGTTGTGCCTGGTTAGTACTTGGCTGGGATTAGTGACTATCAGTGCATACCAGGTGTTACAGGTGTGGGGCTGTGAGGTGAGCAGGAGTAACAAGACAGTAATGGTTTCAGTCCACAGGCGATTACATTAATGAAATCGGTGAATTGAATCAATCTCTGTGAATCTTTGGAGTGTTTTCCCGTAACCTGAGTGGGTTTTCTTGAGTGCTCCACATGTCAAACACTCCCTCATTAAATTGACCAAACATCCCCGGGCAGGACCATTCTTGGTGAGGCTTTCCTGGCTATTAACGTGCGGATGATTTACGAATAAAAGGAGGCGTGACCAAAAATAGTGCAGACTAATGGGAAAGATTAATTCTTATTCAATGCTACATGCATAACCCCTTTACAATGTTTCACACCTTATATAAAAGAGCCTACTTGTTAGTTAATAGAATACATAACATACACTTTGGTATTATTAATTAGGTATACGAGTAAAGAATGCCAAGTTTCATATATTTTGCATATGTACTGTTGGCAGTCCCTAATAGGCTATGCGTGCCTACTAGTCCTGGGTAACAGCGGGGGCCCCAAAAACAGATCACGATGTCAGCAACATAGCAATGCGATAACTTTGGGTATCGTGGGTATCGCCCCAATTTCAGCTATCTCACACATCGCCTGCCTTATGGTCCCAGTCACGTCGTGCCGTGTGGAGGGCGTCACGTGACGTCGATCGGCGGAACCCAGTGCATGAAGGGTAATGTACACGAGGACGTTCACTGCCCCCATGATTCTAGATTGATATTGTTTGGATAATGTAAGTAACTAACATCACTTGTCTTTTGGGTTGAGTCTTCCTTGATTACTCTCTGTTAAATTGTAAACCCAGTTACATTTTCTGAGAACCTGGAATTTGTCTCATTGCGTGGACACAGAAACCGTGATCCTGAGAGCTGCCCCCCACTACCTCCGGTGATGTGCATGTAGGTGACCTCGTGGCACGAGGTCACCCTAGACCACCGCGATATCCTGCTGACGTCGCTTAACGTTCCCACCGTGAACGGGGGCCGAGCGGCTCAAGGCAGCCATCCTGCCTGCGAGCGATGGGGCCGATGCAGACGATGACAATGGCGACATCGCTACCACCGGCGATGATGAAGACGACGGAGCCGGCACGGTAAGCGCAGCGGAGGCTGGGGACGCGCTGGTCGAGAGAGTCAAGGCGGCCGACAGGGATGCCGGGGGGAGGGCGGCGCGCAGGGCGAGCGGCTCATGGCTCTCCTGGCGGGCGCGCTCCAGGTCACGACGCAGCAATGCCACCTCCTGCGAGGCGCGGCACAACTCACCCTGCACGCATCCACACAGAGCATGCACGCAGACTCCGTATACAGAGAGATGCATCTCAATAGACAACGCGTTAAATTCGTGCTGGAGGTGAAATGGGCTGCACTCTGGTGGCAGCCCACGTGGCAAGGTGGGTATCACCCACAATGCCATCCGTGCAGGCCTTCTCCACTAGAGAGAGAAAGGAGAGCGAGTGACGAGTGGCGCACGATGTGTGGGCACCTTGAGCTCGGTGATGTGGCCCATGAGGAGACCCTCCTTCTGCACCATGTGCCTGCGCTGGGAGTCGAGGCGTGCTTCCATTTCATGGCGGAGTTCCCCCACCCAGCACTCCATCTCCGATCTGCGCAGTGCAGGGATAACACCCCCACGTTGGCTGTCTATTCTACATACTGGTTCTTGTTTAGAGCACTTCCTTCACTTGTGTTCCCTTAGAGAGCGATGCATATTAGTCTTCATGTGTTGTTTTACATAAGCTTTCAGATTCGTTTTCAACTCAAGTGTCCTGATGCCTTGAAAATCTGAGCCGGTGTCAGAGATTTAGCACACCAGAGATTCTAGCACTGAATCATGTGCTGCCAGATTTTGTTTTGTCCAAATTTTAGTTTTGTCTATTTTTTTTGGCAGAATTGTGCTGATAACTCCATTACCATCGATGCATTTATGCAGTTTTAATTACAAGGTAGCCATGCCCCATTTAATTAAAACCCCATGCCTGTGAATGGACCAATTATTAATTGTTTATTTCAGTTACAAATTCCTTCCAAAAAAACAATATAATTAGTTTGGCAGATTGTCAGATGCCACTGCGTTTCCAAGGATCAACCTCTGTTCGATTCACTCAGAGACTCGGAGCCTTTGGCAGAATTCTCAGCACAATCCACGTTCTCTCCATCGATACTCAAAGTCACCTTGTAATTTCTTCACCAAATGCAGCTCCACCATCTCTGTTTTGTCAATAATCAGCACGAGTCCATGCAGCTCGCTGTGGATCTTTACCCCACACATCTGGGTTCCAACACCTTGTGCTGTTACAGATGACAATGCTGTGTCATCGCATCTGAAGAACCAAGTTCTTTGGAGCACCTACAGACCGGTAGGTGCATGCAGGTATACAATGGGTATCTGTGTAGATATACTGAAGAAAAGTCTCAAGCCAGGCTGTCTTGTTGCGGTGCAGGTGAACGTACCGCAACAGGTGCAGCTCAGCGCGGAGCTCGGGAACAATGTACAGGGTGGAGAGCATCTTGTGGGGATTGGTGACCGGAGACCCGGCCTCCAGGCCCACGTAGTCACTGAGATCTGGGCTCAACTCTCCGAGCTGGCACGACATTGCGTGAGCCACCACGTTCTGTCTGTCCAGGACTGCGCCGCAGCCTGCCAGAGTTACGCACACCAGCCAGCACAACACCATCACGACAGCACCACATCCTGCCAGTCACATACGCCAGCCAGCGCTACACTATCGCGACAGCACCACAGCCTGCCAGAGACACACGCACCAGCCAGCGTGACACTATCACGACAGCAGCACATCCTGCCAGTCACACACGCCAGCCAGCACGACACCATCACAACAGCACTCTGCTAGTGCTCGCCGGCGTGTGGGCAGGGTGGCAGGATGTCGGGACCCGTGGTTTTGCGAGGTGAGAATGAGAGTGGAAGAGCGAGCGAGCAAGCGAGCTCACCGGTGTGTGGGCAGGGTGTTGGGGTGTAGGGACACTGCTGCTCGTGGATAGCGATCGTCTCCAGTGCGCACACTCCCTCGCACCCCCGCGCACGGTGAGTGCAGTGCAGACGCAGCGCGTTGAGATCGTTCCGCATGTACCTGTGTGCCAGGGTGTCTCCGTTAAAACCTCACACAAATCAATACATCTATTGGTTAGTTTTATACAGCATCGTTCGTGCAAATTGCATCTCACAGTCGCCTAGGAACCACAGACAAGCTGGAAGGCTACCAGGTGGTGAGCCGGTGGAAACAACTGCTCTGCAGTTCTCTGTATATTGAGACATTTTCAGCCAAATAGTGAGCTTTATACAGCTGGAAATAAATCGGAACACCCGGAGAAAACCCACATATGTGAGGGGGCAAAACTCTGATATTAGTCCTCACTTTGGTCCTGCCTTCTGCTGGCAAGCCATGGTATGGCACCTCCCCGATGTCCATGGGAAGGGAATTTTGCAACATTTGTCATCGGTGCTGGAGTACAAGCGTGCACAGCCACCACCGCCCCAAGGTCTAGACATGGGCAAGTGGTGGCTCAACTGCGACAACGAAGAAGGTGTGGAGGGGAATGATTTTCCCTCGATTTGCTGCGACGGAATACCACGCGACGACGGCGACAACAGGGAGCGTGCGCGCAAGCGCCGGCAAAGATAGGGGGCCGACCTGAACAGGGGCCGCAGCTCTGAGGCGTCCAGCGGCTGCCTGTCCTCGGGGCACGTGTGGTTGTGCACGAGCCAGCCGTGGATGCAGGCGCTGCAGAAGGCGTGCTCGCAGGGCGCCTGCAGCGGGTCCTCGAGCACGTCGCGGCACACGCAGCACAGCAGCCCGTCCTTGACACGCCCCACAAAGCGCTCGGCGTCGTAGCCCATGGCGGCACACGCACGGATGCCTGGCTCGCACGTACGCAAAGACACCCCCCGCCCCCACACGCCCATGGAGCCAAGCGCTGTTCGCGAGCACCTATGCAGGCCGGGACGACGCACAAGAGGGTGGTGTAGCCAGCGACCCACGATTCGGCCCACAATGAGGCTTTAGAACTTTAAGCTATACTTTCTTCTATCTAGAAGAGTTTTTTTTTTTCCCAAAGATGAGAACAATTTTACATATATAAAGCCCCCATTCACATATCAAGACCCTACAAAGATATCAATAATCCAGATGTGATGTATGGTTAATATAAAACAGAATGATAAAGTGATTACAATCAGCTCAATAATACTAATTTCTGTCGAACAAACTAAATAGCCAAAAATCCGTCTCTTTAATATATGTATCCCTCCACGATTTTTTTATAAATAAAACTATATTTTTGCCCATCCTATCAGCCACGTGGCCTTCTGTGAGCGTACTGAAAAAATGTTGCTGAAATTATGACATGTAGAGAACCGCAGAGCTTGGGGAGGGGGAATTAGATGCTGGCTCCTCACCGCCGCGTGGCTGCTGCTCGCTCGTCTGTGGTTCCTCCTCCTCCTCTTCGTGCCTCTGAGTCGTCCTCTCTCCCTACGACAGCGAGAGAATCCTGTGGTAACAGCGCATTGCAAGTTGACATTATTTTCAATTAATAAAAAAATACTTAGAATTTTTTTTACAGAGACAGCTATACGAAAGAGATCTAGTATCTGCTTACTTATTTTTTTACAGTCATATGTTACCTTTAATCATCAGAAAAAAAGTTTGTCTGGCTGGCGAGCGGGCAGACAGGTGCGTAGTCATGAAACTACCCACATCATTGAGCCGGGTTCCTGCAGGGCACTGATGTCAACCCCACCTCACCCACCCTCCACCACGGCCGTGGATTCCACACAAACGCGTGGGCAGCACTCGTAAATTATACAATATTAAAGTGCAATCAATTATAATTGCAACTAAATAATTTAAGTAAAAAATAATTAAAATCCTAAAAGTTTCTGTAGGAAATTATGTTTTATTATGTTTCATACAATGTCTGCACATCCCACTTGGGCAGAAACGCGACCTGAACCCTCCCGCCCGCCTTACCTCTGCGGGGCGATGCCGGACCGGCCCTGGCGGAAATCTCTGACAGCGTGACCGTGAGAGAGGGGCGCTGGTGTTTGTTGCGGGGTGCGTCGCCGGGCTCGATTGGGTTGCCACGTGTGGTTTAAAGTGGGCCTGAGTGCTTGTTAAAGGCCACTGAGTTAAGAGGACTCCTATTGTCGGCCCAGTATAGTACCGCAAGTGCTGACACGGTCACGCGCCAACAAGCATCGAGCAAAGCCAACGCATAGAGCCCCGCAAGTCTCAGCCTTGCAAGCTTCCCGTCCGGGAGTCGAACCCTTCCGGGAGGATCTCACACTCCCGTGCAACCAAAGCACTCAGTATGGACGCTGTGCACTTGCGCTTAGATACAAGCTTTACCAGGAAGAAAACCGACAACCCGTCATTCAGTAATTGCCTGTTAACGGACAGAGGTAACGCCGGCTACCCCAATTAATATTCAAACAAATGATTTGCACATTGAGGAGCGCTGACACACATCGGCACACGTGTGAATTTAAATATGAATTGTGCAACCGGCCTCATTTGCGTACGAATGGAGGAGGTTGCCCGCTGGAGCTTCAACGCGACTGGGAGCGAGAGCGCGAGGCTCTCTGTGCGCCAACGGCCGATTCACAATTCTTCTCATTTAACTCGGCTTTCTCTTTGCCGCTTACACGAGTGCCGCAATCATCATTATGGCACGAGTTGAGACATTTCTACGTGGAATATCTTGCAGCTTGCAGTACATACATCATGTATATGTATGTACGTTCAACTTATTTCGCAACATACGCAGCCAACCGTGTTAATCGGAGGTGCGGGAACGCCTCGAGAAAATATCACAACTACTTCTGAAGTCACCTCATTCGACCTCGTTATCCCCACTCGGCCACAGCCATTGTATGCCCTGCACAGAGCGTTCATTACCTGTCAATCAAACCAATGTGTTTAATTCTTAGAGATGGACAAAGCCAATTAAGTACAATACCAAAGATAATTCATAATTCAATTTGGTTTTGCACTTAATGACATAGGAGCTCATAGACTAAACTAGAGCCCCAATGATTAAGAATTAAATATGATAAAAAAAAGTTCGGTCACCAATGACTGCATAAACCCATCATTATAGGGAAAAAAACAATGCAGGCCAGAAAACCATGAGTTCCAAACAACGCAGAGAAACGTGCACAAATATAGTGCTTTAACACGCATGTTTTCGTTGTTGCTTTTGGTCATATATAATTTTTACAGCGGGATGTTTTAATGAAAGTTCACGAAACTTCTCGTATAAGGGGCTTGAGTACTGAGTCAGCACCGCTAAGAAACCTAGGTTGGAATTCAGGTTTTCATCTACCCTTGATTAAACTGGGTTCTTACGTGTATCGGTGCTGACTCAGTTCTCTGAGCAATGGGACTCTGGCTCGGTATTAGCCTCTGAGTCACCTGGCGACGTTTCGGGCAATGGCCCTTCTTGATGTGCTGAAAGGCCATTTCTCGAAACGTCACCTATTCTTTTTGTTTCCTTTTAAGGCCCAAGTGTTATTGACGAATGATTGAATTTCTTTACAGCAGACGGCCTACGTTTTCGTTACGAGGCAGTATTCACGACACATGTGGGGAGTTAGAGTTATTGTTCAGGCGTGCACAGAGAGGCCAGAGAGGTAGAGCGAAAAATTGTAGGTGAATGAAGTAAAATGTTTATATTGTATTGAGCTTTTAAAAACTTTTAATGTGGCACTCGTGTGGTTAAATGAAGCCAAGGAACAAGAACAAGCGGCCAGCTGCTCACAGTGCCCCCCCCCCCACTCGTGGCTCAGACTGCTAAGTGCCTTTGGTCATTACTATGAATAGTCTTCCAGCCACTCTCTGCATCCATAGATAAGCCAGACCCACAGCCTCTTTGTTTCTTAAATGCGAGCGTGCACTCCCCAGATAACACGGTGTAAGTGACGTTTTATACTTTCCTGAAGAAAAGCCACTTTTTTAGGTCGTGAAACGACCGATGTTTGCACGGTGAGGGTTCACTATGGCCACCCCAATGGCATAAGTGTCCTTGGGGATGCGTAGGGCCACGTTCTCATTTGAATGTCACCTATCATGAGATTTAGGAGAAAATGTGTCAATATCTCCATCACCAACAATGTGGCAAATGAGCAGTGGTGGTGCGCGTCAGTCATCCGGCTCTGTGGAAATGCGGGTTGGTGGATCGTACAAATGTTGTGAAACCCCCTTACCGTGGGCGTCAAGGTGCCATACCAGGGCTCGCCAGAAGAAGGCGGTTCAGCAAAGCGCTAACTCATGTCATCTGTCTCATCCATATGGTGTAGCGTGTTGCCCTTCGCATGTGTGGGTTTTCTCCGGGTGCTCCTGTCTCCTCTCACTTGCATAAACACTCATTAATTGGCTGATCTGATATCTAAATATATACAGAACTGCAGAGCTTTGGCAGACTTTGGTACCGGCTCACTGTCTGGCTGATTTTTAGCTCGTCTATGGTTCCTCAGCAATTGTGCAAAGCAATGTACATGTAAATTACATTACTATAATCTTGATTTGAAGCTTTCGTGACTGCAGGAATCCATACTCTTTGGTTCTTTCGGTAAAGTCATGTAGGTATGAAATAAAATTCTGGCGCAACACAAGCGTCCGTCATCAGGTGGGAAAGCATGGTCTGCTGCTGAGGCAGACTTTTAAAAGGTTTGAAATGGGTGTAGCCCAAGTGTCATAAAGAAGTTGGCGGGGCTAGTGATGTTAATGTAATAAATTAGCATGTAACTGTAAGATTGGAGAGCGTCCTCCTCGACGAGGGCACGGAAGTGGCTATGTTAAGGTGAGAGATTAGCATGTTAATGGGAAATCGAAGAGTGGTGCAATCCAAAGGCATGAGAGTGCAACCCAAAGGGGTGTTGCACCTGAAACCTCGTGATTTATTTTATCTTATATCTACGTGACATTACCGACATTACTTAAGGTAAATTACAATACTTTGATCAGTAGTAAAGCCACCAGCAAGTCACAGTTACCAGAGTATATCCTGCCTCATGCCTAGAGAACTGGCAGAAAGGATTCCCGTTAGTAATATACACTTTCCCATTATCCACGGGCAGGCAGCAGTCTGCTTTGTAGTGCATTTACTATTAGGAAATATCTAAGTATTGACCCAGAAGGCCTATCATCCACAAGTTGAGAACATTTTGTGTTCTTATATTCTATTTTATGTTTGCATCGCTGCATCTGCATTCAATTATATCAGAAAAGAGCCAATTTCATTTTGTGAGCATTTTTTCATCGTCAGCCATGCCCATCGCAGGATAACAAACATGTGAAATAATTGCTCATGTTTGTAAATATTATAATTTATTCCATAAACTTGTACAATTCCTTCAATTATTCTAGGCGCTGCCTCGAACAACCATACCGATATTAAACATGCACCCATATTGATAATACATTTACAATTGAATTTATATTGTTAAGAAAACCACCGGACCACCAATAGTCTCAGGCAATACGCAAGGCTCGGTGAGCGAAAGGGACATGGCAGAAGCTGTGGGCGAGTGTTGTCGAGGGTGGCCAGTGGCATGTGTGCGTCACCATGACAGCCCCAGGTAAGATGAGCCCCACCGCGTCGTCTGTAGCACACCTGTGCGTCGTTACCTGGGTAACCAATTAATATTTCAGGGGCAGCGTTATTCAGCACCGCTCTTTGTAACAGTGTCATGCAATATCTTTGATCATTACGTGAAAGTGCTTTTGTTCTAATTGGTTTACTTCATTGCTGGAAATTTTGTTTATTTTAGCTTTAGTCATTTTTTTGATCAGCGTTCATCTTGCAAATGAGACTCATCTGGTTTCTTCGAGTTATCATCTGGTTAAACAAAATCAACTTATAACGTTAAATACAAGTTCATAATTTCAATAAAATTAATTAATTCAGACTGGAATGCAGCCTTTGCATGTTTAAGCTTGATGGGCCACGCATAGGTGATGCAACTAAGCTAAGATCATTTGTAATGAGAAAGTAGCAATTATGTTTGATGAGACAGCAGCTCTCTGAGTGGAGATGTTGAGTATGGCTCACGCCGATAAAATCCAATTTTCAGACAACAAAAAACAGTGATGCAAGCTGTATTTTACAAACCAATTGTAACACTTAAAGAGTATGGAACTCATACTAAATGTAATATTACAGTCGAGTATTTCACATTTAATTTTCGGTCGGGTTCCTCAAATATTTGTACGAAGCTGAGATCTAAGTACATTTTAAATTCCCCACGAAAACAAGTGTTAGATTAATAGTATGCATATGTAAAATATACGGCTGCTCATTGTCGCGTGAGTTAATGTAGGGCAGTAAATTCAAGCTCGGCACACAGAGCTATCACGATATAATGTTAATAGACAAATGTCAAATTTTGATTTAAAGCTGTCGTGATTGCAGGGATTCATATTCTTGGTTCTTTCGGTAAAGTCACGTAGAAGGGAAACAATAAATATAAAACAATAAAATTCTAACGTTTCCACTGCAACACAAGCAATCATTATCAGGCGTAATAAAACACAGCAAGAAAATTTTCTTGCTGTGGTTTTTCACAGTCGAAACGTCGTGAGAATTTTATTGTTTTAGAATTGTATTGTTTTATATTTTATTATTTTATTTTTTCCCTTCGACGTGACTTTACCGAAAGAACCAAGAATATAGACAAATGTCAGTTTAACACGACTAAAATCATCCATAAGAGGATTTTGGGTTAGACCGCGTAAATATATAAATGTGTCGTTAAAACCCGCCACCACCCGACACAGACAACTAGTAAGGGTTGTCACGTAAACAGAACGTGACAAGTCGTCACTCGTACAGCACTAGTGGGTAGTGTAGCGTATAGTGTAGTGTACTAGTACAGCACTAACCGGTGTGTTGGAGAGCCAAGCCACAACATTTACAATCCGAGTACGACGTTTCGCCAGTAATTACAACTAGCTTCATCAGGCGACAGCCAGATATGTGGAGAAGTCGCCTGATGAAGCTCGTTGTAATTACTGCGAAGTCTTCCTGTTTCGTTCCTTATATCGGAAGGAAACAGTAAGACCTCCACATATCTGTCTGTCGCCTGATGAAGCTAGTTGTAATTACTGGCGAAACGTCGTACTCGGATTGTAAATGTTGTGGCTTGGCTCTCCAACACACCGATTAGTGCTGTACTCGTGACGAATTGGCCACGTTCTGTTTACGTGACAACCCTTACTAGTTGGCTGTGTCGGGTGGTGGCGGGTTTTAACGACACAACATTTATATATTTACGCGATCTAACCCAAAAACCTCTATTATGGAAGACAAATGTTAACTTTAAATTCTGAGGTTTTTTGTTTTTATTGGCGTAAATGTGTCGATAAACCCACCACCATCTGGCACAGGCAATTAGTAACATTTCTTACGTAAACAAAACATGCCAATTAGTCACTAGTTCAGCACACCGGTGTGTTGGAGAATAACCCCACAATATTTACAATTCTAGTACGACGTTTCGCTGGCAATTACACCCAGCATCCTCCTGTTTCAATCTTAGAGGGGGTAAATGTGATCCAACTGTACATTGTAATGTATGTACATTGTGATGTATGTACAGATATGAACCCGCAGTGAGGGTAATCAGTGAGCGTAATCAGTAATATTGATCAGTGATTTGTCAGTGAGGGTTATCAAGTCGAGATATCAGTACGGGTGGATCAGTGAGATGATCAGTGAGGTGATCAGTAAATGGTCAGTAATGTTGATCAGTGAGAGTGATCAGTGAGGTGATCAGTAATGTTGATCAGTGAGGTGATCAGTGAGTGGTCAGTAATGTTGATCAGTGAGGTGATCAGTGAGTGGTCAGTAATGGTGATCAGTGAGAGTGATCAGTGAGATGACCAGTAATATTGATCAGTGAGGTGATCAGTGAGTGGTCAGTAATGTTGATCAGTGAGGTGATCAGTGAGTGGTCAGTAATGTTGATCAGTGAGGTGATCAGTGAGTGGTCAGTAATGGTGATCAGTGAGAGTGATCAGTGAGGTGACCAGTAATGTTGATCAGTGAGGTGATCAGTGAGTGGTCAGTAATGTTGATCAGTGAGGTGATCAGTGAGTGGTCAGTAATGTTGATCAGTGAGAGTGATCAGTGAGGTGACCAGTAATGGTGATCAGTGAGGTGATCAGTGAGTGGTCAGTAATGTTGATCAGTGAGGTGATCAGTGAGTGGTCAGTAATGTTGATCAGTGAGGTGATCAGTGAGGTGATCAGTAATGTTGATCAGTGAGAGTGATCAGTGAGGTGATCATTGCGGGTGGATCACGGCCACAAGGGGATCCGTGCTCTCGACCCGCGCGCCGCCGCCAAACCCAACAACAGCCACAGCGCCGCGTGCAGCGCGAATACAACAACACGGAGGACAGCAACACGAAGGACAGCAACACGAACGAGGCAGCGAGCGAGGCAGCGAGCGAGCGAGCCGACCGCGACTCACCGCTCCCCTTCTGCTGCCGCCACCACCGCCGCCACCGCCTCCTCCTCACGCCCGCCGGTGTTGTGAGGCCCCGCGGACAGAGGACATTGCGGGCGCGCCACGCTGCGCACACAGGCTGGGGTTTCTAACCCAGCCAGCAGACGCGAGGCCGCCTGCGAGTCGCCTCTGCAGGGCCAGACAGGCCGCACGCCGGGCCAGTGCTCCCCCACCCTTCCACAGGGCCGGCGATAGGAGGTGATTATGTATTATTAACTCGTTATTACGTACTCCTAAGGACCTGGGGGAAACCTGGATTCGAACCCTCTCAGATATCAACTCGGTGGTCTCATACAAATACCAGCTCCTGAAGCAACAACTCTCAAACATTGCGTTTCATTTTTGTATTTCCAGGAGTTGATACACATTATGCAAACGTGTTCATCCACTATGACTACAAAGGCTGGGAGCAGTAGCGGTGGTTAAAGCCCTGCACCATGAACCTGGCGACCCGAGATTCATAGTTGGCTACAGACATCAGTAACGAGTGATATCCAAGTTACCCCCCCCCCCCAGCACTGACCAGCTAGAAGTATGGTCAACCCCCATGACTGGTGAGACGTGCAAGCCTTCAGCACTGGATTGAGCTGCAAATGTGTTGTACCATGGGTGATTGGAGCATGAGGATTTACACACAAATTGTATCTGTACTGATGTTTCTTCTACGCTTCTGAACTAGCTGGAATGAATGTGCATTTAAAGAAGCAACGTCGACTTACATTTAAAATAATCAGGACTTACCCTGACCAGGCATACCCAACTGGAATTAAGCTGCAGTGAGCCATACCAGGGTGATATGACGTGCCTGGATGGTTCAAGTGCTTGATAAGCACATACTGTGCTGTATGGGGTGTGTATCCTGTAGAGGGCTTCAACAACTCTCAATGCAGACCTCAGGGCAGATGGAAGTAAAGTGTGAACATAAATATAATTTGCAAACAATATCCATCACCCTCACATTTGAACTCAACTACAACCAGAAACAATTGTATATTAACGAAATGTATTGACTTTTTTTTCAAATAAGTTTAACTCATTTGACACACTTGAAATTAATAGTAATACATTATACAGATACGTTTATGGATAATTTTATGCAGATAGGGAACTATTGGCTCCATGAGTATTGTAATGACAATATCAGAAAAACTTGATTTGAAGCTTTCGTGACTGCAGGAATTACTCTTTGGTTCTTTCGGTAAAGTAACGTAGAAAGAAAAATAAATAATAGAATACGTTTCGATTGCAACACAAGCAATCGTCATCAGGTAGAACTAAATTTGAGAGACAAAACACAGACACGGAGACACACAAGCGGAGAGAGACACAACATAGACAGAAAAATTACTCAACTCTTAAACCAACTGCAAATGTAACGAGACGCATTTTTTAAAATTCTACAAGTTTTATTTTCACATCAATACTTTTTTTTACAATTGACAGCATTCTGTCCACGATGCACAAGGTGAATGTGAGCCAGGTACATCTTTACATTCCGTGTGAACTACGGTCACTCGCTGTTTTGTATTGTTTTTCATATTGTGGCTGATACCCGCCACATCAGGATGCCATCAACATTAAGCAGCCATAAAAAAGCAGCACGTGCATTTTCCATTCACAGGGTCAATCATCCATGTCCGAGTTTAAAGTATATTTCATTTCAGCAGATGGTTGTGCTTTGAATATTCATCTTCCAAATAGATACTGAGTAGCTATGTGAATTGAAACATCAACCCTGTGCAACATGTCCTGTATGAAGCGATCTACATCACCAGTATTTACAACAAATATATTTAAACGTGCGTAATCAAGCTGACAGCAGCTCACCTCAACCCTGGCAGCTGAAGTAATGTTTGAGTGTGACATTGCAATACGGTTCTCCATTGAGTCAATATGCATATTAAGTAATTAGAAGCTGGAAAAATATGATCATTGGTTAAAAATATAAACCTCGGTCATGGAGGGGGGCACAAGGACCATAGTTTGGAGAGGCCCAGTGTAAATGTTAGAGTTGACAGTATAGGTTGAGAGCTTAAATAAAACATTTCTGCATATTTTTCTCTTTTTAATTAAACCCAACTACAAATCATGTCATTTATTCTCAGATACAGGAAGTGACTGGGATTCAGAGCCATCTTTTTCCTGAGATCCTGGACTAGAAAGGGACAAAATCCATTCCCCCTTCAATTGTTTGAAGTGAATATTCAGCAAGCCCTAACATTAGCACGTGGCATCCTCCTCACTGCTGCTTGCGGCCACCAAGACACTGATTGACAACGCCGAGTAGGTGAGAGTTCTCCAGCGCGGCTGCCACCCTCTCCTTGTCCGCGAGCTGCTTGTTAACTGTGTGTACACACGTGCTCAGCATAAACACTCAATACTGAGTCAATTGAAGGCATATTATATTCTGTATAGCAGTGCCATGATTGCAGTTTACAAAACCAATCTGCATTGCAGGAACATTAATCATTCGGGGTGTAATGATGCATCGATTCACCAAAATATATTGGTTAGCTCACAATGGGTGTAAATTGTGGCACCAATAAATCAGATAACGACAATAATGGTGTTCACTTTTTTCAGCCAAATACCGGGTCAATGAATACTGCCTCTCCTCAAACACAGAAGGTTCAAAGCTGATAACGTTTAATTAGGAAATGCTTACTGAGTCATTAAGATCTACATTAAGGAATATTGGGATGTTGTTTTTTTATTAAATTGTGGGAAAAAAGTGGACAACCAAGAGACGTGCCACACAAAAGGAGAATCCAACTGCACACCCGCACACATCGCCTGTCAGAAAGCCGCTAGCTACACTACCACCTAGAGACAACCGGACTTCCAAACTTGTAGCCATCTCCCACACGTCATCACTGCTCTGGCTAGAACTAGAGATGCACAATTCACATATCTGTGCTTTACCCACTTGACGACCAAGTACCATGCTTGAAGGTAGGTTGGCGTGTAAGAATGTCTCATTATTCAAACTGACATTTGACACCGCAATTGAAAACTAGACTGCACCACAGACTACAATACAGTGACATACGTTATTCTATCAATATTCTGGATGTGTATACAACAAAACAGGATAATTTTTGGGGTTCTCCGTGTTCTGAGAAAATTCCAAAGACTAAGCCCAACTCGTGCATACTTAGGATTTATAGGATTTCTTTGATAAAACCAAGACTCAAAGAACCCAAATAAAGCAATGTTTGCATCGTGTAGTTTCAATGCAAATAAAGAGACTCAATTCTAGATTTGAAGCTTTCGTGACTGCAAGGATCTATACTAAAAAATATTTTTACCTACGTGACTTTACCGAATAGAACCAAAGAGTATAAAGAGACTCTCCGTTCCAAAATAATGTGACCCTTTCAACTTTCAACTCATGCCAATTGAGTGGGAGACGTGCTCCATGCTGCGCGGCTGCCTTGTTACACTTGTGATGTGGTGCGCTTCATTACCTGCGTGCTCTGATGCATGCATGCCTGGAGCAATGTGCACGTCCACCTGGCGACACAAAAACAAAACCCCCCAACTCCACTGTTAGACTACATTTTATCACAACACAGAATATTCCAATACATCTGGTGGAGCCAACACAGAAGGCATTTCTGTAAGTTTTAATGGGCAAGGATATCACAAAACATACCTCAATTTTGCAACGACCTGCCTTATACAACACTAGATGGCACTCCTGTCATGCTGTGTATGTAGGGATGATTTTCTGCACATCGGTCGTTGGATATGTTTGAACTTTCAGAGATTGGCCAAATGAATCAAGTCAAAAATGTAAAAAATACATACCTTTTCTAACTACAGTTATGCATCATTTGAGCCATTATTGCAATGATGCTGGTTTACATGAAACATGCAGGTAAACAAATACAAGTAGGACTATCTGTACATACAAATAATGTATTTTGTTCTATTAGCTTACTGGCTTTCCAGACCAATAGACTTCCAGCAGCATATGACTCTTATGGCAGGACCCCGGGGTCCCTAATAAACGGAAGTCAAAATCGTAATTTTTTATTTTTGGCGTCTCCGTCCCATCGCGCACATAAACGCCGCGACCCACCTGGCGCGGATCATTCTATTGTTATGTCGTCCAAGCGCAGCGAGGACGAATGCGCGGAAGAGCTGAACAAGCTAATGCACTCCATGCTCGGGTATGGGCAGGATCATAAGTCTTATCCAAAGCTGCTCAAACTGCCTACACGATTTAAAGTCCTTCATTTATCATAACGGTTTGCATAATAGAATGAAACTGCGCTCTTATCGTCATTATTTGTGATCTGTTTAACAAGTAGGCTTTCGCGACCAAAATCATCCAAAATCTTTTTTTGGGTTAGATCGCGTAAACATGTGTCGTTAAAACCCGCCACCACCCGACACAGCCAACTAGTAAGGGTTGTCACGTAAACAGAACATGCGAATTCGTCACTCGTACAGCACACCGGTGTGTTGGAGAGCCAAGCCACAACATTTACAATCTGAGTACGACGTTTCGCCAATAATTCCAACGAGCTTCATCAGGCGATTTGCGGAGAAGTCTAACCGTTTCGTTCCTTATATAGAGGCGTAGATGTAGTGACCACCCTTCTGCGCTCTTGCGCCACGTCGGGGGGAGGGGATCACTGAGGCAACGTATATTATGCGAGCCCTTTGAACTTGTCCTTACTATCTATTGTGTATTAAAATAGCCGTACCAACGGTAATTTGTGACCTACCAATGTCTGCAGCCAGGATCAATCGATGACAATCCTATTACCTGCAGATACTTAACAGATGAGATTCGCTGCACTGTTAATTCCTCCTGTTTGATAAAAACAACTTCTCTTGCCCGTAAGCATCTGTGCAGAGGTTTTTTTTTGCGGTTAAGCCATAGTCCCCACATACTGCTCGTGTCAATGCGGATAACAGGAGCAGTGACCCACTACTCTGTTGAGTAACATTGGTATAAACGCTTGTTACAATATGAACAGCGCATTGAAAACGCCTACTATTAATGTACTGTTGACAAAGTGTGTTCACAAATCCACACTGACAAACACGATGATTGATAGAAGGGTGTAAATACATTTTAAGATAGCGTCTTTCAATAGAGGTACTGCATGTAAGTAGTTTTCAGTTTTAAAGGCATAGTTTAACAAGACAACACTTGCTACCATCCTTCAAACCCATTGGTGAAAAAGAACAAAGTTTTTGTCTACACTATAATGTAATGTTTATACGAGAGCCAGGGGCTTATGGGACCCCGGGGTCCCGCCGTAGGGTTCATATGTTTAGGAAAGCGAATTCTATACCAGTTTTTACTGGGTATCATCAGCAGACTCATGCTTGTGAAACAAATGCAGCTGATTGCCATATGTTATTGGCAAGGGCACTCCAAACAAATATGGGACCCCGTTCAAAGCAAAGAGCAGTAGTCTAAGCAAACTCATGCGTTGCTGTGATGCATTACGAGTGTCTGTGGAGCATTCTCGTCAGAAGCAAATATAAGCAGAAATCTCGTTTCACAGACAATTAAAATTTTACTTTAAAATTCGGACCTAGGGGAGCTTCACCAAGTCTCTGTCTCGGAGGGTGGACAAATCTCTTTGGTGTACTGTTGTTGGTGACAAGCTACACACTACAAGATTGCCAGGGTAAGCTCAGATACACAGGAAACACTCAAATACCCAAAAGTATCCGTCCATAATCAGTTCACTGGACTGCCTCTGCAGATGCCTAAATACTAACGGCATTACATAAAATGTCGTGATAACAGCCAAAAGCAGTGGATAGGAAGTTATTCCAGGTGTAATTATGCCTTAATTTCGTTATTCAGATTATTCTAGTTCTCAATACATGCATTAAGTTGTGCATTTTTGTCCGATTCATATACGTTGTATGTAATTGGTTTACGTGAACCCTTCGGCCAGTAGATACTGCTACAATGCAACACAACTCTTCAATTAAATCTCGACCCTGAGTCATGGGAATGTGTTGTTTCGTGATGGGGCGAATCGCTGCGCCCCCTAGTGGTGAGGCAAGGCAGGTAGGAAGCAGCAGCAGCCACCTTGAAACGGTCGGGCAGGCAGCGCAGCAGCTGGACGCGGATGGCGAGGCCGATGAGTGTCGCCATGCTGCAGTGCGGGATGGTTGGCGTGAAAGCCACCACCACCATGCTCTCCGCATCGGTCACCTGAGCAATGCCACGACCCGCACGGTTCACTCTCAGGGCTCGCAACACACTCAATGTACTGCTCTCTTTCATGTGTTTTATCATCAAGGTAGGTTGCTGCAAGTTAGAGGTTGACTTTTTTTTAGCCAAACATTTTTTTTAGGAAATACCCCATTAGGACTGGTGCCCGTACGTCCACCACATGTTTCATACCGCTTATGCGTGTGCACGAATTACATGGGCCAAGCAATGGTGCTGGTGTGGGAATGTCTGCAGTTGCAGGTCTGGGTAGATGAGCCAACCCAAGGGAAGGCATGTGGCTGTAGACACGAGCGCGTGGGAGAAGCGCCACTTACACTGACATAAGCCTCCTCCACCACCTTGAGCTCCTCCAGCGTGAGGGGGTGTTCAGGGTCATTGATGCCTCGGATCAGATGTGACAAGTGCGAGTTAAGTAGTCAACATTGAACGTTGTTAAGGGGCTTGTCTTACGATTAATTCTGAGGTTAACTCAAAATCAAGCACTTTCATGTGATAACTATATTTCTAAGATGATTTCTAAAAATAATATGCTAAACCACCAGACATCTCAGGCCACTGCAATCATAGCATGAGGTAAAGAATTGCATTAATTATTAATGAATTAATCAACACGTCTCGTGATTTGTTAAATTAAAACGTATTTCCATTTTAAACGACTTAAACTGTAACTTGTGGTTTTATATACATTAGGGTTCAATTAACTTTCTCTGCTTGTTTAAAATACAGCAATTTGAACTATGCATTATATAACTTGACAGTATTATGTAAACCGTAAATATAATTTGATAAGCTACAAAGTAAAACCAAATATTGATGTAAAGCTTTCGTGACTGCAGGGATTCATCTTCTGGGTTCTTTCAGTAAAGTCACGTAGAATGGAGATACAATAATAATAACATAATATTCTGTTATTATTTTTATTATCAGAAGATAAAACAAAATAATTCCACTTTAAAGACGGGAGGTGGATTCCTCTGAGGGCCTATCGCGGCATGACGAGGCCTCGGCATCGCCTGCGCCGCTGCCCGGAGAAGGGCCCCACAGCCGGGCGGGTTTCGCGCAGGGAAAATGGGTGGGGGTTCGGAGGAGGAAAGCCAAACGTGAGTTCACAGAGCGTGTTGGCGAAGCTGCGTGGAGGCCAAGTGAGGAGATGCAGATGGCGAGGAAGTGCCGGCGGTGAGGAATTGGAGGAGAGGATATCGAACACTTCCCGGGAGTCGATCTCGTCGACGACGGTCTCATCTTCGTCGCGCTCCGTGAGGACGCGATCCGCGCTCTTCGCGAACACGCGAGGTCGCGCGTTCTCCAGCATCGCCCCCCGCAGCTGCCCCTCTCCGTCTCTCTCCCTGGCTTTAGATCTCTTCCGGGACCGCCGCCGGCGCCACCAAACACCTCTCTCTCTCTGCCTCTGCTCGCGAGCTGCTATGAAGAGCGCCCCGACACAGACGGAGTGGGCGGTGCTGATGTTTGTTTCACCCACCGCGCCGGGCACTCGTTTCAGATGGAGTCGACCAAGAGGAGGCCCGTAGCGGTCCAGGCGTCACTCGCCACTGATGTGAGCCGCGAGCGCACGATATCGTAAAGCAGCGCACGATATCGTAAAGCAGCGCACACCACGAACTATGCCGTGACGTTCAAGTGTCGTAAACGCGGCTGCCGTAAACGCTGCTGCCCCAGAAATCTGACGGTGCCCCTTCGAGTCAAAGGATGGCTGCGTTTGGGATTTTTCAAAAGACTTCTTCCAAAACATCCTTTAAGTGGCCTCTTTATCCTTTAAGGCGTCACACGTTTCCAATGGCCTGCTACGGAGCAGGCCTCACTGTTTATCGCATAGACAGTCAAACCAATATATTTTATATATTCTTTGGTTTAATATCTATTGCCAGTGATTGAATTTATTCTGAGTGCAAAAGCAATTACGTTTACAACTGTGCGTTTTGAGAAGAGACCAAACCCTACACTGAGAGCTCACTTTAATCGTGGGGTGCTGCTTCTAACCTCAGGCGCCTGGCCGTCCACAACTTGGTAATGTTAGCAGTGAAGTCACAAGGCTAACATGGAAACGGATACTTTTCTCAGGTTCCTGCGGTGACCACGTTTCCTCCTTACAGTCTCAGAATTGATACAGGGTGCGATTAATAACACTTCCTCGTTTTATGGATTATGTGCCCAGCCATGCATGGCTTCCCATGAGAGTACAATAATATATCCCAGCATTGGACAGATTTCACTATAGATTGTTAACTATCTTCTTTGGTTCTTTCGGTAAAGTCACGTAGAATGAGAATAAAATAATAAATTGATCAAATAAAATAACAATACAATTCTCACGACGTTTCGGCCACAACACAAGCGGCCTTCATCAGGTGAAGGGACGAGACTGGAGGACAGCGCTGGAGCGAACAAAGCCTCGATTAGAGAGACTCGATTAGTTGAGCCTTCTTAAAAGAAGATGAATCCTTGCAGTCACGAAAGCTTTAAATCGAAATTTAACCGCCTCTACGGGGAGGGATTCCACACAACCTTAAGATCATTCAACAGACTCCGGGATAAGAAGGCTCAACTAATCGAGTCTCTCACCTTTCTGAAGAGATGCCGCGACTCTAAGGCGCTTCGTTTCTTCTCACACAACTTAAAGGTCGCGATCTGAGCGTGGCTTTGTTCGCTACAGCCTTGACAAAGGAGTTTTCATATCAACAGGAGAATTTAGCATTCAAATAGCTGTGTTAAAGTGTTGGATTAGCAGGGCGTTAAAGTCAGAAATTAGCATGTAACTGGGAGATTAGCATGATGTTAATGTGAGGGATTAGCATGTAACTGGTCACGGAAATAGCTATGTTAAAGTCAGAGTTTACATATCAACAGAGGCATTTAGTATATTGACGCTAAAGGACTGCAACTACCCAACTATCATACAATAAACCGATGTGAAAAAACTAAGTATAAACTACTTCAATATAATAAATGTACTCAATATATTCTTCAATAAGTTGAGCTATTAACATAAAGTAACAGGGTATACACTACACTATATAATGAATACCATATAGTAAACTGATAAAAAACTAAAATATAAACTACATCAATGTTATCAATAAACTCAATATACTCTCCAATCAGCTGAGCTACTAACAATAAGTCGTTATACATTACAATTCTATGTCGAAAAAAAGGGTGGCGGTTTTTTCTTTTCAACATTAGCACCACGGAAAGCGACGAGCTTTGTTCAGACGGACGAGTCCATCTATGCTCGGAACGGAGGAGGGGGGAGAAACAGCCACAATGCGCTGCTCTGTCCTGTGCTGCGTTACAACTATGTTATAAACTGGACTACTATGCATTGCAATGCTATACCTTCCAATCTAAACTACATTGTATAATATCGTATACACAGCCCAATGTAAGCTCTAACATTATGCATTATATTGATATATCTCCAACTAAATTTTGTTTCTACATTACACGACTATACACCATAATATACACTGCCATAGACAAACCCACCCTTGAATTATACAATGCGTTACTATACACTACCCTATACTTTAGACTGTAAAATATTAGACTTGTAATATTACACTATGTATTATTCTACCAACCCTACTGTATACCACACTGCTGTATATTCACTATACAATTACGATACTATATATTGCCTTATGAATTATGTTAAACATTAAAATGTTATACTATTTATTATACAACATGCTATAAACCAGTCCCAGTCTCCTCTTTTTATCCCCTTGACTTCAAATTTCCGGGGTCACGATGTACCGTGCGGCCAATTGTGCGCCTACCTGTGATTATCGCCCGTTTTTTCTCTGACATGGAGCGCTGCGGCGGATGCTTCTGCGACCTATCCTCTGTCCATCCGTACTCATTAATGTATAACTAACCCTGGTTAATCTGGAAGGATACCATGCGAGTGTGTATTCGGTATGGGGGTCGAGGTAGGTCGTGGCGCTGCGATCCGCTGACCTCATGGTCTGTTCTTCTCGCTTAATATTCCACCCCCCAGCCCCTCCCGATGTCGTGAATGACTCATTGCGGCTGGCCTGGTGAACTTTTTTGCGCCCATACAATTTTAAGCCAACTCAGGGGCACCGCAATGTGACCTGTCCTGCGAGGGCCGGTCAATCTCCTGGCACTGGGAAACCTAGGGACCCTTCGGATTAAAACCCGCCATGCCAGGCAATCCCCCGCCAGGACACTCCGTGTGTGTGCTGCTCAGAGGCCGTGGCACCACAGTTACGACTCGTCCATGTAGTGAGTCAGATGGCGTAACATTTGTCTCGTAAAGCCTCCCTCCACCCGACATGGAAAATTAATAGAGTTGTCATGTAATTAATAATCGTGCCAATGTATTACCGCTTCAGCAGCAGCACCACCATGGACGCATTTATGGGAAAGCGATCCACACACATGGAACATTTGAGTGCGGGTGTTTCGCTGGTAATTACAGCCAGTGATTACAGCCAGTATCATCAGCAACTGTCAGAGATCTGAATCACGATGTTTAGGCGTTAGAGACGTTTTTGGGGGCTCATGCATGATATCGTCCGCTCTAGCACCCTAGACGCATCTCCAGTTCACCTGGCGCCGCTATTTCGCCTCTCATACGCACGGAGCGTGTAAAGCAGGGGTCACCAAACTACGGCCCGCGGGCCGTAGTTTGGTGACCCCTGGTGTAAAGGCAAACAGCAAAACCCACCCTGGGCGACTATTTGTATCGATCAGCGAGCTATATGGGCGTCGCTCACAGTGAGGGAAGATACCTCGAGTCGTGACACTTCCCCAGTCACACTTCTTCCCCAGGCAGACTCGGCCTCTCCTGAGTCCGTCCCTCTCCTTCCCATAGCCACACAGAAATGCTGCTGCTCTCACAGTTAATATTGTTTACGAATGCGTTTGATCCGTGTGATTTTTCGCAGTTTACAAATGAATAAATAAAAGCACGGCCGTGGGAGTTGAACCGAGCGGCACCGGTACCCGGCACTGGTGCCGCTTGCGCGCTCTCTGATGTCGCCACAGTGGGACCAGGCGAGAGCGCGGCTCGGCACGGCTCGGCAAGGAAAACAAATTCCACCGCGCCCTCTTCCCCGAGCCCACTCGGTGCCGGGTAGAGTCCCCACCGCAAGGGCTGCCGGTAGCAAACTGAGCCAGCATCCTTCCCGCTGGTCGCAGAAACAAGTTCGCATCAAACTCATGGATCGCACGCAACTCGGTCCTTCATCGCACTGAGGGCAATGAAAAACAAGTATGACCTTGAAGATAACCCACAGTGGTGGTCCCATGGGGAAACTATCCGCATACACCCAGGATTTAGGAAACCAATTTTTAGCCTATATGCTGAAACTAGATTCAGCAGTTCCTCTTTTAATGTGGAAACAAACGCCCTCTGCAACTTTTGAAGAGAACACGCCTCGGCCTGACCACACCATTTTCTTCCCTGCAGCCACATGGTCGCGGTGCCCTCGCTCATCTGCTTTCTCAACTCGGTGCTCAGCTGGAGTCAAAGACCTGCGAGAGCCAAAATGATTTTCAAGTTGTGTGTTCTGTGCTGTCTGTGGCTGGCCGCTGTGAATGGGCAAGACAGTGGTAACAACAAGAGTGGTAAGCGTTAGCACACACTTGCTTGTTTCATTTATGGAATGTGAAGAAACAGAATCCTCGCCGGTTTTTTAAAAATACATTATTACGAGATAGAAGCAACATGATCACAGCAATCTGTTCATGAGCCGGATGCCAATGGCGCGGTCTGCTGCTGGTCACGACGAGAGGACTTCAGTATATAATAGAGGGTTTTTGGGTTAGATCGCGTAAATATATAAATGTGTCGTTAAAACCCGCCACTACCCGACACAGGCAACTAGTAAGGGTTGTCACGTAAACAGAACGTGGCCAATTCGTCACGAGTACAGCACACCGGTGTGTTGGAAAGCCAAGCCACAACATTTATAATCCGTCGTACTCATCCGAGTACGACGTTTCGCTAGCAATTACAACTAGCTTCATCCAACACACCGGTGTGCTGTACTAGTGACGAATTGGCCACGTTCTGTTTAAGTGACAACCCTTACTAGTTGGCTGTGTCGGATGGTGGCGGGTTTAAACGACACATTTATATATTTACGCGATCTAACCCCAAAACCTCTATTATGGATGATATTGGTCGCGAAAGCCTCCGTGTTAAACTGACTTTAGTAGAGTTAGAGTAGTTTTCCCATTCCTCCTCCTCTGTTAAGGGAGTGCAGACCACAGTGGATTGTTACATGGTCCAACATGTGGGCTGTATGCCCACAATTGCAATACTGTGACTTGTGTCTCTAATGCATCTCTATGTATCTCTATGTGTCTACGGGTTTACATGGTCCATAGTTTGGATTGCAGGGGCACAGTCGCACTAATCTGGCTTGTCTTTGCATTTTCCATTAACGAAGGAGATGTGCGCATCGGCCTGTCGTATGTTAAACTTCTTTTGCACCGTATATAGCCCAAGCTCCTGCATATGATAACTCTTTAAATCAGTGCATGAGGTGTAGGAAATGTGCAGACTTGGGATTACAGAGAGAGAGAGAGCGTGAATTGGAGAACACGCAAGAAACGTCGTATTGACCGTTAAGAGAGCAGATGGGCTTGGGCAGTACACGCCATGGTTACAAGGGGTTTGATGGTCGCACGAGCGTGGCTCATGTCCGAGAGGGACATTCACCGTGGAGATGGAGCAAAAAAAATTGGCTTGTGAGGGAGCTTGGTGGATTGTTGTATCTCGAGACGGTTGTGGAATTGCGTGGACTTGAGGAAGTCTTCATCCAACAGTGGATATAACATGGCTGATGATACTTTAAAAGGGAATTTGCCAAACATTGTTTAGTTTTTATTTGTTTTATTTTATTATTTCCCTTCTACGTGACTTTACCGAAAGAACCAAGAATATGAATCCCTGCAGTCACGAAAGCTTTAAATCGAAAAATACAAGCCTCTGTAAAGTGCTCAGAATAAATAAGGCTCATGAATTTAAAATATACCTTTATCAATATCATCTTCACCGTTGCCATGTTTACCTTCATCATCACTATACCTTCACTGTGTCAATATCTTTTAATTATCATCTTTATCATTGTCAACGTCGTCATTATTGCCATCACCACGTTATCCATGATCAGAATCAATCATTTTTATCAACCATATTCACCTTCCTCTGTGTGCATTCGTTCACTCCACCAGCATGTGACCCCATTTCTGGGAATACAAACATCGTTATAAAAGGTGGTGACAAGACTTCGCACTGCACATTTGCAGACCCCTGGTGTAACCCCATGTTACTGGATGGGTGGCAATGTTTCACCAGCATTGGGTCAAGCGAGCCTGCTGATGAAGCACTGCAAGTAGAAACTGGTCTAGAGTTTGCTTGTATTGAACGAATGCTGTTGAAATTGTTCTCTTAGAAGACCATGTGGTTGACAGAAGCGTAGAAAATATCGAATTTGTATGTTTCTGGACAGACATGTGGGATTGTTTATTTGTTGTTACCTACATTCTGCACAATGACGTAAATTTGTATTTTTTTACAGAGACATCAACTGCAGGAAGAACCAGCACAACCATACAGAATAGCAACGCATTGTCAATCAAAGGTAACGTTCCGACACGCAGCAGTGCGTGTAGTCAACATCACTGTCAAAATCAAGACTGCAGGTAAAGCCTATTAGAGGTCCTCCGGACGCTTACCCTCGGTTCATGTATCAAATAAAAAAAAATCAGGACGTCTTGAGTCAGTACCATGGGTGGGATGCGAGTTAGCGGTCTGAGGTCACTATAAATAGAGCTCAACCCGTGATATTACAGAAATAGAAGGGCAGAGTCCCAACCCGAAGACACTGCTACACTAACACCCCAATGATATTACACTCACGATCAACCTCACGCCCGGCCAGTTGGGACCCGTCGTCAGTCACTCACCTCCTGTACCCACGGTATCAGGGAAGGAGTCGCACCACTCTGGTGCCAACACATACGGTTCTATGTTTATCCATACAAACACCGCCCGAGTCTCTCATTCTTGGACATCGGTAGCCTGGTGTTAGCATTACCTACATATAGGGCCGAATCGACTGTGTGAGAATTGGAAAGCAGCTGGACACCTCGTTGCAGCGTACTTCTGTGCACGAGCTAAAGTCCCACCTTGCACAAGCGTATTCAGTGCCACACCGTTCTATGCGACCATCGCCATGTGTCTAAAGTTACTGCTTCTGTGAGCATCTCTCAGCAAAACGCCCACGTTCAGAGCACAGACTCTCAACGTGGAAGTGCAGCTCAACATTGCAACGCTATGTGTGTGCACACAAGACTTGTCAGTATTACCACAACTCTATACCGCACAAAACTGTTGCCATAGTTCATGCCAGGACACTGTAGTAGGACACCCAGGGCAGGCACTCCGAGCCGTGCGATTCCACTCCCGTGCTGGTTCGCCACTTCCGCAGTTGGCTGCCCCACCAAGCTGCCTGAAAACAGAGGGGGAACCCTATCAGGCTCTCCCTCTACCCATAGACACCCTACATTTGTATAGTGGGCGTAGAAGTTCTGCTTAATCTCCCTGACTCGTTCTTCCTATAACGTCAACGCCTCTATGCTGGCCGTTGTCCCTGGCTAGCCACCTGATGTCCTCCTGGTCCGTAGTTCTGCAAAGCCATCACCCCGACCGTGAGGAAGGAGCCATCTGAGGATCCAATCAAAACCATCACCTTGCCATACATAGCAGGGATCACCAAAAAGATATCCAAAATCATGAACAAACAAGATCCGGGTTCGATTTAACACATTACGTAACATTCGTGATCTGATCCCATCTGTGAAGGACAAGATCCCTGACATGCAATATCCCAGCGCCTACAATCAACTAAGCTGTATCTGCGACAGCAGTTACATTGGGGAAACTAAGCGACATGTCTTGGACCGTGTTTGTGAGCATGAGGCAGATTTGAAACACGGTAGGACCAATACCTCGGCCGTGGCTGATCATTGTTTTAATGCGGTGGGCTCACGAAATTGATTTCTCTAAGACGATGGTACTTTGCAAGCTCACTGGTTATCAACAAAGATTCGTTCATGAAGCCATCCATATATACAGACACAGACAATTTCAACCGAGGGGATGGGTACAAACTCTTTAAGTCATAACTTGTATGCTTTCTTATCACCTTCTGTGCTTCACCTTGGTACTCTCTGACCCCAGGGCACATATGCCCCGCCCACTTCGTTCTGACACCAGAAGCTTGTACCACGCCCGTTTTTGAAATCTGAAGACGATCGCTTGTGTTGTGATTGAAACGTCGTAGTTTTTATTTAATTTACTTTTATTATTATTTGATCTATCTTCGTGATTTTACCGAAAGAACCAAAGAATATGGAGTGTTCCAGTTGCTGCAACCTCTCTCTCCCAGGGAGTCCCCATTAAGCAGACTTGGGTCTCTTTTTATATACAAGGTGCTTCAAAAAATGTTAACACTTATATGGGACTATCGTTTTTAATGGGAAATAAACCGGATAACACACTGTAACATGATAACAAATGTATGTTAACAGTTTCAAAAAGTCAAAGAGTCTCCACTTGTTCGCCATCATTGTCAACACGTGTCTGGAATCTTCTCCAGGTGGTCTCCAGAGCCCGGAGGCAGCACATTTCTTTTGGTATTGTTGCAAATTCTCAGAAGTGTGAACGTTTGTTTGAAGCACCCTGTATATAATTTCCCCTGGTTATTCAATGCTCCCAGATCATTGGTTGATAAGACCCATAATCTGCGAGATTCATCATTCACACCGATGAAGACTGATAAGCTCTCTCTGCACGTAGAACCAATCGGACCTGATTAATTCTCTAGCCACTAATTGCTCTTCTGTTTATAATCTTTGGAATCTTTGACAATTAATATATTCAGATCTACGAAGCCTAACGAGCTGAAAATTTCTCCACAGACTCGCCTTGCGTGACAATTCAAGATTTAATTACCGGTCCAGGTCTTGCCCATCGTGGTCCTTTTCGTGTTTTAACTACATTTTAATCTATAATAATACTCTGTAACACAATTTTTGTTCCTGGGTAGCAAGTGTTATTTCGTAATTGCTTATGCCTAAAAATTATGTAAATGGATATTATTCCCAACAAACTTTGCTTTTGTGACCAGGACAGTGATATTTGGAAATGTACCAATTTTCAATGAAGTCAGAAAAACAACAACATATTAATCAAAATTAACATGTATTTATACTAAAGTAATATAAAAATTACTACGCAAGATTTGGAAGTGAATCGTTTTTCGAGATTTACAATTATACTGTAAATCACTTTTACGAATCAGCCCCCAAATGTAGTCTCCCATCATGTTCTCGTTATACTCTCCTTGGTAGCGGCATTGAAAGTCCAGTATATCCTGGTGGAAGCGCTTGCCTTGCTCCTCCGAGTACGCTCCCATGTTCTCCTTGAATTTATCAAGATGAGCATCAAGGATATGGACTTTGAAGGATATCCTACAGCCCATTGTGCCATAGTTCTTCACCAGAGTCTCAACCAGCTCCACGTAGTTTTCGACCTTGTGATTGCCCAGGAAGCCACGAACCACTGCGACAAAGCTGTTCCAAGCTGCTTTCTCCTTACTAGTGAGCTTCTTGGGGAATCCATTGCACTCCAGGATCTCTTTATCTGTGGTCCGACGAAGACACCGGCTTTGACCTTTGCCTCAAACAGCTTAGGGAAGAAGTCTTTAAGGTACTTGAAGGCTGCCGACTCCTTATCTACAGCTCTGACAAATTATTTTATAAGGCCCAATTTCATGTGCAGTGGTGGCATCAGCACCTTCCGGGGGTCCACCAGTGGCTCCCACTTGACGTTGTTCCTGCCCACATAAAAACCGGTCCGCTGTGGCCAGTCCCGCCTGTGGTAGTGCGCCTTGGTGTCCCTGCTGTACCAAAGGCAAAGATAGCAGGGAGACTTGGTAAAACCGACTTGGAGACCCATCAGGAATGCCACCATTTTGAAGTCTCCAATGACCACCCAGCCATACTCATCATACTTCAAGGCGTCCAGCAAGGTCTTGATGCTGTTGTATTCCTCTTTGAGGTGCACCGAGTGAGCCAGGGGAAGAGACGAGTACTTATTACCATTATTGAGCAGCACGGCTTTGAAGCTCCTGGATGAGCTGTCAATGAAGAGGCGCCACTCATTCTGGTTACAGGTGATTCCGATTGCCTCAAACGGACTGGTCACATTGTGGCAGAAGCAGAGCCCATCTTGACGGGTGAAGAAGCTGCAAAAAGGTTGGTGATGCTTCCTCTGATCTGCGACTTGCACACTGTCATCAAACAAGTTCCACTGCTTGAGCCTCGACGTCAAAATCTCGGCATTGGACTTTGTGAGACCAAGATCTCTGCTCAAGTCGTTGAGGTCTTTTTGGTTGGGGTAGTATGGGTGTCTCTCCTCAGCTCCACCTCTGAAATTGTCATCTGGATCTACAACGTCTTCCTCGCTCTCTGACTTGCTGCTCTCTTCTAAAGACAGCTGCTCTCCGGATGAGTGGGTACGGGGAGTTGATGGTAGTGTGGCACCGGGGTGATGGATGAAGGAAGGTCCGGATACGTGATAGCAGGTGCATTCTTGCCAGTCTGACGTTCGGAAGGGTCCACCATACAGAAGTAGCAGTTGCTTGAGTGGTCAGTGGGTTCCTGCCAAATTATTTGGATAGTGAACTTCATGGCTGTCTTTTCCCCTCTGTACCATCCTCCAAAAATACATTTATTTCACCCATGATTAATATGTAAGAGATTCTCGCAACATTTTTCATATATATTTTTTCAATAACATTGAAAATTGTAAAATATAAAAAAAAAATTGAACCTAAAATTCCAAGCAACAATTGTACATCTTACCTTCCAGAGTTTTTTTGCATTGCTCGCAGGTGAAATGAGGTGCCCAGGGTTTGCCTTGATCCCCGACAGGCATGCCAAAATATGCCTTGTAGGCCTCTCACATCTTAGCAGATGCTTCCACAGAGTACTTTCTCGCTCTTGTCTTGATAAATTGGCCGCAGACATAGCAAAATGCGTTTGCCGGATTTTTGCAGCCTCTTGATGCCATCTCAGAAAAATGCAGATATGTATCCACTTAGACAGCTGGAACTAAACTGAACTGGTGGTCTTAAGGCGCCTGTATTTATACTACTATTTATATTACTGGAAGGTTATAGAATGTTCTCGAAGTTACTCCAAGTTTACTCAGCACTGAATCTATTTGGAATGTTCTGGAAAATAGGTAAATTCCATAATATCACTGTCCTGGTCACAAAAATAAAGTTTGTGGGGAATAATAGCGATTTTCAGTACTTTTGAGGCATAAGCAATTAGGAAATAACACTTACTACCCAGGAACAAAAATAAATACAATTTGTTACACAGTGTAATCGTACATTTTACCCCCCCTTTTGAAATCATCGAATGGTCATGCCTACCTACGACGGCAAACGTCTGGTTCAATGACAGTGGATGTTGCTGGCCAGCCTATGAGCAATGAAAGAGATGCGAATGCCACCGCTGGTTATGGCGCCCCAGTGGCTGTTAAGCAGCCCTATTCCTTACAGCGAGAGCAACAACAATGTAAAATAACAAGGTTTTCAACGCACACACACAATCTGCACTCAAAAGTAGAAAAAAATTGATGTGCTCAAAAAAAGTTGGTGGCTTCCTTTTGACATTTGTTTTTATGCAGGCCACCCTCTTTTATTGAGCATATCAAATTAGATTAATTCCGGGGTCAACATTTTTTTTCCTACTGATGACGATTGCTTGTGTTGCGATGAAAACGTCGTGATTTAAAAAAAATATATAATAACTTTATTTTTATTATTTTATTGTTATTTTTTCTATCTACGTAACTTTACCGAAAGACCCAAATTATATCAAAATAATTGATTTTATTATTTTGAGTACAAATCAAAGTGTGCGCATTGAAAAGGTAATTTTCTACCAATGTTTTTTTTATTATTGGAAAACTCACGTGCAAAACTGTTTTTTATTTATTTAGAGCAATCAATCTGCTACTGTACCATTGCCGCACGTATATATTGGTGTTTTTGTGTTATAGAGGAAACAATTACAGTACGCAGCACAACCAGCCAGCCCAGCAACACATCGCCAACAATCAATACTAACGTTCCTACACACTGCAGTGCGTATAGTCAACATCAACACTGTCAAAAGTCCAGCCTGTGGACATAAACCCTCTGTGTTGAGTTTGTACTCTCTCCCCCTATTCTGCATGGGATTCCTCCGGGTTATCTGGTTTACTCCCATCGCTAACAAAAACCATACAAACTCTTTGGTTCTATTGGGTAAAGTCACGTAGGTGAAAATAAAATAACAAAAAATCACGACGTTTCGGCCGCAACACAAGCGGCCTTCATCAGGTGAAGTGACGAGCCTGTCTGGCTCGTCCCTGCAACTGGTATTGGCGAAAATATCCCAATGCTGAAAAAAAATCACCTGAAAGTTACTCGGTGGGATTTCGCCCCCCGACTGTGATAACGTGGCAGGAGCCTCCTGAAAAAGAGTTGAGACTCAGGATTTTGTGAGTAACAAAGCTCAAGGATAAAGATATCGGCCTCTAGCGTGATGACAAAGTGGCTCTCCTCCTTCACCCTGGATGCGTGGCCACTTTTCGTCTCTGCCAAAACGTGCAGTGAGCTGTGTGAAGGCGAAACCTAGTAGAAGTGCACAATATCCTGTGCTATTACATCGCTGTCCACATCCGAGGCGTCGCTTTCAAGAGTTTGCGGAACTGTGACTCTGACCCCCGGCTGTTGTTTGTACGCAGGTGATTTCGAGCGCTTGTTTGCAAAGGCGAACTTGATTCCCCTGCTGCTGTTCGGGTTATCGGTCACTCTGGTCACCCTGCTGGTGTTCGTCTGCGTGCAGAGGTGAGCCCTTAACTGATTCTTTTTTAGACACGCTTCCATTACAAAGCCACGCATTCAAGCTGATGTCCGTATCCTGCGTCTGACCACACCTATGATTAGCACGGTTGGCTACGTACGGTGCGAAAGAAGCTTAACACACATTACATACAATACCTGACCAAACCAGTGGGAGAGCACCCAAACTCGTCACATCTCAGAAGCTAAGCTGCTCTGAGTCTGGATACGTGTCAGGTGGGCGACCGCCACGCACACACAGGGCTGTCCTTGGGCTGCATGGTGAGCACCAGAGGGAAGTGCAGGAAAGACCACGTTATGTACTCCCACACTGACCAGCGTAGTGAAGTATGGACAAATGGTTCCCTCGATGCCACAAGGCGTGAGTCGGTTCTTGGCCAGAAGTGGATTCAGCAGAGGGCTGTGCGGGTACCTCTCTTGCGTAAGAGTCTTGTGCTGGGCCGGCTCGCCTGGGACGAGTGAGCAAATGGGACAACGTCCACGACGGGCTAGGATAGAATTGGCAGAACACCGCCATAGAGGGGGTTGGGATTATTTTTTCATGATAAATGTTCACACCTGGATTGGATTGCACTTGGGTAAAATGCGCAGAGAACTCAGTGGGCACTTGGAGAACTAAGCGGGCTCAGTGGCAGCGAGCACCCTAACCACGAATCGGCCAGACTGAGGAGACGATGAGCACGTGCCTATTCCCCAGGTCGTGCAGGTGCCTCGCAGCTCGCAGGCGCAGGGGCAGCGGCGTATTGGAGGTGCAGATGGTGGACATCAGAGAAGCGGGAAACCTTACGGCAGAGACGGGCAGCGCCCACGGCATCGAGAAGGAAAATCCTCCACCCTGCGGTGCCAATGGAAGAACGATCCTCCCCGCGACGGGGCGCACGGCCGAAGGGGCGGGCGAGGCGGGGGCGGAGGGTGGCGGCGGGATCTACGAGCTGGTGGACGAGGTGCAGGAGCACGCCAGCGGTGCACCGAAAGCCGCGACCCCCGCTGCCGCGGACGACGAGTTGACCATGGTGGACAATGAGCTGTACCGGAGCGTGGGGGAGGCGCATCAAAGGGGCGCCGTTGTGGAGGCGGCGGGCGCCGGTGCGAAGGAGCCGGTGCCCGCGTGTGCAACTGTTGCTTCCGCTTGACTCCGGGTGACCTCGTACCATGACCGTTGCGAATCCTTGTTAAGGCGCTCCTGTTCACAGTCGGCGCCTTCATTGCACCTGCTCCTCTGTGACCAACCCAGGGCGATGTGCCGAGCCAACATCTCTCATTCAACAACAGGTGGCTCACGTCCCGACTGTTGCGGGAGTCACGAGTGTAAGGGTTAGGGTTGCACTGAATATTTGATTGGCTCTGCGATTGTGGAATGCACGAAACAAAGGTGAGGAAGTTAGTGATGCTGTGGTTTCTTTCACCCAGCCAGTGACCCAGACCACAAGCTGCGAGCCGTCACTGCTGCTGTGTCTTAGTTGATTGTTCCAGCACTCACCAAACCCGGCTCCCAGCGACATCACCATTTTTCCATCGTGAAATGATCACTTGCAGAGAGAGAAGGTATCTTGCTTTTATTTCAAGTATTTTTTGGTCTATTTCCAGGTTATTTTACCTAGTTCCCAGTAAGTACATTTATATATGCGCAACTCTTAGACCCTATGTCATCACGAATGCACTTTCAGCAATATATTTTCACGCAACGTATGACAAACCCTAAAAATGGCCAGTTTACACGTAGTGAGTCCAACTGAGTCACAGACGTTGTTCTTTAGAGGCAACACATTTATTGTAACATCAACACGTTAACACGAAGGGGTAACTGCCCCTTCACCAGATACAGCCTAGGGTGGTGACCACCCAGCTAACTACACTATACGTAGGAGTTACAGCTACGAAGGGTCGGGCCCTCACTCGAATCCCCGACCACGTATTGATGCCTCGCAGGACGTAGAGCTTCCAGCTTGTAGACGTAGGGCTTCCAGCTGTCGAACGAAGAACCCCGGTCCCTTTCAGGGACCCACCTTATATCCTCCCGGGTCGGGGCCGCTCTGCCATTGGCCCTGCCCACTTTCTCGAGCGTTCTAGCTCCCCCTCGATCCCTCTTGGGCCCTCTCCCCGGACACGTGATCACCCCCTATTCCCCCCACCTGGGGCCCTCTCTATGGACACTCCGGTTCACGTGTCTATGGGGTCAACCAGAGTGCCATGGCCCGGGGCTTCGTAGTCAAGCACATATTTTAATTCTCAGGGCTAAAATTCAACCAAATTGAGTGGGGGGGAAAAGTTTAGCACGATGCGTTTTGTGCATGAAGTCACTGGCGACCAAGCGAGACCGTCAACGCGGTGCTCTTTAAACTTGAGTGTTATCGCAGGTGGCTGAACCGCAGATTAAAATGCTCTTCAGCTGTCCTACTGGCTGAGTACTCTGTACTCTAGTCACCTTCTTTGCTGCCAATTACTACATTGTGGAGCAAGATGTAACATTATTCACGGACAGATACGAATCATATGCATTTTTTGTAAATATATATTTTTTCGATTGATACCAATGCCTGCTTGTCTGAGCAATATCACGGAATGTTTCATGACCACTTTAACACACCTGTATTTAGAATTGTGACCACAAGTTAATTGTAAATAGCTCTATTAGGTTATTAAAATGCTTAAATGTGGAACTTCTATGCCCATGGTTACACTTGCTATGTCATTGTTCAGTTTGAAAAACAATTGCCAGGAATTTAGGAAATAAGCCGCCTTATAAATATGAACTGAGGGCGACATGAAAGTGTTTAGCCTCGTTGTGGAGAAGAAAGTCAAGATAATAAGCAGTCGATACTTCCTTCACATATCATTAAAAACTTTTTTTGCAAATTCCATTGGTCACATGGCCTGGGAGTTTGGATATTTGTGAAAAAGAGCTTCATAGCTCATCGGATTTCTCCAGGATAAATAAAGATTCCGATTACGTTTTTTTTTATTGTTGCAGCATTGGTGGAATACAAACTCTGAACCAAACCTGGCTCTGCCGATGAGAAACTGAAGGTCAAAACCGGTCCAGAGTTTTCCTGCATTGAAAGCAATCCTGCTGAATAGATACAGAGGTGTTGGGGTGGCCATCAAAGGTTTTTTGAGATGAGATGGCTCCCTTTCAGAATGGCTTCAATTTATATGCAGCCTATCAGAGTGCGTTTGTAACAGCAGTTCAGTCTGTATGCTTTTTCTTTTTTTATAAATTGTTACTGACAATGTGATGGTAGAGGCGAATGTGCTTTGAACAATATGAATTGTATGCTTCAAGGAGCTCATTCACGTGGGACCTCAGCTTTTGTAAACACCTGATGCCGCTGGATGTATTATCCAGCAAAACTTTGTATACAATTGTCAACATTTTGCTTGCTTTCAAATATTCCTCTGTTTTGCTGATAAACCAATCCACTGCCACATTTGCCCCTACGTGGCAAGTCGATTCGATCGACTCTCGGGTGACAGAGGGCATGGATGGAAATTGCATTATACCTACACAATCTAACCCTGTAGGAACTGATTATGATTAATGCTTCATATGATGACACATATGCAGCCTCACTTTACAGTATTGTGTGCAACTGCTCTAAAAAGCAGTATTTAATAAAAACATTATTTTCTATATGAGCATTTATTTGATTTTGTCATATATATGTCGTATGGAAATGGCTTAAATGCAGAAGGAAACTAATTATTAATATTCTATAATAAAACCTCATACACACGTTTTGTTCCCATTTCCGTGACAGTTTTAAGGAAGGGTTAGGGTATCTGTGATGCACAGCTGCGGCTGTTTCCAATGGCGAAGAGGAACCCAGGGAGTGTTATTTCGGCCCTGCCATCTCTATTTGTGGCAAGGACGTAGCCATGGAGTCAACATTGGGGGGGACCAAATCTTCCAGGGTGTCTGGGGGTCCCAACCCGGAAAAATATCTAAATTTTAAAACTAATTTCCTGCCTAAAATATTAAAAAATTCACGAACACATGGGATGGACTTTTTATTTATTTTTTACAATGTCTAAGCGTGTATTGTATTACATTGCTCTGTTTGAAATTTTTTGCCATTTCTTGTTTCATTGTATCTAATGGCAGAGATTAGGGATTAATAAAATACAACCATAACCACAATCATATAAACAGAAATCTATGCATTGATTTATATGAAGACAAGTCCAGATATTGTGGCCAAGGTTTAGCAAATTGTTTTTTTGATCTACATGAAATAGCAAAAAATTTTCATAGCAATATATTGGGGGGGACATTTTGAGCATATTTGAATATTGGGGGGGATGTGTGCCCCCCAATATATATTACGGCCTTGATTTGTTGCTTGCCTTCCGCAGGGCGTTCTGCTCTCGTCAGACGACAATGCCAGCCGCCTTCATTTGCTGGAAGGCTCTGCCACAGCCTGCGATATTATTAATGCAGCACACGTGTGAAATAATTACCTCCTCGGAGACTTGTCGAAGATGAACGGAAACGATTTTATTCTTACTCGTTAACAACTTCAATACACGTGAACTAACCAGGACAAAAGTCTCAGTTCTATGTGTGTACATAACCCTGAAGGGGAACGGTGGTGCAGTGGTTAGCGCGTGATGCTATGAATCCAACGGCCCGAGTTCAATTCCTGCTCATGGCCAACACCACTGACGATTATCTGAACTGGTCCTGGGCTTCCCCTAGGTCGACTCAACTTCGTACCTGGTGTGGTGTGTAAACATGGCCACTGGTGAGACAAAGGCGGCCGAGCGTGGTGCTGGCCACCCACCACCTCGCGTGCCGTGCCGGACTTGACAGGTCCTCGCTGAGAGTACTTGCGCGACACAACTCGACTCCTCGCCTGCTACACCGTGCATCTTACGTCACCCACGCCCACGGTTCCCCTTCCCGACTCGGCAGGGACCATGGCCCGCTTAGCGCAATCAGCCTCTTAGCGCTCTTCCTCCACTTCAGTCTGCCTCTTGTACCAAGGTGCATCTCTTTTTATGTTGCTGCCAATTACGCCTCCGCGCTCTCTCTCTGTCACTGGCCCTGGCACCTGGGCAGGGGTCTCCCCTGACCGCCTTGCTGTGCAACACTCACGGCTCTCTACGTCCGTGCTTCGACACCGGTGTGCTGCGGCAACGTCTCAGCAGGCGTCCCATGGGATTTCGGAATCATCGGAGAGAACCTCACTGTTCACAAGCTCTGACAGACAAACTCTCCTCCGTGCCGTTCAGTGGCGGATCCAGCACTCCCCCCCCCTCCCCTCCATTGGTCTCGGTGCGTTATTTGATATCACGACATTTCAAACTGAAGTTTCCAGGCAGAGTCGCGCTCGTTGCAATCGAGAGATAACCGTGTGGTGCATTCTCAGTATAACGTGGGCGATGAAGCGACCCCGAGGTAGTGCATTCGACATTTGTTGCAGTTTGAATCTCGCAACCGCCCTGATTAATACTTTGTGTTTGTTAACCTAACTTATACCACGCTCCATCTCCTTCACAGTGGATGTTAACGATCCCATGATGACATTCGCGAAATAGTAACTTTTGTGTGCCGGCATCACGGTCCAAACTTGCCACATTTGAAAAATTACACTGTAAATTATCTCCAATAGAATGTACCATATCAACCATCACTCCCTCCTGCGATAACTGGGCAGGACCATTTTGAAAAAGAGTCACGAATTTAGTAAGGCTTTCCTGCGTAAACGAGCATAATCAGAAAATAATTATAATTAGTGTTGGGCTTAAGACGTGTTGTTTGAGAGTGACGTGTATTTGGAGACCGTATATATATACTTAACTTTGTCGATTAGAACAGTTTTCGTTGATTTTGTTATTTCCATCTCCCTTACCCAATCTTATAAATTTCTAGGTACTTTCCATCACAGCAAAATAATATATGTAACAATTGTAATGTAAAGTGTATAGCATAAATTAAGCATTGTCTCCAGCGAAGAAAATATTCAGTCTCTTGGGAGACAGCTGAAAAACAAAAATGACATCAGCACAAAGATGTGACCGATCGAATATACAGCACCCAGCAGCAATCGCAGAAAGGTCAGAAACTGCCTTATCTCTTGGCTCGAGGATGCAACTGCACAATTATCACAATAACAATCTCACAGAGCTGATATAGAACATAACTACATTGTGTCCGTGCAGTGTGTCTGTGCACTCTTCTCATTGTATTTTTTATACCACAAAACAATGCAAACTCGAACTCACGAAGCCCTCTTGTTGTGGCTAACATGGCAGTTGGGCATGAGAGTCATTCACTGTCGGGTGCCTTATCTCTGATAACAGAGCCAGCATTTGACCAAACGTGGCGCCAGTGGTCACACGACTTTTCACATCACACAACTTTATACTTCCCCAACACCCAGAGGCACTCGCAGGACAGCAACGGCTCTGTGAGGGGACGGGACGCGATTCTGTGATGGCGCGAACGGTGTAGCGAAGAGTGAATGAAAGAGAATGGGGGAGAATGTGTCTTTGCACTCATAACAACGTCGAATTTATATACGGCGTCGTTGGTCATGTAAATTACATCTCAAGGTCGCTGAGGATCAACAGACAAAACTGAAAGGTGGCAGCCAGGCGATAAGCCGGCACTGCCAACAATTGCCTGAGCTCTGCGGTCCTCTATATATTAAGGTGTTTTCGGCCAATTAATGAGTGTTTATACACGTGGGAGGAATGAGTGTTTATTCACGTGGGAGGAAAGCGGGCTGTGTCCGAAGCATTCTGAGACAAAGTCGTGAACATCGACAGACGCGCGAATTGTGCCACATCGATGACTTTTCCGATCGTGGATTTGTCTCAAACTCACCAGAGCGCAAGCAGAGACAGAGCCCACAGCAGAGTTGTGTCAGGCCCACACCACTCTCCTAGCGAGCTTGCACCTTCGTTGAAGAAGAGAAAACACACCGTTTACATTTACACCAGAAAACGCCATATTAAAACATTACTTCGGATCACACTGTACTTGACGTGGTGGAATTTAGGTTTAATTCTACAGGATATTAATAATAATTAATGATAAACAAAAGGGGCTTAAATAACGCAGTCTGTAAGCAGTGCCTACCTCTGCGCCGTATAGGGCCAATAGACAGCACTTGTTCAGGAACTGTGGGCACATCGGAATGCCACGTCGGCAGCATGCGAGATGTGGGGCATTTCTGCGAACGAGAAAACAAGCTTTTGTCACTAGTCTTGTTGACCCGGGAATGCCTCACTGAGCCATCTTAGAATTCTGATGACGTCTCTTCCATGCAAGCAAACCGACATTGAACACCAACATCCATATCTCAAACGTCCCTCTCCTTATTCTTAGTTTTTTTCGGTAAAGTCACGTTGAAGAGAAACAACAAAATAATAAAATATATATTTATTGTTGTTTCTCTTCAACGTGACTTTACCGAAAAAACTAAGAATATGAATTACTGCAGTCACGAAAGCTTTAAATCTAAGTCCCTCTCCTTGTTCAAGTTCTATGCATGGTCGTCTTCTGAGCATGACTCCCTGCGTCGTCTCCACGACACGCGCAGGGCAATCCGGTTTCTTCCACGGCCACTCTGCTCAACGGTAGAGCAGGCAGAGGGAGGAAGGGCCTGGGGAGCCCACACCCTCTGCTGACCCCGTGCCCATACTGGAAAAGAGCTTCATACCTCACCTGATTCTGATTCTGCGGAAGTAGCGGTGACCACCGCGCACCAAGTGTGATAGTGCCGCGATCTGACCCAAAAAAATCTATCACGAATCATTATAAACGTTACTCTTTGGTTCTATTCGGTGAAGTCACGTAGGTAAAAAATAAAACAACAAAAATCACGACGTTTCGGCCACAACACAAGTCGCCTTCATCAGGTGAAGGGACCAGACTGTCTAGAGGAAAGCGCTGGAGTGAACACAGCAAATCTAGAATTATAAACGTTTTCTTTCTTGCGATGAGAACTATTGTCGTCAAGGCTACAATGACGGTCACGCATTGTGGTGCACGTCCCGAGCGCACGGCTCACCACGGAGCACGCTGCCTCCATGGCGTCGCACAGCGAGACGTCACAGTGCAGGTGGATCTCCGTCTGGTTCCCCACGAAGCGGAACACCTTCACGTGGAAGCGGCACTTCTGCGACACTGCGTTCTCCTCCACCTGCGCGGTGCTGTCCCGTGGGTTGGTGCACCTGTGTCACGCAACCGAATGCGAGCACCACGTGAAGAGATTCTACCACGTTATTGCCACGCGTGTTTATTGTACTCACAATATTACCAGTAAAAAACATTTTTGCGTGCAGTGCATGATCGACGAGGGTTGTTAGAGGCTTCTACAGTAATTGTAAATGAAATATCTGGCTCCTGCTCGAGTGACAACACAGCTGCGCAAAGGATTCTGGGTTGGAAGAGGGGCGAACAAGCGTGAGACCGAGGTGGGGAGTGAGAAAAGTGGACAATTTCACCACTCTGCTCTGCCACAGCTCTGCCCTGACCTGCGGGCTTTGGGCCATTCCGCAATTGTGCTGTGAGTGGCGGTAATGGTGGGGAGGATGGATGCGTCATCTCTGAATTGTATAATGATGTGTTTTTTTTCCACGAAAACAGCCGTCATTCTGATAAACAGCGCTTGAGCGGCAGCGAGAATAGCGACTTGAAATGGGGCCCCACGTGTCCCCATGGTTCCCTGTTTAGAACTTCTCTTTCAAAATAAAACCACTCGAGGTGTTTTTTGCTCCATCCTCGAGCGTCAAAATGGCAGAACTCTAAAGCAGAAGCGAGCGAGCAATGGCCACGAAATTATAGAAGATAGCGTGAAGAGCAATGGGCGCGTTAAATCAGCAGAAATGAAGTTTACGATTGGTGGATCACGAATATTAGCATCGGGGCGGCGACGCAGTCCAACGGCAGTGCATTCGTCGCTTGTTGCAGCTGTTCAAGGTTCGAATTCAGTGGCCTCCCTGGTTATTACTGCACATGAAATAACCATAACAATGTGGAGGATAAAGATCCCGTGACGTCATTTGAATAGTGTCGGCCATTGTGTGCCGGCGCCATGACCTAAATAAAACAAAAAATTTGCTGCAAAATACTCAAATGAAATTACACAGCAACCATCGCTCCTGACCGGTGGACCAATGTTCAATTGCAGGCCGACACCGAGTCACAGTTTACCGCACAGGGACAACTACTACTGGGGTTGCCCTTTAAATGGTTGAGATGACATGTAAGGCGCTTTGAGTTGCTGAGGCATTTAAGCAAGCGCGATGTAGATTCAATTTGTATCATGGCTGACAACGTCGTTTTCTTTTCTTTGAACAACGGGGTCGAAGTTTGTGGCGTGGGCACGGCGCGTGCGGCTCACCCGTGGTGGATGATGGTGTACCGCGTGTCATCCGCAGGGCTGGGTCCCGGCGTGGCCCAGCACTCGTTGAGCACGAGCACCAAGTGCGCTTTTGTGCGACCGTTGTCGGGAAATATCTCGAGGCCCTCGTCTTTCAGGACGACCCCCACGAAGAGGGTGTCCAGGGTGGACAGCAGCAGGTCCCCGGCGTCGTACGGGAACTGGTAGCTGGCGTTGACGTACAGCAACATCCTGGCCACGAACGTTCCCTTCTTAACGGGCAGGGTCATGTTTATCACACTGTCGAAAGAAGTGCATTCAAAGTCATACATCTGCCACGCAAAACCGTGACGATTCGGCAAAATCTCAAAACTGCCTTCCACACTAACAACTGTAATGAAAACATGTTAATACAAGTCATTCAGTACCGATTTTAATATTCAAATAATATTAAAATATATAGGAATGTGCATTCTAAAATAAAAACATACATGTTAACGGTATTGGCCAAAACATCCCAATGCTGAAAAATTACTCGGAAAATGACAAAATGTTGAGATTACACAGAGCAGCAACATCGCCTCCCTACTGCAACAACTTGACAGGACCCTCCCAAAAGGAGTCTTGAGACTCTTGAGTGAGGCTTTCCCGGGTAAACAAGCGTAATGACAAGAACATGTATTCTCTTTCATAGAAATACCACAAATCTCGCATGCTGCCAAAGTGGAATTTCTACGTGCCCACAGTTCCTGAACAAGTGCTGTCTCTTGGCCCTGTTACGCAACGTGTTGTGTTTATGGATATCGCTGCCGATACAATGATCTGGGAGACCCAGTTCGGTACCCTCTTAAGGAGTAAAACACAACACCGAGGACAAGTCAGTCGGTTTCATCACTCAGGCGAAGACAACGACGACATCGCTTACTGGCCACGTGTCCACGGCATACGGCCGCGCGACTCACCTCGTCATGGGCTGTATGATGGTGTTCAGCGACACACGGATGTCGCGCTCGTACGCGCAGGCGAACTCCACATTGACGAGCGTCTCTCGCACCACCGCATCTTCGAAATGTTTCGCCGTGCGCATTCGGATGGTGTTGACGTACGCCACGTGTGTAGTGTTGGACTGCAAGGCGAGGATAACACGGCCCACAGCTCAGCTCCGTGGTCACCACCAACGGCGCTGCGCACCTCGAAATCCCTCGGTGAGATTTAAAACAGGTCCTCGTTGTTTCTGCTCCAATAAAACTAAAAATACATCTTATTCTTATTTACCAGGTAGAGCCCACTTGAGCTATTAGCTCTTTTTCAGAAGCGATCTGGCCACAAATGATAACTCAACGAAGTGGCTTATCATATGGAAAAGTATACCAGTTCATCGTTCAAACGCGCAGTGTTCCGCACGAGTGAGGGTTTAGATTTTGTTACCCTCATGATGTTTCCACAGGCGCCATACGACGCGACGAGGTGCCACCTAAAGGCCCTGGGGGAGGTGCTTGGGGTGCAGCGCTCGTCGTTGAGGTGAATCTCCTTCACGCTGTAGCCATGCCACGACAGCGCCAGCTTGGGTAGCACCACCTCCATGTGCGACGCGAAACACGAGACCTCCACCACCAGCGAGTCTCCGGACACGACATCGGCACATGCACCAGCAAGACACACCATTCGCAATTTCCACACTATGCTGGTGAGCAATAAGAGCTACCCAACCAAGAGTTAAGTCCCGGTTTTATTCTATTTTATTGAACAGGTAAAGTCCAGAGCTATTACCTCATTTTCAAAGGCGACCTGGCCACATATGACAGCCCATCAAAGTGGATGATATCATCATCACACGTGGGGATTTATAGTAGCAGCCAAATAATCTAAGCATGTGCTTGTGTATGTCCACATGACCACCACGGGGAGAGAGAACACGCAGACTCCAAATATACAACAGGCATCGTCAGGGTCCGGGATTGAACCCACAACCTCCCGGGTGCCAGGCAAGGGAGAGAACATCTCCTCGATGTCAAAGTGAAGACAAACGATTCCGTCGTCTACAGGTACCCAGGGACCTGGGCCCTGTGGCCAGCTGAGGAGCAGATGGGCGACGGGTGAGGCGGGTAACAGCGTGAGGTGAGCTGCGTTTGCAGGAGATCAAAGAGGGGGAGGGGACTCGCGTCACCTGGGGACGCTTCTCTCCACTGGGGCAACCTGGTCACTTTCGTGGTTTGGGGGAACTTGGTCACTTTCGTGGTTTGGGACAACCTGGTCACTTTCGTGGTTTGGGCCAACCTGGTCACTTTCGTGGTTTGGGCCAACCTGGTCACTTTCGTGGTTTAGGGGAACCTGGTCACTTTCGTGGTTTGGGGGAACCTGGTCACTTTCGTGGTTTGGGGGAACCTGGTCACTTTCGTGGTTTGGGACAAACTGGTCACTTTCTTGGTATTGGGGAACCGGGTCACTTTCGTGGTTTGGGCCAACCTGGTCACTTTCGTGGTTTGGGCCAACCTGGTTACTTTCGTGGTTTGGGCCAACCTGGTCACTTTCGTGGTTTGGGCCAACCTGGTCACTTTCGTGGTTTGGGCCAACCTGGTCACTTTCGTGGTTTGGGGGAAGCTGGTCACTTTCGTGGTTTGGGACAACCTGGTCACTTTCGTGGTTTGGGGGAACCTGGTCACTTTCGTGGTTTGGGGGAACCTGGTCACTTTCGTGGTTTGGGGGAACCTGGTCACTTTCGTGGTTTGGGACAACCTGGTAACTTTCGTGGTTTGGGACAACCTGGTCACTTTCGTGGTTTGGGCCAACCTGGTCACTTTCGTGGTTTGGGCCAACCTGGTCACTTTCGTGGTTTGGGCCAACCTGGTCACTTTCGTGGTTTGGGCCAACCTGGTCACTTTCGTGGTTTGGGCCAACCTGGTCACTTTCGTGGTTTGGGCCAACCTGGTCACTTTCGTGGTTTGGGCCAACCTGGTCACTTTCGTGGTTTGGGCCAACCTGGTCACTTTCGTGGTTTGGGGGAACCTGGTCACTTTCGTGGTTTGGGGGAACCTGGTCACTTTCGTGGTTTGGGACAACCTGGTCACTTTCGTGGTTTGGGACAACCTGGTCACTTTCGTTGTTTGGGACAACCTGGTCACTTTCGTGGTTTGGGCCAACCTGGTCACTTTCGTGGTTTGGGGGAACCTGGTCACTTTCGTGGTTTGGGACAACCTGGTCACTTTCGTGGTTTGGGCCAACCTGGTCACTTTCGTGGTTTGGGCCAACCTGGTCACTTTCGTGGTTTGGGGGAACCTGGTCACTTTCGTGGTTTGGGACAACCTGGTCACTTTCGTGGTTTGGGCCAACCTGGTCACTTTCGTGGTTTGGGCCAACCTGGTCACTTTCGTGGTTTGGGCCAACCTGGTCACTTTCGTGGTTTGGGCCAACCTGGTCACTTTCGTGGTTTGGGCCAACCTGGTCACTTTCGTGGTTTGGGCCAACCTGGTCACTTTCGTGGTTTGGGCCAACCTGGTCACTTTCGTGGTTTGGGGGAACCTGGTCACTTTCGTGGTTTGGGGGAACCTGGTCACTTTCGTGGTTTTGGACAACCTGGTCACTTTCGTGGTTTGGGACAACCTGGTCACTTTCGTGGTTTGGGCTAACCTGGTCACTTTCGTGGTTTGGGGGAACCTGGTCACTTTCGTGGTTTGGGGGAACCTGGTCACTTTCGTGGTTTGGGGGAACCTGGTCACTTTCGTGGTTTGGGACAACCTGGTCACTTTCGTGGTTTGGGCCAACCTGGTCACTTTCGTGGTTTGGGCCAACCTGGTCACTTTCGTGGTTTGGGCCAACCTGGTCACTTTCGTGGTTTGGGCCAACCTGGTCACTTTCGTGGTTTGGGCCAACCTGGTCACTTTCGTGGTTTGGGCCAACCTGGTCACTTTCGTGGTTTGGGGGAACCTGGTCAGTTTCGTGGTTTGGGGGAACCTGGTCACTTTCGTGGTTTGGGACAACGTGGTCACTTTCGTGGTTTGGGACAACCTGGTCACTTTCGTGGTTTGGGGGAACCTGGTCACTTTCGTGGTTTGGGGGAACCTGGTCACTTTCGTGGTTTGGGGGAACCTGGTCACTTTCGTGGTTTGGGGGAACCTGGTCACTTTCGTGGTTTGGGACAACCTGGTCACTTTCGTGGTTTGGGCCAACCTGGTCACTTTCGTGGTTTGGGCCAACCTGGTCACTTTCGTGGTTTGGGCCAACCTGGTCACTTTCGTGGTTTGGGGGAACCTGGTCACTTTCGTGGTTTGGGACAACCTGGTCACTTTCGTGGTTTGGGCCAACCTGGTCACTTTCGTGGTTTGGGCCAACCTGGTCACTTTCGTGGTTTGGGCCAACCTGGTCACTTTCGTGGTTTGGGCCAACCTGGTCACTTTCGTGGTTTGGGCAAACCTGGTCACTTTCGTGGTTTGGGCCAACCTGGTCACTTTCGTGGTTTGGGCCAACCTGGTCACTTTCGTGGTTTGGGCCAACCTGGTCACTTTCGTGGTTTGGGGGAACCTGGTCACTTTCGTGGTTTGGGGGAACCTGGTCACTTTCGTGGTTTGGGACAACCTGGTCACTTTCGTGGTTTGGGACAACCTGGTCACTTTCGTGGTTTGGGCCAACCTGGTCACTTTCGTGGTTTGGGGGAACCTGGTCACTTTCGTGGTTTGGGGGAACCTGGTCACTTTCGTGATTTGGGGGAACCTGGTCACTTTCGTGGTTTGGGACAACCTGGTCACTTTCGTGGTTTGGGACAACCTGGTCACTTTCGTGGTTTGGGCCAACCTGGTCACTTTCGTGGTTTGGGGGAACCTGGTCACTTTCGTGGTTTGGGGGAACCTGGTCACTTTCGTGGTTTGGGGAACCTGGTCACTTTCGTGGTTTGGGCCAACCTGGTCACTTTCGTGGTTTGGGCCAACCTGGTCACTTTCGTGGTTTGGGCCAACCTGGTCACTTTCGTGGTTTGGGCCAACCTGGTCACTTTCGTGGTTTGGGCCAACCTGGTCACTTTCGTGGTTTGGGCCAACCTGGTCACTTTCGTGGTTTGGGCCAACCTGGTCACTTTCGTGGTTTGGGCCAACCTGGTCACTTTCGTGGTTTGGGCCAACCTGGTCACTTTCCTGGTTTGGGGGAACCTGGTCACTTTCGTGGTTTGGGGGAACCTGGTCACTTTCGTGGTTTGGGACAACCTGGTCACTTTCGTGGTTTGGGCCAACCTGGTCACTTTCGTGGTTTGGGCCAACCTGGTCACTTTCGTGGTTTGGGGGAACCTGGTCACTTTCGTGGTTTGGGGGAACCTGGTCACTTTCGTGGTTTGGGACAACCTGGTCACTTTCGTGGTTTGGGGGAACCTGGTCACTTTCGTGGTTTGGGACAACCTGGTCACTTTCGTGGTTTGGGGGAACCTGGTCACTTTCGTGGTTTGGGGGAACCTGGTCACTTTCGTGGTTTGGGGGAACCTGGTCACTTTCGTGGTTTGGGGGAACCTGGTCACTTTCGTGGTTTGGAGCCTGTCCCTAGCTTGACTCACGGCTGATTCGCGCGTTAGTGTTGCACCGACAAATATTCCTGTCGTAGGCCTGCGATGATTTCGTCTCACTCGCGGTTCGATGAATTGTCACGATTCAAGGTTCACAATTGAAGTGAAGAATCAGAGATTTAGTTTTACATTGCGGAGCATCGCAGCAGTTCCAGTGGGCCACGAGCTCTGGGAGCTCCACAGCAAAGCGGTGCGTCACTCAACCTCCGGTCGTGTCGCCGTGCACGGCCTCATCACTGTACTGGGTTCACGTGACCTCTGCAGCCACGAGATGCCGCTGTATTTACCAGAAGATGAAAATAATCACCGACTAAAATTACGACTGAATCGTGACGATTTTCTGAATCGTGTGAGGGAGGAATCATTACGTCCGTAAAATTACAATTACTCCAAGGCCTGTATTTTTCAACGAATGTAAAATGTTCCAGTTTATTTTGTGTAACCTGGTGAGAACTTAAGAGACGATGATGGAGTCTCTTTTGCAAGAGTGACCCTGGTATTAGTCTGCAAGTCAGTGTAGCGATGATTCCTGTGTCTGATCCCAGATTAGTAAATAGTGGTGTCATTTTAAAATTTGGAAAAAAATTACATAATGGCGAATGCCGTCAGGAGAACTTTAACATCCACTGTGAGTTAAACAGATGGCGCGTATTCAATTTGGTTATTACACACCGCAGTATTAACCAGGGTGGCCACTGTATTCAAACCGTGAACCTCTGCGAAAAACACAGAATGTGCTACCGCTGGGTGCGTCAAAGGAGGTGAAAGTCCAAACCGAAATGCATTCCGATTTACTTTGTAAAGAGGGCAAAAAAACCGTGGCGAGTTACCTTTGTCCATCATTGAGCAAAAACGAACGGTGTTGTCTCAGTAAACGCAGCAATACCAATGAGCACAAACGTGGAGAAACGACTGGTGCGGTTGGGAATGCTCGCCGTGTAAAGGTGCCGTTACCTGTGATGATGAAGTTTGTTGGTTCTGGTGGTCTCTGTAAACAGAACACGACGTGTATGCATGTTAACACAGTCCACGTATGAGGAACAAGATTCGCGGTGAGCGTTGCTATTTTGACATGAGCTGGGTGTGGAGGCACACGTCTGTTATATGTCGCCTTGGAGGCGAGGGCCTGTGGATTACGATCTGTGGAGCTGTCAAACCCAACGGGTTGTGAGGCAGCCAGAAGATCGAGGCACAGCTTGGAGTGTTATCCCGTCCTTTGCGTGGCTTCCTCCAGGTTCTCTGGAGTCCTCCCGCAACATGCCACACACTCATTCGTGGAATTAACCAAACATTGAAATTTCAGGACCCTCCTGAAAAATAGCCTACAGAGTCAGTGAGGATTTCCTAGATATATGACAGGCATCACATTGAGGTTAAGTTATCTGGTATTGAGACAGTCCCTCAAATGTCAGCCCACAGGCCAAAGGTAAAATAAAAATGCGAAATCTGGGCTTAACATTCTCACAGAATTAAACCCTAACCATTACTGGACATGGGACGCTGGCAACATCGCGAGTAGACCTCATCTGAACTTATCCAGCGGCCCCTGTGCATTTTGTATGAACCAGAGGCAGATGCGACTCCCTGTGACCCATGACAGCTCCAGCAGGCCAGCGGGACCCTGCGTAATGATGTCATTACCAGAGTCAGACAGACTCTCTCCCCAGGCCAACGGCATCCATTACATACATACAGTACATGGTAGTGAGACCATAGGGAATCACGGGTGTGACTGTGGGATGTCAACAGTGGTTGTTCGTGTACGGAAAAAACTGGCCCCCACCATGTAAATGTGTAATTTATATTCTATGCTTAGAGGTTGCACGACAGGAGATGGGTGCCATCCATCGCTCGCTCTGGCAGGAGGCCACGTTCCATCTTTACCTCCACTTCAGCAGCAGACGTGGTCTCCTCTCTGACCATAGACTCCGGCATCCTGGTCGCTGAGGGAGGGCTGCTCGCGTTGATCTGATCCAAATGTGGTTTGTAATCTGCAAAACAAGGGCCACAATAATCGCAGGGAATATCGCCACACTGGATCGCGAAAATGTTAATGGTCTGCCGTTCTTAAATGTTGCTATAGTTGAAGATACATCGACATGCAATGATTTTAATCTTCTTCCACCCATTGTTGGTCTTAACATTCCAGACGGGGAACTATTAGCACTTTCGTGAAGGCGGAGAGCTCTTGCCAATAACATCACCAGCAGCATTAGTTTTTGATCCATGCCTGACTCTGCTGATGAGACCCCGAAGATCGAAACTTCCCCATTTCTCTCGCTTGAACCATGCTGATGGATAATATCGGTTGATGGACTGACACGCGTGTTGTGTTTGTGTGGAGTTTGTTCTCCACCCCCACCCCCACCTTGAGACCACAAAAATTGGTAATTTATTGAGATTCACTGGCAGAAATATGTTGAATATTTTTTTGTGAATGTAGGGACCTTAATTTTTTATTTAAAAAAAGATTTAACTTTGTGAGTGAATCAACCTTTGCTCTCAGCGCAAGTTTATGGAATCACTCGTAATCTTCTTGTTATCTGCCACACACTTATTCAATAGCCTGAGGTGACAATCATTGAACAACTGGGAACTCATCTCTCCAGCCATGCATTGCGGCGAGGGCCTCGGGGACTCACGGCAGAACGTGGCGTTACGCCACGACTCGGCACGGACGCCGATCCCGCCGCACGCGAGCTCGTAGGCCTCGATCGCACGGCACACCCCGGCCTGCGGGCGCGGGGACAGGCAGGCCGCCCGCAGGCATCGTTGGTGGAACGGGCGTGGGTCGACGGTGCTGTGGCACGCCACGAAGGGGTTGTGGGAGGTCCCCAGCAGAACGAGGCAAGCCTGCTCCCCGTGCTGATCGCCCAGTAGACACGAGGCATTGAACTCCTTGCAGAAATCCTGAAACGAATGTGGAATAAATAAATAACAATGAGACAGGCTTTGCAGTGACCACTGCTGAGATCATACGGTAATAGAGGTGCCTCAGCCCACTGAGATTCAATGAAACACAATACTTCAATGGAATGCATTCACCCCACTGCTGGTTTAATGAATTTGATCTTTAACCCTGATGATGATGAAGCTTGGAAAACTAAATGGAGTCCACAAGACATCAAAACAAACACCTCCTCATCATGGAACATCCTTTGCCAGTACCAAAATATAAGAATAGGTTTTCTCCTTTTTTCTGGCAACAAAACAAAATTAGAGTAATGAGAGCTCGGGGTGAGCAGCTACATCACCCCGAGCTCTCATTACTCTGGTAGCGGCGTTGTCTTTGTGCTGTGTACGCCTTTAGGCGTCCTCTGGTCTAACACCGTTTGAGACGAGGCTCGAAAGAAAGCTGTCTCTGGTGTGGACCAATCAGTTTCAAAGACAATGATCATATTATCAGAGTGCTTTTTTTGCAACCACAAGTATCCGTGGTTAATGCAGACATGATTCCTTGTAAAAGGTTTGAGTTTGGTATTTTAACATCTTAACACCTGTTTTGTTGCCAGGAAAAAGGGGAAAAAACTATTCTTAAACACCTCCTCGCGAAAGACTCAACGGCGCAGATGATTTGTGGCTTAGATCTTCCGCGAAGATTTTGGGCTGCTACCTCTGAGCCGCATCTGCACACAAACTATGGCAGCTGATGCACATAGTTGATGCACAAATGGAAAAATGCTAAACAAAAATTCCATTGTGCAACTGTGGTCACCACCCTGAACAGAACCATTGGACATATGACGACCCAATGCCTGCTTCACAAATACGAAGGAGGAAGCATCATCACAGCGATTAACCACTCCTCTACTTACGATGCCAATTGTCTATCTCATCAACTACCTCAATGTACAATTATCGCTGTTGTTCTACATCAACATCAGCGATACGACGAAGATGAACTCGATCAATTAGAATTACACACGGAAACAATAACAACTGCCGTGTTATAACAACCCAATTCTAAGAACAAGATAACAATTTCTAGTACATTGATATTGACAAGGAGGTCGATGAGGCATCCTGAAAGGGCTGTATCCATGTAATGTTGCAATTGATTCACACGTATCTGATATGCATGCATGAATATGATGTGAGTTTCAACGAGAAAATTAGAGGTACACGACCAATTATAAGAGTTGGATGCAAAACAGAGACCCATGGATGGCTGCAACATCCGCCAAATGTGATCGCTTCCTGTACCGTGCAGGTTATGATGCCTCGCCTCCAACTGAAGACGAATTCCTCCAGGTTATCGGCAACAACCCCATCAGGAGTGTATGCGTCGTCGCCCGCATTGCCGTTGAAGTTGCCGCACAATCCACACGTCAGGCCCTGCAGCCTCTCTCCCGCGCACACCACCACGTTGCCACTGACAGAAAACGTGATTTGTAATTTCACATTGGTGGCCGAAACGGTCATGCCAGACTCCATTTCGTACAGCTGCAAATTACCACCGCCCAAGCTAAGAGGTAGCAATACCGGGGAACCGTCCATCTGTAACAACAGAGAGAGGAGACGCGCGTTAAATAGTGCGTGGACGTGCGTACGCAGTGCTTGATCGTTACAGCCGAGTTCGCAGAGAGGAATTTCTACATGAACAGCGACACTTCTTCCTATCCGTGGTGGTGTGGAGGTCCGCAAAGCTGGATCCTATTAACCGCACTCAATGCAAATAATGCACGCTCCCCTTGGCTGTGTCGTTACCCTGGTGAAAAATTGCAAGGATCTGCTGCGACTCCTCTTATTCATGGATAATTGAGGATATCAGGATAGTTATTGACCACAACCGGGACACCGCATGTGGACGACCCCTGCATGGATCAATGTGTGGGCGTGGGTCATGGGGGTGCGGAGGAGGAAAGCGGGAGGGGTTTCTCTGTATGCAGCCAAGGCTTATCCCTACTCAATACATCATGGCTGATTAATCATCTGCGATTCATGATCTTGAGCCAGTGATGTTCATTCCACATTATTATGACGAGGCACAGTTGAAGGTGATTCCAGGACAGGAACCAGTGGAGGGATCGGAGGACCGGGGTGGCGCGGTCCCACTCGTGGGTGTGGCTGAGAAGCCTGCCGGTGGCATTTTGGGTCATCTGGGCTTTGGTGGGATGGGGAAATAAGTGGCTTTGGTGGCGCCGTGGTGGAGGGGAGCGGTAGAGATGCATGCCAGGTGTCTGTGCCGAGACAAATGCCCTCACCACAACTTCGGCAGTGGTGGTGAGGAACATTCCACGTACCTGCACCAAGATCCCACTTCTGCTGCGTGTTATATTGAGAGTATAGTGCAAAATATTGACGTCAACGCTGACAGTATTTTGTTGGTCTGAAGGCTGGTTTCTTCCACTGATGACGACTTGAAAATCCATATTTTGATCTGGACGCGTTGAATAATCACACAGCCTCGTCAGCATGAATCCAGAATATTTTGGGAGCCTCAGCAAAACGCCATCAAATGTGGTAAGAGTCCAATCGGGCCTCAGGGTGCACGCCGAGGCGGCGTCCGCGTGGCAGGCGTCCTCGCGCGGACACTGCTGAAGCTCCTGGCACCGCACCTCCCCGCCGGAGCCGCAGGTGCAGCTGCGGCTACATTCCGCGTCCTGCGGGAGACTCTGGAATAAAAGGACAAACTCATGGTGGCAATTTCGGATCCGATTATTCCCCTTTCAGACAAACCAAGATTAAAGTCAGGACAGCGACCCAGGACGGGTTCGGCTATCAACCCCCCCCCACCCTCCCAATTTTCTCTCGTGCTGCACGCAGTGCAAAACCAACCTGACCGACGCGGAAGTAGAGGCCTCGGTGCACGCAGCCGCACGCCTCGGCGGCGTCGGTGCAGCGGCCCTCGGCGAGGACGGAGCCCCGGGGGCATCGGCACGACTCGCGGCACGGACGCACGCAGCGTGCCGCGGCGGTCCGGTCGCCGCACGAGTCGGCACAGGCGCTGCCGCACAGAGCGTAGACGCCGCGCTCCGGGCACGCGGAGCCTGCAGGGAGTCACACTCACCAATGTACATAGCAGGGAGTCACACTCACCAATGTACACGTCAGAGAGTCACACTCACCAATGTACACACCAGGGAGTCACACTCACCAATGTACACACCAGGGAGTCACACTCACCAATGTACTCACCAGGGAGTCACACTCACCAATGTACTCACCAGGGAGTCACACTCACCAATGTACACACCAGGGAGTCACACTCACCAATGTACATAGCAGGGAGTCACACTCACCAATGTACACGTCAGAGAGTCACACTCACCAATGTACACACCAGGGAGTCACACTCACCAATGTACACAGCAGGGAGTCACACTCACCAATGTACTCACCAGGGAGTCACACTCACCAATGTACACGTCAGAGAGTCACACTCACCAATGTACTCACCAGGGAGTCACACTCACCAATGTACACACCAGGGAGTCACACTCACCAATGTACTCACCAGGGAGTCACACTCACCAATGTACACACCAGGGAGTCACACTCACCAATGTACACACCAGGGAGTCACACTCACCAATGTACTCACCAGGGAGTCACACTCACCAATGTACACACCAGGGAGTCACACTCACCAATGTACACACCAGGGAGTCACACTCACCAATGTACACACCAGGGAGTCACACTCACCAATGTACACGTCAGAGAGTCACACTCACCAATGTACACACCAGGGAGTCACACTCACCAATGTACACACCAGAGAGTGACACTCACCAATGTACACACCAGGGAGTCACACTCACCAATGTACACACCAGGGAGTCACACTCACCAATGTACACACCAGGGAGTCACACTCACCAATGTACACACCAGGGAGTCACACTCACCAATGTACACACCAGAGAGTCACACTCACCAATTTACTCACCAGGGAGTCACACTCACCAATGTACTCACCAGAGAGTCACACTCACCAATGTACACACCAGGGAGTCACACTCACCAATGTACTCACCAGGGAGTCACATTCACCAATGTACACACCAGGGAGTCACACTCACCAATGTACACAGCAGGGAGTCACACTCACCAATGTACACACCAGAGAGTCACACTCACCAATGTACACACCAGGGAGTCACACTCACCAATGTACACACCAGGGAGTCACACTCACCAATGTACACACCAGGGAGTCACACTCACCAATGTACACACCAGGGAGTCACACTCACCAATGTACACGTCAGGGAGTCACACTCACCAATGTACACACCAGGGAGTCACACTCACCAATGTACACGCAGGGAGTCACACTCACCAATGTACTCACCAGGGAGTCACACTCACCAGTGTACACACCAGGGAGTCACACTCACCAATGTACACACCAGGGAGTCACACTCACCAATGTACTCACCAGGGAGTCACACTCACCAATGTACTCACCAGGGAGTCACACTCACCAATGTACACACCAGAGAGTCACACTCACCAATGTACACACCAGGGAGTCACACTCACCAATGTACTCACCAGGGAGTCACACTCACCAATGTACTCACCAGGGAGTCACACTCACCAATGTACACACCAGGGAGTCACACTCACCAATGTACACAGCAGGGAGTCACACTCACCAATGTACACACCAGAGAGTCACACTCACCAATGTACACACCAGGGAGTCACACTCACCAATGTACACACCAGGGAGTCACACTCACCAATGTACACACCAGGGAGTCACACTCACCAATGTACACACCAGGGAGTCACACTCACCAATGTACACGTCAGGGAGTCACACTCACCAATGTACACACAAGGGAGTCACACTCACCAATGTACACGCAGGGAGTCACACTCACCAATGTACTCACCAGGGAGTCACACTCACCAGTGTACACACCAGGGAGTCACACTCACCAATGTACACACCAGGGAGTCACACTCACCAATGTACTCACCAGGGAGTCACACTCACCAATGTACTCACCAGGGAGTCACACTCACCAATGTACACACCAGAGAGTCACACTCACCAATGTACTCACCAGGGAGTCACACTCACCAATGTACACACCAGAGAGTCACACTCACCAATGTACACACCAGAGAGTCACACTCACCAATGTACTCACCAGGGAGTCACACTCACCAATGTACTCACCAGGGAGTCACACTCACCAATGTACACACCAGGGAGTCACACTCACCAATGTACTCACCAGAGAGTCACACTCACCAATGTACACACCAGGGAGTCACACTCACCAATGTACACACCAGGGAGTCACACTCACCAATGTACACACCAGGGAGTCACACTCACCAATGTACACGCAGGGAGTCACACTCACCAATGTACACACCAGGGAGTCACACTCACCAATGTACTCACCAGGGAGTCACACTCACCAATGTACACACCAGGGAGTCACACTCACCAATGTACACACCAGAGAGTCACACTCACCAATGTACACACCAGGGAGTCACACTCACCAATGTACTCACCAGGGAGTCACACTCACCAATGTACACACCAGGGAGTCACACTCACCAATGTACTCACCAGGGAGTCACACTCACCAATGTACACACCAGAGAGTCACACTCACCAATGTACACACCAGAGAGTCACACTCACCAATGTACACACCAGGGGGTCACACTCACCAATGTACACACCAGGGGGTCACACTCACCAATGTACACACCAGGGAGTCACACTCACCAATGTACACACCAGGGAGTCACACTCACCAATGTACTCACCAGAGAGTCACACTCACCAATGTACACACCAGGGAGTCACACTCACCAATGTACACACCAGGGAGTCACACTCACCAATGTACACACCAGGGAGTCACACTCACCAATGTACACGCAGGGAGTCACACTCACCAATGTACACACCAGGGAGTCACACTCACCAATGTACTCACCAGGGAGTCACACTCACCAATGTACACACCAGGGAGTCACACTCACCAATGTACACACCAGGGAGTCACACTCACCAATGTACACGCAGGGAGTCACACTCACCAATGTACACACCAGGGAGTCACACTCACCAATGTACTCACCAGGGAGTCACACTCACCAATGTACACACCAGGGAGTCACACTCACCAATGTACTCACCAGGGAGTCACACTCACCAATGTACACACCAGAGAGTCACACTCACCAATGTACACACCAGAGAGTCACGCTCACCAATGTACACACCAGGGGGTCACACTCACCAATGTACACACCAGGGGGTCACACTCACCAATGTACACACCAGGGGGTCACACTCACCAATGTACACACCAGGGAGTCACACTCACCAATGTACACACCAGGGAGTCACACTCACCAATGTACTCACCAGAGAGTCACACTCACCAATGTACACGCAGGGAGTCACACTCACCAATGTACACGCAGGGAGTCACACTCACCAATGCAACACGCGTTGGACATGCGGGGATCTGAGACGCCCGTTACGCACGGGAAGACTCTCTCAGTCGACCTCATGTCAGTTTAATAATACTAATCACCGTCACAACAATGAGTTAGACGTGTGACGTGCCACACTGTGTCCACTCGCTCTCGTGGGGAAAGGACGACTCAGGGATGCCGAGGAGGGTCGGGGCGCCGTTCTCACCGCACGGCGTGTGGACGCGCCATGGCTGAAGACTCGCGCCCAGCGCCTGGCAGAGCAGAGCGTACGCTTCGAGAACGCGGCACACCGCCCTGGGCTGCTCCACCTCCCCCCGAGAGCCATTGCCGCCCGCCGAGAGGCAGGCGTCCAGCAGGCAGCTCGTCACGAACGGAGCGGGCTCGACCGCCGAGTGACAGTCGAAGAACGGGCCCGATGTCCGGTTCAGTATCCCGCACGTCTGCTGCTTCGGAAACCATTTCTGGCTCTCGCTTTTGCAGTCCCAGCAATTGCCGGCGCAGGGCGCGGAGCAACGCCTCTCGTTATCCGCGGTCAAATTAAATTCCGCCCTCGGGAAATCGTCGGCGGTGTCGTTGTTGAAGTTGCCACACATTCCGCAGGTCTTGTTAAAGAATCGCCCAGGCAACGATACGAAGACGAGGTGGTCTGAGACGAAGGAGACCTTCAAGCCGAAGCTGGTGTCTAAAGCGATGCCGAAGCCACTGGGGTAGACGTGCACCGTGCCGTTGTCCAGCAGCGCTGGCAGCGAGCGCACCACCCCGTTCACCTAAGGAAGCGCGGAGCGGTGTTAGAGTCGAAACTCAACAACTTTTACTTACCAGGTAATGCCCACTGAGCCATGGGCTCTTTTTCAGAAGCGACCTGGCCACAAATGACAGCTCGACCAAGTGGCTTGTGACGTGAGAATTTATATCAGCCACATTCGCTAAACGTGTGTTTCTAAGTGTGGAGGGAAAAGCCAGAGGACCCAGAACTCGCAAACTGCAAATATACAGCAGCAGCAGCAGGCGCCAGGGTCGGTATCTAACCCACGACCTCCTGCGTACCAGGCGAAGTAGTAAACATCTCACGACCGCGGCTCCCTCGTGAATTGCAATCTCGTCTTAACGGACAAGGTGGCTGTCAGAAATCACATAATATTCCGGGTTGAGCAATCCATTCTCTTGAATATCAGTGAAGCAGGAACATTCATTTCCACTGGCAATTAAATTAAATGCGCGCAGCTTTCGGGAGGAAATCTGGCGTCTGTGGAGCCGCTAAACGACTCCGCCATCTACGGCGACGTTTGCGAGTTCTCCCCTCGTGTGTGTGGGGTGCTCCAGGCATCCGGTCGTATTCTACCCACAGAAAATACTCCTGAGGAACTGGCCAAACATCTGCAAACAGGACCCATTTATTGAGATGCAGGGAAGCGTTTTTGACGTAAAACGACTAAAAACAAACGGTAAACTAACACAGCCGCTCTGCTCCTCTCACGCGAGCGTTCTAAAGCGAAGTAAAGGTGCGCGTTACCCTGACGTGACCGCTGTTCCCCGCGCTCAGCGCGACGCGCAGAGCGGACGCGACGACGGTGAGGCGGGTGATGTCGGACAGCGCCCGTCCTCGTCCCCCTCTCCGGGTGACGACCTCCACGCTGAACGCCGCCGCCTGCTCCTCGTCGCACAGGCGCACAAGCCCGTGGCTGCAGTCGCTGCGGCCGCCGGTTCGCAGCAGCGCGCCATCGAAGGTGCGCGCGTGCGCGCCCGAGAAGAAGACGCAGGCGGCGGTGAAGGTGGCGCGGCACGAGAAGGCGGCCCCGGGCCCCGGCGTGCACGCCTCGTGCGGCTCGCAGCCTTCCTCGACGCACGCCACGGAATCTTGGGCGAGGACGTCGAAGCTGTCGAGACAGCTGCATTTGGTCGAACAAGCCTCGTCCGTCCAAAACCTCTCTCCGTATCTGTGGAAGTGACCTGCGTAAGACATCAATGTGAAAATACGAATGCACGTGGAAATCAAAGACTTACGACCCCACCGTTAGGGTAGCGGCCGTTTAAAGACGTTGCGCGATAGCTGACGCTTCAATTGTGAAAATTGTATTTGTTTATTTTATTATTTTATTCTCATTCTACGTGACTTTACCGAAAGAACCAAAGAAGCTGACGCTTCTTCGCTTTAAACAAAACTCTCGAGTCGGGAGGCGGAACGCGCGTGAGGCCTGGACAATCTGTCACCTGCCAGGGTCACAGAAACACTAAACATCAATAACAGCGTGTGGCCTTCAAATAATAACTGATTAAAAAGGCACAGACGCGGCGTAAAAATCCTGTTTAGTTGAACCTACATGGCGTGGATGTTGTACAGAGGAAGTAATGAAAAGTTGTTCAATGCTCTTTAGCCTGTAGTTATTGCATCGGCTACAATCACAATGGCTCCTCCTGCTCTTAAGCTGCCAGAAGCAACCGTTGTCTCCTCTCAGACTGGGTGAGGCTTTCCGGGGTAAACAAGCGTCGGACATAACATGGTAGTACTACCCAGGGCGGCCGATGGGCTGGAACCGCGAAGCTCTGCGGCACGCGGTAAGCGTGCATTGGCTTGGCCACGTCACCATATTGTAATGATATTGCGATACAATAACTCGCTCATAAAACGATACTTTTAAAAACCTCTTACCATACCATTTACATTGCATCCATTCGCTGGGTCCACTTCCAGCTGGTCGACACGGAAGATCCATCGCCCCGGCTTGTTCACGTTGCTCGTGTTTTGCACGTGAACGATGTCGAAAGTGCGGGAGCCCGGGAGAGTGAAGTATCGGCCCTCATCGCCACTGTTGAATCCGGCCTGGATACATGAACAGTAACAACAACAACACCATCAACTACAATCGTAGTTTAGATTTATAGTGCACTCTTACGTAAATAGCGGATCTCAGAGAGCGTGTAAAGGAGGGGGAGAGAACGACTAAAGATAGGGAACGAGAGAGAGGCCGGTTTTAACAGCTGGTGGGGTCTTCAGCTGGGACCTAGAAGTCTCCATCGACTGCGAGTTTCTGACCTCCAAGGGGCAGGGAACTCCAGAGTCTGGGCGCCGTGCGGACAACAGTCCGGTGGCCAACCGGATCCGAAGTCTGGAGCGCGGTCACGCTGAGTAGGGCTGAGTAGGACAATGCCAATGTCAAGAGGAATGCCCTCTGATTATTCGGGGAAGCTGCAATGAGTCTCACGACTCTTATTTCAGTCGGGTCATGCACCGGTGTCACGTGAGAGTGTTGGCCATTTGGGACGAGACTTGATGAACCACGGGTAACCCATGCAACGTGAGGGCGGTGATGCCGCTAAATGCCCCACGTCGAGAGAGCCAGCGGTGTGGTCACCCCGTGGGCCGAAGCCCCTGACCGCGGGGCCACGTGGAGCGCGTCAGCCTCGTACCTGCGCGTGCTTTCCTCCAAGCCCGGTCAGCGCGTCCCCTCCGCTCGCCGTTCCGGTCGTCCAAGTGATGTCCCCGTAATTAAACATCACGAACGACACGTTGCCATTGGAGGCCAGCAGCAACTGGAAGGAATTAATCTACAGAGAAACGCACACGGGCTGAGCCACTGGCGTGCGGCAGGCCAAAGTCACCCCCAGCGGGGCCCAAGCAGCCCTGGCTCGGGCTTCTCTCAGATGGCGGGAGGGGGCAGTTGGGGTGACCACGTGCCCACTCCCCATGTGTACTCCTGTGTGTACTTCCATGTGTACTCCCGTGTGTACTCCCATGTGTACTCCCGTGTGTACTCCCACAGGTGTCCACTCCCGTGTGTACTACCACAGGTACCCTCTCCCGTGTGTACTCCTACAGGTGCCCACTCCCATGTGTACTCCCGTGTGTACTCCCACAGGTGTCCACTCCCGTGTGTACTACCACAGGTGCCCTCTCCCGTGTGTACTACCACAGGTGCCCTCTCCCGTGTGTACTCACAGGCGTCCTCTCGCTGCCACCATAAAAGGTGACGTTGCTCCAGGTCGCGACGAATCCCCAGGCGAGAGGCTGCCGGGAGAGGGAGCCGTAGCCGCGCTGAATGTCGGCGGCCGCTCGGGCCAGCAGGGGCCCGGGGAGGGCCTCGCGGTATGACACGGAGCCGGCCAGGGCGTTGTGGACGTCGGCCCAATACGGGGCGATGAAGGCGCGGCCGTCGCCCAGGGGAAAGCCCTCCGGCGTGAACTGGCCCACGGGGACTCGGAAGGACACGATTCCGTTGTTGTTCACCTGCGGTACGAGTGAAGGCACAAAGACAAAGATCCACCCCGTGTCACCTTTTAAGGGGCTAATGGGGCAAGTGCTCGCGTCAGCGGGCAGCACGTAGACAGGCCGGGGGCTGTGGGGTGGCCAGCATCTCCGCTCCGGCCCCCTCGCTCCCCTGTGTCTCCCCAGTGCTGATATTTTATACACACCTCGCCAGCTTGTAATTTGAAGGCTGAGTCGACCTAGGATGGTGGATGGTTATTTACGAAACTCGCCTCATTGTTTCGCCTGCCTCGCGGGGAGATTGGAACCAGCGACCTCTGGATTGTCCCGTGCGCTGACCGTTTTGCAGTACCAACACCCCCATTGCATAACAGTCACGTTAATAGTTTAGTTTTAGGATTCTGGTTGACACAATTTATATAAAACATAGGATCAAGCGAAAATCCTAACACCCAGAGAGGAAGGGTTAATTTGTGTTTCTCAGGGATCCGCGCGTGTCTCCGGTGTCGCTCACGGAGCTTGGGCGCGATGTTCGCGTTTTGCTCGACGCGTCCTTTGCTCAACGGAACTTAACACAAACAAGGGGACATATTGAGAGTGGCAAAAGCAATCAAATCCATCTTGCACGGATGCCTTGTGAGAGACGTACGTAGAGGGAATGGTAAACGATGCCAAAGTACGTGAAGGGCGATGAGAGATGGATTTCTGGAGAGCCGCCATCGTCGGACTTGGGAGTCTCCTTGTCTCCTGCTTCCAACCCGAATGGGTAGAAGTCCCCATCAGCAACGCAGCCTCCTGCAGTCAACACACAGATCGCAGCACCCGGGTGTCAACTCGAAACGGGACTTACGCCGCACTGCTTCACGGTCACGGCTATTTTGGGTGGTTCACACTCGACGCCTTGACTTCTCCAATGCAGCTTTCATGACAAATATATTCTCATTTGTTGTTGTCAATACACCCCTGGGAGAGTCGATCTGTTCGCCTTACTCCTGTTCCGCTGCTGCTTTTTGCAGGCAAACGTAATTCAGCGAGAAACCGACATATATGTATTTGAAGGATTACAGATCCGTTAGCCTCCTATCACACGATTAGACATTGTTCACAAAAATGATCGCAAGCCAAGCAATGGGTATCTTGGAGGCCCCCATCCTCCTCACCCCACCTGCTGGAGGATTCCCCAGGCGAGGCTTCAGATTCTCTCACGGTCTCACGCAGAGTCGCGCGAGGTCACACTCTACCTTGGCGCGTGATGTGAACGCACACCACCAAGATGCGCAACAAGTCCCTCGGCAGCCTGGGATCCTTTGCCAACCTAGACAAGACATGTACAAGACGTTGGTGTCAGGAGAGCAGCGGCATGGGCACCAGGGAGCATAGGAAACGCTACGGTTGCCAATGAATAGAAGACGTTGCCAGATGGCCGAGTGGATGGGAGGTCATTCTCAAAGCGTGGAGCTGGTAATCAATGAGACCCTGGGTTTGAATTTTATGAGGAAGCCACGTGCAGTTAGACTGGGGTCGTGTAGCTCCTTGGTGGTCTCAACCTGGTCACCGATAACCGCACGTACAAAAAACATCACGATTAACTTTGGCTTTGCACGTAATTTTGCTAAATTCAAGCTCCGAGAACGAAGAACATGGATCGGGTTGACTGTCGAACGACAGCCTTGAAGCAGAGTGTGTGTGAACGTGCGCCCCCTACTGGATAAAGGTTAAACGTGGCCACTCGAGGGATTGTTCGGCGTGAGTCTGGTGATGGATCTCTCCTGCAGCCGTTAACCGACAGATGACGCAGGGAAGCGGAGATTTCCGAATGGATTCTTTGTCACGTAACACAATGCTATCACGTGGCCTAAGCCAACAACCAAAGTGATTTTATTTTCTATTTTTTTACAGCAGGAAGGGTCCAATAAGCTGATATGCCCTGCGACGGAACCGATGTTGCGAAGTTACACATTCGTTACAGATCTTAGTGCCCCGGGATCAGGGAGGTCTGCGAGAGCAGCTCATCGCATCCATTCCCTCCTCTGGTGTCATGCAGGAGCTTGGATAAAAAGTGGCAACTGAATATTAGGAAATTGCACATTGAATTTTAATAACTCCCTTCTGAAGGTAACTTTGAAGGGTATTTTGAAGTAGACTATCGGTCATATTGCCAATTGAGTTAATTCCCCCGATGGCAGAATGCTCCAACACGTACTTATTGCATATAATGTCATTGAGTGGTTGTCAATCACATCGTTGACTTCAACTGTGTATAATGTATTATTGCTGAGAGACTGTTACAGCGTTAGTTGACAGATTGAATCAGGTTACATTTACTGACAAATCTTAATTGAATATTCAGATACTTAACACAAGATAATCGTCAGCGTCATGCTGGAGAATACAATAAGAGTAACTTAATTCATAATCAGACAGATTGACCCCTTGCCATGCCTATTCCTCCCAATTAAAAGTAAATTTTACACATCACATCAGCCGCATGCCCTTCTGTGAACGCATCATTTTCAGAATCGTTGGTTCCACAAACGCGAGCAAGCTTCTGGACCAGTTCAGTTCTGGACCAGTTCAAGTTCTCATCAGCAGAGGGAGGGCCAAATATCACACTCGGCTTTGTCCCTTGGCACGATGGCTTTCTAACTCATCCTCCTGTTGACCGCTCGTAGTGACGCGGCGTGTCTGGTCAGACACCTCGACGCAGTCACCGCACTGGTGCTGCTGCACCGCACGACGAGTCCGTGCAGTGCCCGGGGCGCCGCCGCCGCCACCGCCCTACCTCGGTGTCCGCGTCATGGTGGAGGGAGAGAGAGAGGCCCCTGGGCCCCGGAGCGAGCGAACGTCCCCCTCCCGGTGCTCGCGTTCAGCTGCTCTGCTCCATCAGCCTCGGGTCTCCTCACCTGGACCCCATCGCTCCCCTCCCTCCACCTTCCCGACTCCGCGTGAACAATGCGCCCATTGTACCGCAGCAGACATCCACGCACGGCTCCTCTCCTCCCACAGCCCCTAAATCTAAATGTTTAGTTTCATCATCGTGGCTTCTTTCTTCAAAGCTACTATTGCACATTAGAGTGCCACTCAACATTCACGTTTTGTTATTGTGAAGGTCACGCCTCTTGATTTTATTCGTTTGCTGCTAAACTTAAGTTATTGCGAGCTTAGAGAGAACCCCTCAATTTTACCGGGTGCAGGTTTTTTTTGGGGTTAGATTGCGTGAATATAAAAGTGTCGTGAAACCCGCCACCACCCGACACAGCCAACCCGCCACCACCCGACACAGCCAACCCGCCACCACCCGACACAGCCAACCCGCCACCACGTGTGACACAGCCAACCCGCCACCACCCGACACAGCCAACCCGCCACCACGTGACACAGCCAACTCGCCACCACGTGTGACACAGCCAACCCGCCACCACGTGTGACACAGCCAACCCGCCACCACCCGACACAGCCAACCCGCCACCACCGACACAGCCAACCCACCACCACGTGTGACACAGCCAACCCGCCACCACGTGACACAGCCAACTCGCCACCACCCGACACAGCCAACCCGCCACCACCGACACAGCCAACTCGCCACCACCGACACAGCCAACTCGCCACCACCGACACAGCCAACCCGCCACCACCCGACACAGCCAACCCGCCACCACCGACACAGCCAACCCGCCACCACGTGTGACACAGCCAACCCGCCACCACGTGTGACACAGCCAACTCGCCACCACGTGACACAGCCAACTCGCCACCACATGACACAGCCAACCCGCCACCACCCGACACAGCCAACTAGGAAGGGTTGTCACGTAAACAGAACGTGGCCAATTCGTCACTCGTACAGCACTAACCGGTGTGTTGGAGAGCCAAGCCACAACATTTACAATCTGAGAACGACGTTTCACCAGTAATTACAACCAGCTTCATCAGGCGACATACAGATTTGTGGGTGGTGGTGTGTTTAACGACACATTTATATATTTTCGCGATCTCATCCAAAAATAATCTATTATGGATGATATTGTTCGCGAAAGCCTACGTGTTAAATTTACCGGGTGCTCGACGGAGTTGAGAACGGTATCGCAGTGAGTGTCACGGTAGAGGCAGAGACGAGGAGGAGGAGGGTGGGGGGGTCCCGAGCAGCATGTGGCCATGAACAGAGCGGAGCGGGATTCTCAGCTGATGACTTTTATATCAACTAAAAGTTCGCTTTTCCCGATGCAGCACATTGAGTGGCACCCTAGCACACAGAGAGACCTTGGTATGCTCGATGTTGCTATTTGCTGGTGAGAGCGCAGAGAAACTACCACGTGGAATCCATAGATCCCAGGAGCGACCAAACCCGCCTGACGTGGAGCAGCATCGGAACACTGTGGTCGAGAAAAAACTCGAAACATTCGCCAATTCCATTGTGTGACCTTAACATGAAACGTAAATAATACAATGGGTGACGGTTTGGGCAATGGCCCTTCCTCGTGGTGCATGACCAGAAAGACAGAGTAAATTAGGGATGGGTTGGAGTCTGGGGCCTGATGGAAATTACATTTTTCTAATCAGTTTTTAAATAGACCGATGAATAGTGACATCACAGTAGCTAATGAGTACCAGACAAACCATTCACGAATCATAAAGTGTTACTCCTAAATAAACCCATTTTTTAAATTTAAAAGTAAAATAAAATATTCCTGGTACAATGCAGTCACCATCTCGATAAGAAGAGTGTCATCGCCATGCAAGTGTGTGTCACAGACAAGAAACATGTTAGAGTGACAAGAAGCATGTTAGGGTGACAAGAAACATGTTAGGGTGACAAGAAACATGTTAGGGTGACATGAAACATGTTAGGGTGACATGAAACATGTTAAGGTGACAAGAAACATGTTAGGGTGACAATAAACATGTTAAGGTGACATGAAACATGTTAGGGTGACAAGAAACATGTTAGGGTGACAATAACCATGTTAGGGTGACAATAAACATGTTAGGGTGACAAGAAACATGCTAGGGTGACATGAAACATGTTAGGGTGACAAGAAACATGTTAGGGTGACAAGAAACATGTTAGGGTGACATGAAACATGTTAGGGTGACATGAAACATGTTAAGGTGACAAGAAACATGTTAGGGTGACAAGAAACATGTTAGGGTGACATGAAACATGTTAGGGTGACAAGAAACATGTTAGGGTGACAAGAAACATGTTAGGGTGACAAGAAACATGTTAAGGTGACATGAAACATGTTCAGGTGACAAGAAACATGTTAGGGTGACAAGAAACATGTTAGGGTGACATGAAACATGTTAGAGTGACACGAAACATGTTAGGGTGACATGAAACATGTTAGGGTGATAAGAAACATGTTAGGGTGACATGAAACATGTTAGTGTGACAAGAAACATGTTAGGGTGACATGAAACATGTTAGTGTGACAAGAAACATGTTAGGGTGACAAGAAACATGTTAGGGTGACAAGAAACATGTTATGGTGACATGAAACATGTTAGGGTGACATGAAACATGTTCAGGTGACAAGAAACATGTTAGGGTGACATGAAACATGTTCAGGTGACAAGAAACATGTTAGGGTGACATGAAACATGTTAGGGTGACAAGAAACATGTTAGAGTGACAAGAAACATGTTAGGGTGACATGAAACATGTTAGGGTGATAAGAAACATGTTAGGGTGACATGAAACATGTTAGGGTGACAAGAAACATGTTAGTGTGACAAGAAACATGTTAGGGTGACAAGAAACATGTTCAGGTGACAAGAAACATGTTAGGGTGACAAGAAACATGTTAGGGTGACATGAAACATGTTATGGTGACATGAAACATGTTAGGGTGACGTGAAACATGTTAGGGTGACAAGAAACATGTTAGAGTGACAAGAAACATGTTAGGGTGACAAGAAACATGTTAGTGTGACAAGAAACATGTTAGGGTGACATGAAACATGTTAGGGTGACAAGAAACATGTTAGGGTGACATGAAACATGTTAGTGTGACAAGAAACATGTTAGGGTGAGATGAAACATGTTAGGGTGACAAGAAACATGTTAGGGTGACAAGAAACATGTTAGGGTGACAAGAAACATGTTAGGGTGACATGAAACATGTTAGGGTGACATGAAACATGTTCAGGTGACAAGAAACATGTTAGGGTGACAAGAAACATGTTCAGGTGACAAGAAACATGTTAGGGTGACATGAAACATGTTAGGGTGACAAGAAACATGTTCGGGTGACAAGAAACATGTTAGTGTGACATGAAACATGCTAAGGTGACATGAAACATGTTAGGGTGACATGAAACATTTTAAGGTGACATGAAACATGTTAGGGTGACATGAAACATGTTAGGGTAACATGAAACATGTTAAGGTGACATGAAACATGTTAGTGTGACATGAAACATGTTAAGGTGACATGAAACATGTTTAGGGTGACATGAAACATGTTAGGGTGACACGAAACATGTTAAGGTGACATGAAACATGTTAGGGTGACATGAAACATGTTAAGGTGACATGAAACATGTTAGGGTGACATGAAACATGTTAAGGTGACATCAAACATGTTAGGGTGACAAGAAACACGTTAGAGTGACATGAAACATGTTAGGGTGACAATAAACATGTTAGGGTGACAATAAGCATGTTAGGGTGACATGAAACATGTTAGGGTGACAATAAACATGTTAGGGTGACAAGAAACATGTTAGGGTGACATGAAACATGACCAGGTGACAATGAACGTGAAGGCACCGGAACGCGTGGGTCCACCGCGCGAAGGCGACCTTCTCCAACGCAGCCCGTGGACGGCACAGTGAGCCATTGTCGTCTGCGCTCCTTCAACGGGAGGAACAGCAAAACGACACCGACTCTCTCTCCTGAAGCCCTCTCGTCGTGGCCAACAGCAGGCCTCGACATGAGCTCGAGCCGTTATTATGTCCCGTGATGGGTAATGCATGCGTGGCTGTTCTCAGAGGCATGCGCTCATTTACTACCTGGCCCCGGGAGAGTCGGAATTGATGCCGATAAGTTTGAAATGTGGACTCCACCACTGTCCGTGAGGCTAGAGGCATGGGGGATGATATATCAGGCTCATGAATAACAATGGTGGGAGCTTTTGATATGTTGATTAAACGGCACAAACACCTCATGGATTTCCACCGCCCCAATACCGCCCCACAAGTTGGTCTTTGTGCGAAACGCACGATTCGGATTTTCCCAGCAGGGTTGGGTGTGTGCTCCTGAGGTGGAACCGCCAGGCACTCGGGGTTGAGGGTGAAGAGATGAATAATGGGCCTCACTCAAACTGAACACGGCAGATGCATTGAAATGACACTCGGGTGATTTCTCGCGCTGGTGACCACCCTCCAACGGCGAGATCACGTGCCGCAGATGCTTCACACACGACTCACTACGAATTGTCAATCACATTGGCGCATTGTGCGTAAAATGTTGAATGCGCGTCTTCTGTTCTCAAGCGGAGCTTCTCAAACTCTCACTCCGTAGCACCGCACGCAGCCTCGAACTCGCCGCACCTTGACGGCCACGCCGATTCACAACCTCGGTGGGCTCCAGCACTTTGGGAATTCCCTGGTGGGGGCCGTTTGCCCAACTCCGCATGTTCGACCGAAGGAGTTGAGAGGGCCGGGGTGGAGGCTGACGGCTGTCTGCTGCTGTACTGCGTTTTCACGGCTTTTTAATGGAACCCCGGTGACCGGCGGTGGACACTAGCCAGTCTGATCGTAGAGATGCGGGTTGCAGTCGATGTCATCTCTCGAGGTGCAGAGTTGAGTGAAGTCTGGATCCAGGATGAATTTAAGGCTGCAACTTGGGCGTGTTTACACACACAAAAAAGACAAAGATCCCCCGTATAGCCTTAACAGACTGTAGGGGCAAGTGCTGTTAGCACAAGCACTTTTGAAGGCCGGAACGGTACACGAGGGGGTGGGTGGCCAGCACCACGCCCGACCGCCTTTGTCTCCCCAGAGGCGATGTTTTCACACCGCACCAGGTACTCATTTGAGGCTGAGTCGACCTAGTGGTGGCCCAGGACCGGTTCAGATAATCGTCACTGGTATTGGCCGTGTGCGGGAATCGAACCCGGATCGCTGGGTTCATAGCGCAGCGCGCTAACCACTACACCACACACCCCCACACGCACGTGTGTAAACTCCTGTAAAGTAAAACAAAAACCCACCCATGAGAAAGGTTTGTGTACTTTTATTAACAAGTCAAGACAATTAATAAAAAGTGCAAAATGAAACAAAGTTCGAATCAATTTGAGAAAACAACACCAGCATCGTAACATTTGCAAAAAGTTTTGCCAGCTGAAGCGGGGGTAGCGGCCCACATTGAACGTGGCCACATGGACACGTTCACGATACCTATATACTATCTATATATTCAATAGCACACACATATATTTTAATTTATTGTGCGAAACAACGATGCATTCAAAACTAGCCGTGGAAATAGACTGTGGCGTCTAAAGTAAAGCTTACATGAACTATTTTTCATTTGAATGGGCAGGTTTAGAAAGAGATGGATTTCCCTTGACAATGAGTTGAAATGCAGGGAGATTAATACAACTGACGGAACGTGGTCGCAAACAATCACAATCCACCACAACCATAATCAAGGTCAGGGTATATAATTGCACGTTACCCATACGGCATGCTGCTATTAGTAGAATGTCTCATGTCAACAACAGAGATATTTTATGAAAATATCAAATGGACGTTGCTTAAAAACGAACCTATTTAGAAGTGCTTTATATTGTCTGGATTATAAAGGCACTTCCAGGAGGTGTTCAGTCACTGTTACGCACAAAGACGTCGCGTTCGTTGCCATTATTTAGATTTGCATGGCAACGTGAAGGGCCAACCGGAGTGCTCACATTACGATCTCAAGTCCAGTGAGGTTTGTTTATTCTCTCACGCTCCAAAACCTGCGCATTGTTATACCGGGGGTGTTTTTTCCTCCGCATATATTCCGGCGTCAAGTGAGAGGCGGAGGAGACATTCTCACGAGGAATCGCTGCAGCCAGTAGTGCACCACCCTGTGTCGATGTCCCTCAAAGCTTCGCTTGTGCAGGCCTTGTAATCCACACTCCGGCGCACACTCTCTACAGGAAGTGTTTGTCACGTGTCACTCACACCCACACCGTAAACCTCAGTGCTGGAATTAGGTGGATTCAGTGAAATAACAAAAGTTTAATAGGATGGGTTCATCTTTCAGTCGCTGCCTACCAGACTGCTGAGGACCCGAATCATCAGGAGGCTAAAACCCATATTTAACCGCAGGAGCCCCAGTGTTCTCGCGAGGCATTAGACCCCCCTAACAACCTAATAATGTTAGCAAAATACCCATTCAGTAGAGTAAATATTAATGTGCAATCAAATTCAGTAGTTTCACCCAAATATAAAAATAATAATTACCATAAAAAAAATCAATAACGAAACTGTCTCAAATATAACAAGAATAAAATGTAATTGTGACAGTCACAGCTGATGGTATTATTGCAGTTATTACAGAGACTGTCAAAGTCTGCTTCGGGATTCGCACAATGTGACGATTGTGCTTTCACTCCCAGGCTGCCTGCGCTGTAATGGATCCACAGTGCACATTGCTGGCACGGTCTCTCCCGGGAGCCCGATGAGCAGGAAGAGCACAGCGTTCGGAGGTCACTCGTGGGAAGCTTCAACTCGACTTGGGCTGAGATTCCTTGTCAACCTCTTTGTCAAGCTCGGTGAGACAACAGTTGCATATGAGCTGCGTGTATTTCATGATAAAATCTGAGGACAAAACAGAACATGGTGTTAGTCTCTTCTTCGTACCGGATGACAAAACTAATTATTGAGCCTCTCCACTGTCTAAAAATCAGGAACAATTCTTACGCACGCTGGGCAAGTTCACTGGCGATGCTGCTGCTCCTGCTACGTTGGTAGTGGTGCACAAGCAGGATTAACAACAACTTCAACACACTCGTGGATGGCGCTGCCTTACAAGGAAAGGTATAGAATAGGCGATATTTCGGGCAATGCTCCTCTTTCTGCTTTGAATCCATTGCAGAGAGAGAGGGCCATTGCCCTAATCGTCGGCTATTATGTTTACCTATATAGGGCAGTGTTCATGCCAAATGCCCAAAGAGAAGTCACCTGCAGCCAATGAATATTGTTAATTCGATCGGCTGCTCAATGCTTGGACCCAGACACAAACCGTGTATTCTGGGCTCACATCACGGCGAGTGGGACGATGTGTGCCAGCCCCGCCTAGCCACCTGAGACATGCCACTCAAGCTACATGGAAATCCATTTCAATCATAATCATCACCACCAACATATTACTCACCGATCTCAACAATGTATGTGGGGATTTGGACTATGCTGTCGGGCAATCGGTCCGTGGACATAACCGTCGATTTAATAGTTTGTTGTTGCTATTGCTGCCAATTTAGCTCGTAAAAGGAGGACACTCGTGCGATGCGTCCACTCTTGATTACCGGTGATCTTGCGGAGGATCTTGGGCCGTTTCTCCTCTGACAGGTGGATCGTGACGAAGTAGACGGGCACGCCGGTGAGGGCGATAGCGATGCCCACCAGGGAGTTGACGGTGTCGCTGTAGAGCGGTAGCACGACGAGGAACACGGTGCAGCAGCAGAACACGATGGGGAATATGATGCTCAGCTGCCAACAACAACCACAACAACAAGCACACAAGCGGATTAGGCAACGCAACCGTCACAAGACTAACATCTCCACCGGCAAACAGTCATTCGTTATCAATGTAAATATCCGTGTAAAGTAACCAAAGTGCCAATGATGGGACGCATCTACACAGAGTGTAATCTCTCCGCACTGTGCACACATAATTATGTAAGCAGTGTTTTACTGCATTTAGGAAATTACTCAAACTAACACCTTAACTCGTGCGTGTTTTTGATCGCAACTTTTTAGTAAAGCTCTTTTTCTACATCGTCACGACTACCCTCTGGATTGAAGTCAAATAATTAATTTGTAAAACCTTATTCGTATGGATAATTTCGCTTGTTTACCTGGGAAAGCCTCACCGGGTCGTAAGACTCTTTTTCAGGAGGTTTCTGCAAAGTTTTAGAAATAGGGGGGTGATGTTACTGCTGCTATGCAAAATCCCAATTGAGTGATTTCCAGGCAATTCTTTTCAGCATTTGGATGTTTGGCCATCATGTTCTTGTCCTTTAGCGGAGCCCGACTGGAGCATTGATTAATAGAGCGGTAGGCCACAGTGTTACCCGCGTAACACTACCTTCAGCGGCCGGTGTCGATTCGGCTCCTTCCACCGCAGGTACAACTGCCCAGCTATCGAGAGCCCCACGAAGAACCAGTAGCTGAAGCTGTAGTAGTTGATGAGCTGATAAATATCCTCCACACACAGGTAGATCAGAGACATCATGCCCTGCAAGACAAGGACGCAGAGCCACGCGTGGTGTCAGGGTCGACTCTGAGCGGCCGCGTCAGAGATGTCGCGCCGTTCAGGCCGACCGCGGGGGCTGCGCGCACGTGGTTCAGGGTGGGGGCAGATTCGCTATTCCTATTCAAATTGGCGCGGTTTGTTCAGATAGTCATTATTTAGAAAACTGGATAGGATGGGTAAAAATGCATACTTTTTTCTAAATACACATCCTGTTTGTGAGCAGGGTAGATATAGATGCTTCCTTTGTCTCTCGTCGAAAAAATGCATGCAGTGAATAAGCGTACAGTTGAAATTAGCTACACGTGATGTATTCCATTATGATTATGATTCCGCTGGTTCACCCAGGAAAGCCTCGCTGAGTCTCAAGACTCTTTTTCAGGAGGGTCCTGCCACGTTTTGTTAGAAGGAGCGATGTCGCTGCTGTGCGCGATCCCAAATGAGTAATTTGCCAATAGCACACAGCCTTTGCGCTTGTGTAAAAACCATCAGCATTTCCTGAACATATACAAAGTGGGTCCCCTTGTCTTAGGTGATTATGGTTCGTATTACGCACTGTGGTATTGTTCTGTTATGATGGCTTTGTCTCATCATTCAAGGCAGAGGCCCGATCCCCACGCTCCGCCTCTTCGCTGGATGCCCTGGCCCAAGGAGCCTGGCGGCATAGCGTCTAGTCAAATAACAGTGCCTATTCGGCCTATAAATAAAAACAAACGGAGGCATTCTAGAATTATGCATTTTAAGATAGCATTTCATGCCGGGTGAGTGAAAATGAACACTGTACGTGTACACTCTATGAAAACCGTGGAAATTGATCTCAGACGGCCTCACGTTGAAGAGCAGGGCAGGCACGGGCGTGTAGCGCTCCATGTGGATCAGGCAGATGGCATCCGGCAACTGTCCTTCGCGCGAGCCCACAAAGAACAGCCTGCAGAGCAGTAACACTCGCGTCAAGCGCCTCTTATTATCAACCACGATCGCAATCAGACTCCTGACGCAATAATGTTTGTACAAAATTCAGGCTGAGTCAAGAGCGGTGTAGAAAACAAACAGAAATGCACTTCCAATGCGGCAAAAACAAAAATACCATGGTCACAATTTTGGGATCAAAGTAATGTACGTCTCGACCACCGTTAAGTCAGAAATGACAAACTTATTGTTGTCGCAGTGATGACATCACATTTATCCCTCTAGTTAACACCTAAACAGGAGGATTTCTGGCTGTCACCTGAGGCTGGTTGTAATTACTGGCAAAACGTCGTACTCGAATTGTAAATGCTGTGGGTTTGCTGTGGGTTTACTCTCCAACACACCAGTGTGCTGACCTTGTAACTAAGTGGCATGTTTTGTTTACGTGACAGCCCTTACTAAATAGCTGTGTTGGGTGGGTTTAATGACAAATGTATATTTACGCGATCGAACCCAAAAAACCTCTATTATGGATACAAACGGAGTGCTTGTGGGCCGTCTGTGTCAAACACGAGATGCAGTCTCCTGCCTATGCACTTAGTTGTAAAACAAGGGAGTGCAGACTTGTCATCTGATAAAGGTGCCAATTGAATATCTAAGTTGCCTGTAGATGACGAACATGCTCACAGAGCATCGACACTTCAACTTAGTGCACTGGGAAGTCAAATGTGTGAAATCCACACAGGCTGACGACAAACTTGTACCCTCTTTTGGAAACGATCACATTATGTTTAAATAAATAAAAAGTTAAGAAGCATAGCAAATACAACTGAGAAGATACTCTTACCGTGCGCCAGACACACACTCAGGCGGCTGTGAGAAAGTCAAGGGTGGGATACTGGACCCAACTTTAGCGCAAATTACCCACAATTCCCATGCCTAGCCCAAGCTCCGATTTGCTAAAATTATTTCTATGCACTAATGGATTCTTCCATTATCTGCGTTTCTTTTCACACACAATAGGAGCGGCCTCTAAGTGGCAGAAAATGCTTCCTCCTCGCACATATTCACAAATGAGTCACCTGTAGTGGCAGGACATTTTCCGTATTATCCATGCTTACCTAGGGGTGACCTCACGGATATCTGGAGTTATTTTACGGAGAGGCACAGATTTTTGGATTTGATCTTGCTAGTTTACACATTTCCAACCTGCAATGTCCTGCAACTGTCATCACCACTGACAGTCTTGGGCTGTGGTGGTTTTTGTAAGAGAGCTGCTTAGCTCGATGGCCCTTACCGGCTGAAGCAATAAACTCCGTGATTGATTCCAAGTCTATGAGTCTCTATGTAACTATGTGGGTATCTATGTAACTCTGTGGGTATCTACGTAACTCTGTAACTGTAATGTCCCGGAGCTGCCACCGCTGCCGATGGAATTGGGCTAGTGGTCGTCGTGGTAGCAGAGCTACTCAGCTGAATCGGATCTTGCCGGCTGAAATAGTCGAGCCTGAGTCCCTTATTGACACAAATACCAGTAGAGAGCTTCACTCTGCAGAGGAGCCTCATCACTGCGTCCACCTCCCCATGGACACGGGGCCAATATCTCCAGCTACAGGGATTAACGTGCCCAGCTACGGTAGAGAGCTTCACTTTGCAGAGGAACATCATCACTGCGTCCACCTCCCCATGGACACGGGGTCAATGTCCAACTACAGGGGTCAACGTGTCCAGCTACAGGGGTCAACGTGTTCAGCTACAGGGGCCAACGTGTCCAGCTACAGGGGCCAACGTGTCCAGCTACAGGGGTCAACGTGTTCAGCTACAGGAGTCAACGTGTTCAGCTACAGGGGTCAACGTGTCCAGCTACAGGAGTCAACGTGTCCAGCAACAGGGGTCAACGTGTTCCGCTACAGGGGTCAACGTGTTCAGCTACAGGGGTCAACGTGTCCAGCTACAGGGGCCAACGTGTCCATCTACAGGGGTCAACGTGTCCAGCTACAGGGGTCAACGTGTTCAGCTACAGGGGCCAACGTGTCCAGCTACAGGGATCAACGTGTGCAGCTACAGGGGTCAACGTGTGCAGCTACAGGGGTCAACGTGTCCAGCTACAGAGGTCGTGTCCAGCTACAGGGGTCAACGTGTCCAGCTACAGGGGTCAACGTGTCCAGCTAGAGGTGACCCCCTACAGGCACCGTTAAGCATCGAGTCCCAACCGCACGTCTGCCAAGCATTCTCTGACTCGGATGTGTGTTCTGATGCAGAGACACAAGCTGTGTGTCAGATACGTGCCAGAGCCACGCCACTCCTCACATCTCCACCTCTCACTCCTCACATCTCCACCTCCCATCTCCACCTCACTCCTCACATCTCCACCTCTCACTCCTCACATCTCCACCTCTCACTCCTCACATCTCCACCTCTCACTCCTCACATCTCCACCTCTCACTCCTCACATCTCCACCTCTCACTCCTCACATCTCCACCTCTCACTCCTCACATCTCCACCTCTCACTCCTCACATCTCCGCCTCTCACTCCTCACATCTCCACCTCTCACTCCTCACATCTCCACCTCTCACTCCTCACATCTCCACCCCTCACTCCTCACATCTCCACCTCCCACTCCTCGCATCTCCACCTCTCACTCCTCACATCTCCACCTCTCACTCCTCACATCTCCACCTCTCACTCCTCACATCTCCACCTCTCACTCCTCACATCTCCACCTCTCACTCCTCACATCTCCACCTCTCACTCCTCACATCTCCACCTCTCACTTCTCACATCTCCACCTCTCACTCCTCACATCTCCGCCTCTCACTCCTCACATCTCCACCTCTCACTCCTCACATCTCCGCCTCTATAAAGAGCGCCCGTGGAAGAGAGTACAGCAGCTGCAGGGATTCGGGTGGCGAGCAGAGAGAGGAGGAGGGGGGAGATGAGTGGAGTCAGATGGCCGAAGTAATTTCTGCAAATGAGAGTGGGTAAATAGGACGAGAGGATCCGGCAACAGTGCGCGAGGCATCATCGCCGGCTTGGGGGGCTCGCTGTAAACATGCACGGTGGCTCCAACGTGAAGACGCGACTGGAGCTCTATTTGTCGGCTCCATCACAAAGATGCGACTGGAGCTCCTTATGGTGGCTCCATCACGAGCGACGCGCACCGAGATGCAGGTGTCTCACATCCCGGCCGCGTCGCTTCGCTTGCTCAGTGCGACTGTTACCCTACCTGGAGGCGGCGAGGATAGAGGCGTTGAGCCCCCCGAAGCAGGAGAGTGCCACGGCCAGTGGGATGGTCCAGTTAAAGATGCCGAACACCTGGTCCGCGAACGTCTGTCAACGCACACACCGCACGAGGGCGTCACTCTCAGGACAGTGTCCACGGTCGACTGCACCATGGAATAAACACGAGACTCTCGACCAGAGCGCAACAATAGCACACATGGACTTGGAGTGGCTGGAAATAATAAAATGGGGGAACTCATAAATACCCCCCAACATCTGGGTCGTACCAACTGAGCCTGATCGAAGGGGGTGGGGGGGGCAGCGGACGCAAGAATTGTTTCGCCTGTTTCAGAAGTGCATTAATTTAAAATAATAAAACAGTGTTGTGTATATGTTTGTTACTCTTTGGTTCTATTCGGTAAAGTCACGTAGGTAAAAAAATAAAACAACAAAAATCACGACGTTTCGGCCACAACACAAGCGGCCTTCATCAGGTGAAGGGACCAGACTGTCTCGAAGACTGCGCTCAAGACAGTCTGGTCCCTTCACCTGATGAAGGCCGCTTGTGTTGTGGCCGAAACGTCGTGATTTTTGTTGTTCTATTTTTTTACCTACGTGACTTTACCGAATAGAACCAAAGAGTATGGATCCTTGCAGTCACGAAAGCTTCAAATCTAGACTTATATGTTTGTTATGTATATTCGCAGACTGTTCACACAATTGTGTACCTGTCCCAGGGGACCCCGGGGGAAAATGCAGCATCCGACAGAAGCAAATATAACATAGGGGGATAACGTATTATCCATAGTGAAAGTGGACAACAGGGTGTAAATGCAATCTAAAAACAATTCAGAATCAAATCCCTCGAGACCTGATGATCAAAATAAATCTGAAAATGTAATCTTACAAAGTGGACACTCACCACGGCTACAGCATCGCTGTTCAGGATGGCTGTCTGGTCCAGCACGGTGTAGTAGGCCACGTTCGTGAGGATGTAGATGATGGTGACGAGGGGCATGGAGATCCCGATGGAGAGAGGGAGATTCCTGCAACAGAGCGTGCGGCGAGGCAGCTCAGCAATCACCTGATCACCAGATCACCAGATAACCACATCACCTGATCACCAGATCACCACATCAACAGATCACCACATCACCTGATCACCACATCACCTGATCACTAGATCACCCGAGGCTTCCCACAGAGCAGCTCTGTGCTTCCCACCCTTTTGTTATTCAGAACTACGTCCACAGCCTTACAACTATTCATCATCGGCCATCATCAATCCACTGCTGCATGAAGGCCTCCCCAAGCCGTCCCTATGAATGACACCATTGTGCACGCGGTTTTATTCAATCGGTGTGACGCCTACCAGCACGTTTCAAGGTATTTTTTGTTGAACCAGCTGAGGACTTCCAGCTGAGAACTCGAGAGGCCGGGGTGACTCTCACTCGCTGGAGTGACCCCCAGGGCATTGGTCCGCTGCCAGAAGGGGGTGGCAATTGCTGCGGTGCATAAAGTCCCGATGGGGTAAACTGCAGTGTCACTTTGGAATTTGGCAATTTTGGACCATGACGCCGGAACACAATGGCCTTTTTTTGTGAATGATGTCAAGGGATCGTTAACATCCACAACGAATGAAGCAGATGGCGCGTACGCTTATCGAGGTTACTCCACGTGCGGTAAGCTTCGGGGCGGCTGCCGAATTCGATCCGTGACCGTCTGCAACGGTGACGCAGCTCAGCCGTAGCGCTGAGAAAACTCGTGGGGCTTGTGATCGATGTCACCCTTCTTTGGATGCAATTCGGTGATACAAGACGGCACATCTTGTGGAGCTGTAAGGCACAGGTGCTTGTTGTAGGCGCAGCTTTCTTGTACCAGAAAACAAGCTACGCCTTAACTTTGTGTGAGCAAAAAGTCTTGACGCGTGTTTGAGGTATCTTAAATCAAACTGTTTCTTTATTTCTTAGTTGCACAAAAACGAGCTTATTCTAAAGTTATATCTTCGCCTGTTCACATACTGTATCACTTCGTCGCACGTACTGTCACTTCGTCGCACGTACTGTATCACCTTGTCGCACAGTCAAAAGACTGTATCCACTCGCTCCCCATCGGCTCTTCTTATAGCCCCCCACCCCCCCCCCGTTTATACTATAAAAACCGGACGTAACGTCATGGGTTCAACCAACGGAGCGTCTAACTACAGGGGGGTTTCTAGACAGTTGGGATATTCCAAATGAAATATAACCAGTCCGTCAACAAATGTATGACGGATATACATCAAAACTATATACATAAATAAATAATACACTCGCTTTCTGTCTTATGGCTCTTACATTACCAGCCCCTAATTGGCTAGGCAGGGAGCATACCAATTACTCTCAACTTTAACCTTAAGAGCTACAAACTCTAAATAATAACCTTTACTTATAACAATAATTTCTTGTATTTCTGCCACTTATTGGCTTTCTTGAGCCTTCTCTTTATCTTATCGATATACTTTCATGCTGCTTCTTGTAAGAGATAGAGCTTTATAAAAGGCCGCTCTAGTGTGCTGAACTTAGTTTTAACACACACACACACACTGAACTGTTGGAGTCTGGCATGGTCTTGATAATTCTTCTGGCTGAAGCGGATTAGATCGATCTCAGTCTGGGTCCAATGTTCCACTGTAAGCAGTTCCTTTTCCAGTGTTGCTTTAAGTTTCTGCATGCACTGCTTAAGAGGTATCTTCTGCCTCTCGGGGTTACTTTCAGCCCGACTGATTGTAGCTCGATACTCTTTCATTTTATTCTTTAAATGCAGCAGAATCGCTTTCAGTTGGAAAAACCATGCCACTGCTCTCTTCAGATGATACCAACTTGAGTATAGATTGACAAGTCTGTTCACTGTATTAGAGTTCTCTTTTGATACTGAGGAGATTGACTGTTACCGACTTCTTGATCTCATCATCATCTGAGTTTTGACTCATTAGAATTGGTCGTTCCTGCCATTCACTTGGAGCCATCCACAGGAATTTGGGTCCCTGAATCCATTTTTCACTTTTGATAAAGTTTTCAGCTTTCAAACCTCTTGAAGCATGATCTGCTGGGTTCACCAAGGTATTGAAATACTTCCAATGGGTCGGTTCTGTGGCCTCAAGGATTGTAGCGATCCTGTTTGCCACAAAGGTCTTGAAATGAGTGGTTTCATTCTCTATGTACTTCAGCACTGTAGCGCTATCCGTCCAAAAGGTAGACTCTTCGAGCAAGACTTGATGTTCTTGTCCGAGCATCTTATCCACCTTTATGGCTCTTTCTTCTTCTGTGATAGACGGTATGACAACTCTGCTGTTGCTTACCCACTTTGATAAGTTGAATCCCTCACTAGAACACAAAGATCAGATATCTTTTGACAGGGTAACAACACGGTCTTCAGATGACACAGGCTTCAAGCAGTCGTCATTGTAGGAGTTTCTGCATACTGTGTCAACAGCCTCTGGTGTTGAATCGGTTCTTCCATCTTCGACTGTTCTTCTCAGTGCATAGGATGCACAGCTGGGTGATGACGTGGCTCCAAACAGGTGCGCAGTCATTCTGTACTCCGCTGTGGCTTGACTCAGGTCGCCATCGGGCCACCACTCGATGTCCGCCATCATACCCCAAAGTCCCTTTCCAAATCTGGTCAACACACCATTGAGTGTTGGCGAGATTGGGTCTTTGGAGAAGCTGCTCATTCAATGTGTATGCTCTGACTTTAACATAGCTATTTCTGTGACCAGTTACAAGCTAATCACTCAGATATTTCAATGCTAAATTCTATGCTAATTCCTTTGTCAAGGGGTGCCTCTGCGGATGTGTATGCTTTAACTTAGCTATTTCAATGCTAAATTCTATGCTAATTCCTTTGTCAAGGGGTGCCTTTGTGGATGTGTATGCTTTAACTTTAACATAACCATTTCTGTGACCAGTCACAAGCTAATCACTCAGCCATTTCAATGCTAAATTCTATGCTAATTCCTTAGTCAAGGCGCTTTGTTTCTTCTCACACAGCTTAAAGGTCGCGATTTGAGCGTGGCTTTTTCACTCCAGCGCTGTCCTCCAGACAGTCTCGTCCCTTCACCTGATGAAGGCCGCTTGTGTTGTGGCCGAAACGTCGTGAGAATATTATTGTGTTATTTTATTTTATCAATTTATTATTTTATTCTCATTCTACGTGACTTTACCGAAAGAACCAAAGAAGATGATTCCTTGGTATGTTGCAGTGCAGTCGAAGACTACACGGATCTTCTTTTTCTTCGGGTGGTACACCCCATGATGAGGAATACACCAGACTCTTCTGTCTTCTCGTTCCAGCTGTCTTTTAGGCACTTTCAAAGCAAAGCCCTTTGCAGTGTCTCTCATGAAGCCTTTGTGGTCCTCATGGAAATCTGGGTTCTTGCTCGGCCTTCTCTTGAGACTGCTGATGCGCTGCCTTGCAACGCAGCGGTTGTTCAGCATTTCCATCTTCTCACTTCTCAATGGCAAACCAGTGGTATAGTGTCCATCGACCAGCTCAGCTGATCTTGTCAGATTGCATGAACTGATGGTCGTCTTGTGACATCTCTGGTTTGTCCTCGGAACTGCGTTCTGAGAAGTCTGTGTTGTATTGTTGGACTAACAGTTCTTCAATGTTTGAGATGGAGATAGTTTGCTGTGAAACGTTACCATTTTCCATTGGCATCTCCTGTTCTCAAAGGTTCGTTCACTACCCAGCTAAGAGTGGTCTTGATTGCGTAGGGTCCATCACCTTCACTATTTATCACCTTCCATGGTTCCAATGCTTTGTGTGCATTAGTTCCTATCAGCAGGCCTATCTCTGCCTCAATGCATGGGAGGTGCACTTCTCTCAGATAGGGCCGTCTCTCAACATCATGCTGTAGTGGTATGTTTCCTTTCTTCACTGGAATGTCACTGTGGGTGAAGACCTTTGGCAGGTCAATATAATCTCCCTCCTCAAGTCCACTCACTTCCAGGTCTGACAGGATATAACCGTGTACCGACTTCTCCTGACCCATGGTTCGCAAAAGGATTTCAGTCTTCCTGCCTCTGACGTTGAGTTGTTTCCTCAGGGTTTCAGTACAAAACGTCGCTGAACTCCCTGGATCCATGAATGCATATGTCTCCACACTCGTCACACTTCGTTTGGATTTGATTTTCACTGGAACGATGGCGAGAATAAAATATCCGTCTCCAGCCCAGGTGTAGCCACAAGTTTCATGCTTAAGGGACGCAATAGCACTTGAGGCTATCTTCTGTTCAGTGGTGCCATCTTCATTGTTTTAGAGGTGACACTGTTTTCTTTAATGACATGCAGCATGCTTGGATGCTTCAAGTTACACTCTTGACATGTCATTCTTTTCTTGCACTCCTTGCTGAGGTGCCCTTGTATAAGACATCCAAAGCAAAGTCCTCTTTCTTCAGAAACTCAATTCTGACTTTCTGTGGCTGTTCTCTGATCTTAATGCAAGAATCCAGTGTGCGATTCTTCTCACAGAACAAGCAGGGTTTCTGGAAGGCAATAGCAGGCTTGTCTCGACTATTTTTCTGAGGTGAGTCTGGTGCTTTCCCCTCTTCAGAAGACATGATGCTTATTGCAAAACTGCTTCCTTTAAAGCCACTCTTCTGATGGGTCTTTATGTCTGCAGTCTTGTCTTTTCCCTTTCCTGCAATACCTCTGTTGGTGTCCTGCATGTCTCCAAACAGCGGATCCATTGCAACTTTTGCTTGCTCGTCGACGAAGTCCACCAAGTCTGTAAACCTGGCTCTTCTTCCTCGTCTTTCTTGAACATTGAAGGCCTTTCCTCTCCACTTCTCTCTCATCTTATATGGAAGTTTTGAGATGACCACTCGCATGTTCGTGGGATTATCCATTTCATCCATGTACTCAATGCATATGTGTGCAACGCTTTTCCATCTACATCTTTTATCCGAGGCCACTGCCAAGCTTTCTCCATATAGGCACTGGCTATCTTCAGCTCATCACCATAGTGCTTCTGAAGTAGCTTCCTGGCTTCCTGGTAGCCCCTGGCTGGATTCATATGTTCACAACTTAGCAAGAGATTTTGTGGTTCTCCACTGGTGAATTGTTCCAGGTAATAAAACTTGTCTTGGCTACTCTCTGTCTTACTGTCAATGGTGTGCTCGAAAGCTCTGATGAAGGACTTGTAGACAAGTGTATCACCTTTGAACACAAGAATGTCTCTCTAAGGAAGGCGAGACAAATGTTGCTGTTTTACAAGCATCTCTGTAATCTCATTCTGATGCTGCATCACTTGATTAAGATCTATTTCATCCTTTCACGCATCTGGTGGTGTTGACTTGGGTCTGGTCTGTAGTATGCTGTACTTGTACCAGCCTCTCTACCTCTTGAAGGAGTTGATTCAGAGTCCTCAATTGCTCCTATAGCATGGGCCGGCTGGGCTTTCTCAAATGATGTCTCTATACTCTTTGTCCAGTCCTGAGGTTTTGCTGGATCTTGTCTTGGTCTTGAAATACTCATGCTTGCCATCCAAAGTGTCCACATATTCACCAAAAACCTTTAGCTTAGCACTGGATACTGCAATAGCAGTCTCTGATTCCAACTGCTCCTTTTGAGCTTTCAGCTATACTTCTTCAAGCTCGATTTCTTGTTTCTTCTTTAAAGATGCTGCCTTGGCTAATAGAGCTGCGTGTTCTGCTTCTTCTAGCACACGTGCCGAAATTGTGGAGCTTTTAGAAGAAACTATTGAGTCATTTCCAGTTACGGAGCGATATTCACTTGTGTTTTTGCTCCGTGGAACTGATAGTAATGATATGCTGTCTCCTGGATCAACATCATCTTCATCTTTCTTATCTTCACTTGTATCTTCACATACTTCTGTGATAAACTTTTCCATGGGCTTTTCTGACTCTATATGGCCATAGGCGCCCTGGCTGGGTGCCAGCACCGCCGCTCTCCCGCCAACACTGCACTTTCCTGCTCGACGTGTTCTCACGCAGCTTCGTGCCTTTGTGCTGCCTTGTACTGTAGCTGACTTTGCCATGTCGTCTGCCTTCTTGTTTCCTCAGTGCACAACGAGTTGCAAAAGGCTTCAAAACTCTCAGAGTTATTCAATTAAATAACCTTTGCAGATCCGTTCCTAAAATATGCACTGTCTTGGCTTGGCAAAGCGAATACAGCTCACAGTTATGTTTATGTAACTAGCAGGCTTCAGTAACTCATTAACGTTTGCTTGTCTTTCACTCTTGGTAACAATCTTCTCTCGTACAAACTTAATGGTACCTTCTTCTTAGACACGAACTTGTTGCCTCCTTGTTGGTGAGACGTGAAGAACGTTCTCTCTTCTTTCTTGCATGGCTTTCTTCCACGTGAGTAGAAGTCTTTTACTTGAGTAGGTTTCTTCCACGTGAGTAGAAGTCTTTTACTTGAGTAGGTTTCTTCCACGTGAGTAGGAGTCTTTTGACTAATGTAGGCGTAGCTTATTTGTACCAGAAAATAAGCTACGCCTTACCTTTGTGGGAGCAAAAAGTCTGACGCATGTTTGAGGTGTCTTAAATCAAACTGTTTCTTTATTTCTTAGTTGCACAAAAACGAGCTTATTCCAAAGTTATATCTTCGCCTGTTCACGTACTGTATCACTTCGTCGCACGTACTGTGTCACTTCGTCGCACGTACTGTATCACCCTGTTGCACAATCAAAAGACTATCCACTCGCTCCCCATCGGCTCTTCTCATAGCCCCCCCCCGCCCACGTTTATACTGTAAAAACCGGAAGTGACGTCATGGGTTCAACCAACGGCGCATCTAACCACAGGGGGGTTTCTACACAGTTGGGATATTCCAAATCAAATATAACCAGTCCGTCAACAAATGTATGACGGATGTACATCAAATCTATATACATAAATAATACACTCACTTTCTGTCTTATGGCTCTTACACTTGTCAGGAAGACAAACCACACTTTGAGACTCGCCCCCCCAGAATGAACAATGCAAAGCAAATTGTCAGCTGTACACCCTGTGAGCCGTCTCTTATAATCACACTCACGCTGGTGTATGGGAGGTCAAAAGACGATCCATATTTGATCATATTACATGATTCTGTCTTAATATAAGAACTGCAAAACAATTGTTGGTAGCATCAGCTCATCGCCTGGCAGCCTTCCAGTTCAGTCTGTGGCTCCTCAGCGATTGTGAGATGCAATTTGCATGGACCACGCTTTATAAAAATTCATAATTAAGATTTTTAAATTATATTGTAGAACTTTTCGCTGATCGCTGTACGGGGACGATCCTGATTGGTCAGGTGGAACAGCCATTTGATTGGCTGGGGGATTTAAAGGAAAAGAGGTGGGAGTTTGGTTAATAATGCAGTGGCCGAGAGAAGATTCCAGAAGAAGGGGTGGTGCTGCTGGCGGTGTACGCGGGAAAAATTGCGAACAAAGCCGAGCTTCAGCAACTTTACGCGCATACGCGGGACTCTTCGACACAAGTCAATCTCAAAAATCAACAGAACACGGACACCATCATCTGCACTGGCGACCGCATTTCACGAGCAGCTGAATGCGTTCTCGGTGGGAGCTCCGTGGAACAGACGGCGCTTCCGGCAAGGGATCCTCACCGCTCAGGGTTTTTGATCTCCTCCGTGACGAAGTTGAGCGTGTCCCAGCCCGAGTAGGAGAAGAGCGCCGAGTAGAGCGCCAGGGCCATATTCCCCACATCCCAGTTCGAGCCTTCGAATGACGACTCCAGGTTTTCGGTCTTTCCTGAATGCAGCAGTAGCAATGACATCGGAGCGGTCACCACAACCAACGGTCGCAAAACTCTCGTGGAACGGAACACGATCCAGACGGGAACAAGACTCTTTAATATCCATGCGCAGCTTTCCTGGCTGGGCTGGGCATTAAGCGTTTTATCTTTCAAGCTTTCACCACGCACTGCTGTGAGGATCGTCATTAGAATCTGCATTGAAGATGCCCACATCGAGATGTCGCCCATGGTATTACGATCAACCGCGAAAAAGCGCACATCACCGAGCCTTGTCGACGATTGAGAGCGCATACGTATTTATGTTGAACTTGGTTCACACTGCACGTAGCCGTGCGCGCTAATCGTGAGCGGTGTGACTTCTTACCTTTGCCGAGAAAGACAATGCCGGCGATGATGACGGCGATGAGCGCAATGACCTTGGCGTAGGTGGAGAGGTCCTGCACGCGGATGCCATGCTTCACGTACGCACAGTTCACAAACGTCAGCAGGCCTGTACCACGGGAGGGGCGGGGGGGGGGGAGATATGCACTCGCTACCATCAAACACTTCACTGCCCACGGCAGTCATCGTGACAATCACGACCGGAATTACAACTCTTGTAACGCCACTCCGCAGCCATCCCACTGCGCTCGTTCGCTCGCTCGCTCTCGGAGAGGTAAAACGACTCGGAGTAAACGAGCAGAAAAGCAACAGCAGCCAAGGTGGGTGGTGAGCCGGCACCATCAATTGCCCAAGATCTGCGGTCCTCTATATATATTAAGACATTATAAGAATGGGAGCGCCAGGAGAAAACCCACTTGTATACAGGGGGAGACATTCCAGCCCTGTAAGGATAGAACATATTGAGATTAGTCCACATGTTGTACCGCGTTGGCGCGCGAGAACCGAGCTGCCGATGGCATCTGACGAAGCTGGATGGCATCTCCATCAAAACGTCCGACAAAACTCTCCAGATTTTGCTTGGACTTATCACCATAACCGGTTTTGCTGATAAACCAAATCAATTGGGACATTCGTTCGTGACAACTCAAATCGACTGGCCCCACCGTTGGGTGGTGGAGGTTATTGTTTACAACATTATACCTACGCGACAATCTAACCCAACAGAAACAAGAGGATATTTGCCCTTCTCATTCCCTTGCCCAATCCGTGTTCTTGTATGGGAGAATTATCTTGTGGGTAACCAGATAAATGGGCAATCCTGCAATGCCTTGCTCATTCCACTGCTGCCGGATGAGGCCACCACTTGAGAAACCTCTGGAGAGCCTCCTCCATATCATATTTCGGTCTCCTCTTCCACGCTGACCAATTATCTTGGAAGGTGTGGGTGTACCCACACTTTACCCCACCACACAAAACCTGCTGAAAGACGAACTGTGGTTGTCCCCGTGTACACTGCTGGGTGGACAGAGGCGTTGGGGCCGGGTGTTTTACAGGTGGATGCACCGTGTCCACTCCAAAGTCTGAGTGCAGCGCAATCAGTCACCAAAGCTTACCACTGCACTCAAACACGGAGTTATTGAAAGTGCGTGCGGTCAGAACGTGTCACAAACACGTGTTAACATTCCACGCTTCCCCTGGAACCAATAGAATACTATATCATACTCAAGCATATGATTAACCAGTGACATTTTATAAATGTTTCACGTGTTTTTCTCCTCTTCTAGATTTGAAGCTTTCGTGACTGCAAGGATCCATACTCTTTGGTTCTATTCGGTAAAGTCAAAGAGTATGGATCCTTGCAGTCACGAAAGCTTAAAATCTAGAATTGATAACCTCTACGGGGAGGGCTTTCACCTATCTGTTAGAGCTTTCAACAGACAATGGGACAAGAAGTCAAAGCTCATCGAGACGCTGACCTTCCTCAAAAGATGCCGCGACAACAAGCTTAAAGGACGCGACCTGGGCTTGGCTGTCTTCACTCCAACGCTGTCCTCTGGACAGTCCGGTCCCTTCACCTGATGAAGGCCACTTGTGTTGTGGCCGAAACGTCGTGATTTTTGTTATTTTATTTTTACCTACGTGACTTTACCGAATAGAACCAAAGATTATGTTTTTCTCCTCTTAATTATTCGACCAGCGGCGTTCTGTACGAGTTGTAAATGATTTGGTAAGAAGAGTGTGGCTATCTCTCGAGTGTGCCGCGCACCGTGCCTGTAACAATTCACAGTGAACACAATCTCATCTCGAGATCCGTGGAATGTAATGACACAGCTCAGCTTCCTGTTATCAGCAGGCTGGAAGCTTCTCCCACCAGAGATGAAGTTGCGGACCCTGCGGTGGGTAAGAGACTTTGTGGAAAAAAGTAGTTGCCTTGGAATCATGTTTAAATGATCCGATGGGTGAAACAACATTTACCAAGGTACAGGGGTGACCAAAAGTAATTGAGATTACTTCAAAGACATAATTGATTCATAATTGGTTTCTTTCGGGTTTGATCGTGGTGTAAAAATGTGTGTCGTAAACTCTTCTCCACCCGTGATTCAAACGTGCCAAATGTATTACTGCTTCACAACCACCACCAGAGAGAGGAATCTCACAACGGGCAACGACGTTTCGCTGGAGATGACGTCCAGCGACCTCGGGTTGTGAACAGGAGCTCAGGTTGCGCGTGCTGCGTGATCCCGGTCCTTAAGTGGATGCCATGACGTCATCGGCACAGTCATGCGCGGTGGTCTAGATCCATAGTGAGTTGTTTAGTTGTGGTTGAAGGGTTAGGGGAGTGCAAAAAGGTGGTGTGAAAATAACCTCACCTGGATTACGGTAAGGTGCATTGTATTAGTAATGAAGCTGCAATTGTAATGCTACTGTGATTATCGTGAAGTGTTAACTTAGTGAATTCATATTCTTGGTTCTTTCGGTAAAGTCACGTTGAAGGGAAACAATAAAATATATTGTTTATATTGTTTTATATATATTTTATTGTTTCCCTTCAACGTGACTTTACCGAAAGAACCAAGAATATGAATCACTGCAGTCACGAAAGCTTTAAATCAAAATTTAGTCAATTCATGTTAATAAATAACCTCACCTGAATTACGGTAAGGTGCATTGTATTAGTAATGAAGCTGGAATTGGAATGCTACTTTGATCATCGTGAAGTGTTAATTTAGTGAATTCATGTTACGGGGCACGTTGAGGAATTTGTAATGGAAAGAGATTGTTGGTGTTTTAGTTTGTTACATTATAAAAAAAATTGATTACGTCTAAATGGCAAGAGTTAGTCATTATGAATGTAGTTAAGCACGATTGTACTAGGGCCCATCGTGCGAATTGAACACGTGAATACCTCCAATCACGGGCATGTGATAGTGGCGGTTGTAGTGGTGGTAGTGGAGATGGTGGTGGTAACAACAATGATGAATTGGAATCATCCGGATGAGTGCTCGTTGAGGCTATTCAAACAGCGATTTACAGACAGCGATTTACAGACAGCTATTTACAGACAGGTGAAAGGAAGTGATTTTGGTTGATGAAGCGGGTAGACATGGGGGCGGGCTACTCTTTATGAACACTAGAAGCACAATACAGCGCATTCTTGTACTACCAAAAAACTCCCGTGATCGACGTGGGGCATGAGGAAGACATCATCCAGCAGTGGATTGACTGAGGGCGATAACTGAACGTTGTCCCTGCTCTATGTCTGCATTCCCAACACCGAACCATGGCCGAGTTATTCAGCTGCTCCCGCGTTAATCTGCAGGGGCAAGGGGGGCAAAGGTCAAGTTGAATCACTTCAGCACCTTTACAATGTTCTGCACCTGAAGCGTTTATCTAAAGACCTTTTGATTCCTGAACCCAATAATGGTTAATGAGTAGGGTAGTGTACATGCCACACAGTGGCGTGCGGAGGAACCACAGACAAGGGGGAAGGCAGCCAGGCGGTGAGGAAGAGCCAAAAAATTGCCCAAGCTCTGCGGTCCCCGATATATTGAGATTTTTTTTCAGTCAATTAATGAGTGTGTGTACATTTGGGATGAAACCCTAGCACCTGGAGAAAACCCACGCGTGTGAGGGGGCAACACTCTATCCCACACACATAGACCAGGTGGAGTCTATTTTCCTGTACTGCCTTCTCTTGGTGAGCTAGGGTACGGCACCTCGACAGCCATGGGTAGGGAGTTTCACAACAACCCTCGCTGCTGTCTCCACAGTGCTGGATTACAGGCAGCTACATGCGTAGCCAAAACAAGCCCTGCTGCAACATCGAGATAATTATTTGTTTTTGCCGACACAGCGCCCTGTATGCCGGAGGGGCCAACCATAGCCAACAGCGTCAGAAGCGCATCAGACAGCGCGCCGACTCACAAATGCAGGCGGCGGCGATGAGCCTAGAGGCGGCGTATGGCGGCTCGCAAGTGGAGAAGATCGGCTGCACCAGGTAGTTGGCGAACGTGATGGCGATGACGGCCTGGCTCGTGGGTTCAATGATCAGCAGGGACGTCCACAGGCGGATGAAGGCCGGGAACTTGCCGAAGGCCTCCAGGATGTAGGCGTAACTGGCGCCCGACTTGGTGATGGTGGTGCCGAGCTCGGCGTAGCACAGGGCCCCGAACACGGAGAAGATCCCGCCCAGCGCCCAGACGACGAGCGACAGGCCATAGGAGGCGCTGTACATCAAGACCCCCTTGGGCGAGACGAAGATTCCCGAGCCGATCATGTTCCCCACAATGAGGCACACGCCGCTAACGAGCGAGATCTCCTTTTTCAGCTGCATAGAGTCCTGGGCCTCCTGGGCGGGGACGTCGCCGTTTGTGGACCCCGTCGCCTCGCCAGTGCCCCCCCCCCCATTGGTGTGCTGCTCCGAGGAGGGGGTGACGGTGTAGCGGCCTTTATCCTTCCCCATCGCTGCAGCGGCGCTTTCTGCGGACAAACACAAATGCACACACACGCATTACGACTAGAATGAGTAACAAGAATAATAAACACATTTTGTACCGCGCGCATAGATCGCGAATCTGACGCAATGTTCGTTCGAGACCTCAGAAGTGCCGAGCAAGAGCTCAAAGTCCCTCATACGCCAAGTTCAACAGGTGAGCACCTGAGAGCCAGGTGAGAACCTTGAGCTGCTGAAGGCAGATGGTGCTTGGATGCAGTGAATGAGTGGTGCTAGAGTTCCGGGCGATGTGTGTACGCACAGTATTTGCAACGCTCTTGGAGGGCTCGCATCAGTAAATGACAAGAGAACCCATTACAACAGAACAAATGAAGCAGGCTGGAAATGAATCGAGCTAACAAATCTCTCTCTCCCAACAACAATAATAATAATACAACCACTTGTAACGAGCACACTTTTCTCAAGCCGGAGGGAATCTTTGTTGGATTACGAACACAAGAGGTGTAGGCGAGGCATGGCAGCGGCTGTCGACGCAATGCACCCCAGTGTCTCAATCACTATCACACGCAAAGATAAAGAACCCCCGTATAGCCTTAACATACGATCGGGGAAAGTGCTGGCAGTTATGATAGTGAACACTAATGAAAGCCAGCATGGCACACGAGGGAGTGGGTGGCCAGCATCAAGCCCGGCCGCATGTATCTCCCCAGTAGCAATGTTTACACACTGGGTACTCATTTGAGGCTAAGTCGACCTAGGGCATGTCCAGGACCAGTTAAGGTATTTGTCACTGGCGTTGTTTGTGAGCTGGAATCGAACTTGGGCCGGCTGTGTTTGTAGCGCCACGGGCTAACTTCTACGCCACCGCTCCCCTACCGAAGGCAAAGATCCCCCGTACAGCTTCTGATAGATCGTCTGGGCAATTTTACAAAAAGCCACAGAGAAGACAGGCGTTTGTCTATCAGCCAAGTAACAAGTCAAACCGCCCCCCACCCTGGTAACTAGATCCCACCGCCTAAGTGTGATCTGCAGCACCGTGACCGGGCCCTGCTCGGCAGGTTCCAAAACGGCCACGGGTCCCACTGCGTGCAGCAGCCGCCGCTCAGGCGGGGCTCGCCGCTCAGGCGGGGCTCGCCGCTCAGGCGGGGCTCGCCGCTCAGGCGGGGCTCGCCGCTCAGGCGGGGCTCGCCGCTCAGGCGGGGCTCGCCGCTCAGGCGGGGCTCGCCGCTCAGGCGGGGCTCGCCGCTCAATGCCTAGAGCCCCGGTGGTGCCAGACACACGACCAAGATGGTGACGAACACCGCCATGGGACCGCGTCCAACAATGAAGCCGGGCTGCGTGTGCTGCGTGCTGCTGCTGCTGCTGCCTGGCTCTGCGCATGCAGACACAAGCTAAATACATACAATGGAAACGTGAAATTGCACCAATGAACATCATTAAGGATAAAATAAAATATTTTCGCAAGAAAACGTAAGATTTGAGATGCTCAGAGTCCGGGTACACTGATACACTGAACTCTTATCAGTTGCTTCACCAGTTTAGGATTCTCAATCAATGTGCTTCGCCTAAAGGGCATGAACACCACCGCCCCCTCCCCTCTTTTGGCTGTTCCATCAGCGGTTCTGCCAAGCAGGGAATAACACCGAGAGACGGATTCTATACTATTCTTGCGCGTGATGGCAGAAACACGTTCAAGAGCTAAACGCCAATCTCACGGCAAGAGGGCTCCAGCAGAGAGATTTTGTGTGGATTTGCAACACCTTTTCTGTTGAAGGAGCGCATATGCATTGGTTTACTACGTGGCCCATGGTGTCAATTGTGACGGAGATAACGGTCCACAATGGACAGTCAGTGGACCCTCACATGATTTTAAAATAAGGACATCAATAACAAAAGATGATAATCCCAGAATCTCAAGAATCTCCCTCACCACACAAACCCTTTTGGACCCATGCGCTTCAACTTCAACCGTGCAACTTTAGCCCTGGTGATGATGACGAAAGCTTGGAAAGCTGAATGGAGCTCACAAGAAGTCACAAACACCTGTTCCTTGTGAAAGACCCAATGATGCATCATAACAGCAGCGACGCACCACTCCGCTACTCCTGACGCAATCATCTGGCTCATCAACCACCTCAATGTAAAATGACAGCCATTGCTCTACATCAACATCATATGATGGTTACGTGAAAACCATTAAGAGTCCCAACAGAGTCGTACGCTGGCAGTGTGAACCCATTGATCATTACCCAGTACTCCGCTGTGAACCGCAATGGAACAACAGCGTCGCACGCAGAGAGTATTCTCACCTCTGTGGACAGAAGCGGTGAGTGCAGCAGCCTCTGTCACCACCTGCATGCGCAGTGTGGCCTCACACAGTCCCGAGGTTCCCCCCCCCCCCCGCCGTGAGCAGAGTCCACGCCTCCCAGGGGAAAGAGCCCCAGGAGCCGTGTCGCTGGGACAAACCAACTGGGCCACTGGTGCGGGACGGAGCATTAGGGTGATTTGAATTGCAATAGTTAACTAGTGCGGAGCTGGACAGCGGTAGAAATAAAGGTTTTACAAAATAACATTTCCATATTCTTAATGTATTTATTTTCCTGCTTTTTTTTCGTTTTAATCTTTCCATGACCGAGTGTGCTGCATTAGTTGACGTGGTGCCATTCTCCCAGGTCGGGAATTTGCTGTCTCACGTCACTGCAGGAGTGACCACACACGGGTTTGTGTGTGGTGTGTGCAGCTTGCACTCCTGCTGAAGCCCTCTCGTCGTGGCCAGCAGCAGACCTCCACATTGGCATCGAGCTCCTGAATTTTTTGCTGCTGCTGCAATCATGCACACGACTAGAATATAATTTGTTTTGTGAGCAGCGGCGAGATTACCTTCAGAATCCCACCGGCGCGCACGAGGCGTCCTGCCAAGCCTTATAATCTGCCGAGGAATCTTGTATACAACTATCCCTGCACGAAACTCACTCGACACGAAGTGGTGGAGGTGATTCTTGCGGAGCGGTTTCTTGTCGTTGTTGCCCAAGGGAGCTGCGGTGTGAGTCTAAAGCAGTGGCGCGACACTGCACACACAACTAATGGTCAAGAAGTTCATCGTGTACTCTTTACAGAGGACATCGTACTCGGCCAGGCCACGCAACATCCAAGGGTGCAGCCCGCCAGGTTAACCTGTACATTTTTTATCCTTAGAAATGTTTCGGGTTTGTTTGCTCAAGTGTGAAATTGCTAATAATGCGAATTTCAAACGGCGTATTCACATCGACGTTCTGCAGTCCCCAATATGTTCTAGGCATCGCGCTGCTTGCGAGTCTCTACCCGCACGTGGGCCGGCAGTCTGCTCTGTCTGCCCCGACAGACGTCCGCAGCTCGTTGGCGTTTTGTTTGGTAAACGAGGCGAGGCAGCCCAGGCTGACACCCAAGTAGGGTGTGGCGCTGCGTTTGTGAGGCCTCAGTGCTACGCAAGGCACTTGGGTACCTGGAGCGGGGGCCCAGCGGAAGTCTGTAATTCGGGGCGCACTCGTGAACAAAAAGCCAGGCACAAAAACAATCACCTGTTCAGCATAAAGTTGATAAAGTGCATGTTAATAACAGTTTTATACCAGATAAAGTAATTTTGAAATGCTAGATGCCAGGAATAGGGCACTTCTGAAGTCCATTGGTACTAAGGTTTAACCATGGGCAATTACATTTATTGGTGTGTTTTCTCATCCATAAGTGTTTTTACTGTTAACTATCAGTTCTAAATTCCATCACAGTTGAGTCATTTTGCAGACTCAGATTTAGTTAATGAAAATAAGAAAATGTTTTACCCTTTCTGTCAATGAAACAGGTGTTAGGATATTGAGATTAAACTGTGGCGGAACACAGCTGGGACATAGATCCTAAGGGCACGGAGATTACACCGACGAGAAGATTACCACCTAACTTCATCAGATCTCGAAAGCTAAGCAGACTTGAGTCCGGTTAGTACAAAGATGGGAAACCTCCACCAGGGCTGGCTGGGCGTTGTAGGCGAGGAGGCTGCCACAAGGTGGCAGCACCGAGTGTGGCCCCTCAAGAGCCTGGGCCTGGGCTTTCTCTGGGTTCCTGCCACAAGGAGCCAAACGCTTCATCATGAATGGTACCGGCCAAACATCTCAATGCAGGACCCCCTCCTATGATGGAGTCTTGAGCCACATTGAGGCCTTCCTGAATACATAATTGGCAATGTTATATTTCTGACATTATTACAATTTTTGACCCCCCCCCCCCTTCGTCACACGACGTCACAAAGTCAGACCCCCCCCTCAAATATGACGTCACAAAGCTCTGCCCCCCCCCCCCCAAAAAAACACATACTTCAAATCGCTTTAAACTATTGTCATTGTGGTGCGTAATTAATGTAGCGCTGCACTCTGATGTTGTAGGAGAAAACATTTATTAAAAAGTCTATTTCATTAAGTAGAACGTGTTGTCTATACTTATTTAAAGTTGCGCATTTTGATGTGACGTTACATTTCTCAAACCCCCCCCCTCGTCACACATCGTCACAAATGTCTGACCCCCCCCCCCCCCAGGTGCGTGACGTCATTTATGGACGGCCCCTAAGAGGTCCCGCCGTCACTGCGCTGTCTGCCTGTGGTGTGAACACACACACGAGACTGCGTTTCATTCATTGCATCACCCACTGACTTGTGTTTAATTCAATATGCAAACAACACAAATCAAACTGCAGTGTCTCTGTATGGGAAACCTGCACTCACGTGGCATGGCAGCTGTAATAGAATCATCTACGTGACGCCGTTTGGCTCCGCCGTTTTCATTGCATTAGCGTGGGGACTGGTGGGAAGCAGTGGCGCTGTGGTTAACGGCGTGTGCTATGAACCTGGCTACAAAAATTTAATTCCCAACCACGGCTAACGTCAGTGGAGAGCGATATCAGAATCAGTCCTACCCCCCACCGCCCACATCGACCAGTGCGGTGAAGTATGATCGAACGTCCCCCTTGTAACCGCCACGGCGGGAGGAGGCCTTCCTCCAG